TTAGTACCACCACCACATGCATATATATGTAGTCGTTATCTTCTCAGAACTGTTATTATTTTCAAAAAAAAAAAATTTGTGTGGATGTGAGAAAGATTAATTTTTTTTTTTTCGTGGAGCGCGCGCGCGCCCTCGTCCCAACTACAGCCAGGACGTAAAAGATACTACGAATGCACATGAAAAGTTGGAGAAATATACTATATCGGATCCTATCACTAGCCCTAGCCCACAGCTTCGAGCGAATTGTACACCATTTTTGGCCTAGTTCGTATATATCGGGCATGGGTTCACATGCATAATCCAGAACTAAACGACGGACATGATTTTGCTTGGGAATGGAACTCGACGTGCATGCATGCTTCAGCAGCCATGCACGGCCTCGAGTGCCCCGATAATCCAGTTTCAAGCCATTCTTTTTTTTCATAATCACAGCAGCAACAGACTGGGGTAAGTATAATTGATGTTCGGCCGGCCGCGCGTGCATGTCGAGCTCGCTGATCTACTATGAGCATGCATGCCAATGCTGCCCAATTGTGAAAGCGCGCGCACGCGCGCGCGTTATTTTTAATTTGGGGTATATATATATGGAGGATCGACAACGTTAGACCAAGCCTCCGATTAATCCAGGCCCAGTTTGGGCACTCACGATTCCACGTTGCACTAGTACTACTGTAAGTGGGAGCGAGCACTAAGCCCAAAGTGAACGATTTTTAGCTGCCAGGCTCAACAAAAAAAAAAAAAAAAAGCAAACACGCACGGAGCGCGTGAGTCCCCCCTCCTCCACATACACACACACACACACACACACACCTTCAGCGGTACATAGTATAAAAGCGCATCAGTACCAAAGAAAAATATACATACGTACGCACGTTGCGTGTGATTATCTAAAATGAGAAATTCAGCGCGATAATTGTGGCTTGGGAGAGAAAAGGCTTATGAATTATTGGGGGGGGGGACAATATACATAATACGAGTTGTCATGTCGCGCTATAGTATAGATATGTACCAGCACGAATTTACTGCAAATTTTTTTGGAGGGGAGAGATTCAAAGGAAGGTAGCTGCGTGGATGGAATTGGCTGCATGTGGGGAGGGGAACATCTAATCGTAATATACACGTGGAAGGGAGGGGGGGGGCATTTTGGATAGTATGTAATGTGAAGAAAATAGGTCGCCCATATGCATGTGTCATTCAAAGAGGGATCGGCATCCCACTTAATAGATTAGATAAGTTCTTCACACAGCCCGTTCGATTTTACCAAAAGTCCTTGGCCAAACGCGTGTCGCGGATTAACGCGTCCCCTTGAGCTAGTAGAACGATCCGAGAACAGCGGCGTATCTCCGCCGGCTGGATGTATGTAATTATATGCACCGCTATCATTAGAAGTACATTTGTAAAAATGCGGCGTTATATGAAGGGGGGGGGGAAGCCCGTGGGAGCCGGACTCGGCACAATGATTGGTTGGGCTTCCCCCTCCCGCCCGGGATCGAGACTGTTTGTGCCTGGTTCGAGCCAAAAGGAATGAGACAACCCGCATGATAAGAGGTACGGTAAGCTGATCAATGATGTTGATGGGGGGAGGTTGCGATCATTCGGCACAAGCACAGCACAGTACACATGCAAAAGGCCATTCCCCTCCCTCTTCGGAGGAGTAGCCCGAATGACTCCACCAACCGACAGCCAAATGAAGAGATAGTGATTTTATTTTTTTTCTCCTACATAAATGGAAGTAATGAGAAATCCATACATATGTACATAAAAAAAAAAGAGGAGAGAGGCAAAATAGAATAACACGGGGGCATGTGAAGAATTGAAGATGAGAGTTTATAAAAGACTAAAAGTCGCCTCAAATCCCGGGAGCAGCTTCCCCAAGATGGCAAGTAATTCAGAGCCCGTCGGGCTCCGCGCATACGGGTCCGCCGGGTCCGCTTATGCCGTAACGGATAACGAGTTCAAGTCCAAGTCGGAATGGCTCAAACAAAAGGAAAGCGCTCGTAACGGAATTGGGGAATTATCGATCGTTAATCTTGGGTGGGTATGGGAAGTTGCGGCCATGAGGTGAGGGGGGGGGGGAAACAGAGCAAAATAGTTGCGAGAGAGCATTGGATATGTAAATCGCTCTTGGTACCATATCCGATACTAGTTAACGGATGGTGACTGAGGCAATAAACGCAGGTACAAATGAAAGCCCTTTGTGGAACTTAACAGACCGCGCGCGCGTTGCGTGGGCGAATGGTTCCCACTGTTGTAATGACTTCTCCGGAGCAGATTGTCCGCAATGTTTTCTTAGCTTAGTAATGAAATCCCGAATGAGTAGTCGCGCTAGGCAGCAGGACTCCAGCCTCTATGACTTCGTAATAATATTATAGTCGTGCCCGCGTCGCGAGGGTAATAATCCCCACATCCATTCAACACGAAGGCACAATAGGACAGAGTGGCAACGACATGCGTGCAGTCCCATGCATGACCAACTCCTGGTTGTCCAGGAGAAGGTTGATTGTTCACGCTTATGATTTTCTAAGAGATTGAGATTCTAATGAAATTAATCTGAAATGCAGCGAAGCGAAAATTGAAGTGTTGACCTCGTATCTTCCATTGTGATCTCAGCATGCGGGCAGCAACAATTAATCCATCCACTTGACCAGATATATATGGGCAGAACCACTACCGCAAGGAATATATATTCGAATGTCGCGGTTCAACAAAAACAATTATAGGGCCACCAAAAATACCTACCCGCATTGTGGATTAGGTGTTCCGGATCAGGAACATCAACAGTTCTCTTCGTCCATGCTTTGCACTCAAGCATGGCCCCCCCCCCCCCCTTTTTTTCCATGAGCAAGCAATCACTGAACCAGGCACCGCTGGTCGCTAGCTCCTGTGCCCTCGCATAATATCGCAAAGGGGCAAAACACGTACGAGTCCGCCGACAGCATGATATGGATGAGGCTTTAATTTCGTGAAGACCCTGATGGACTTGTGCGTGCTGCAATGACCGGCAACCCGATGGCCGAAAGATGCACCTTCGCCCAACTCTGCTCTGCCCATGCTGAACCCTTGTCCTTTTCGAATTTGGGTAGCACAAACACAACACAATATACTGTACATAGTACATACCTTTCCGTTTTACACACATAACGTAAGTTGTACTGAAGATTGTGCCTAAATCCAAATCTGGAAAGGAGCTTGTTACAGACTCTCGGACATGGCCGACCAACAAGCAATGCAAACTCTTAGGCGATTACTCAGTGGAGCAAAATGAAAATCCGATCCTTTCCTCTTCGAGTTGCTTCCCGCGCCCCCCATGGAGTTGCCAAGCCCTTATATGCAGAGGTCCAACAACCAGAGAAGTTTCCCCGGGTTTTGTTATGTATTGGAAGGGACTTGAGGGGAAGGGGGGGAGAGATTAAATCAAGGGGCTTAAGGGGTGTTTGAGCTAGGCTAGGACACGAGATCAAGTCACGCTTGTCGCCACGCGAGAAAAACATACAAAGTCCCTATCGGATTGGCGAAGCTCTAGTTTCGCTGTTGCGAGGGGAACTTCGGGTGTGAGGCTTCAATAGGAAGTACGGTAGTATCGACTTTGTGGTGGCGTGCGTGAGGTGATAACGCCGTGCGCTTATGTAGAAAGGGATACAATTATGTTATGTTATCGGGTGTAGCTCTGACAAAGCGGGTTGTCACGAGCCCCCCCCCTCCCCACGAAGAAGGAAGCTCGGTCTTGCTTGGGCCGCGGAAGAAGAGTGTGGCAAGGGACCGTTGTTGACGATTCATGCAGAAGAAAAAAAAAAAAAGTTATCCGCGGTCGAACGACAACGGGCGTGGGAACCATTGTTCGGATGAATTGGTCATGCATGATATGATGCCCCCCTCCCGCGGAATGATAGACGGAGATCAGGGAAGAAGATGTTAACTTGGGAAAAAAAAAAAAAAAAAAGTAGACGCTCGGAGGACGCGACGATAGACTACCGGCCAGACTGCTTGAGTTGCACGTAAAACTCTTCGTTCAGCTTCTTCATCTTCCGGATCGATTTCCAACAGAAAGAGGGAAAAAAAAAAAAAAAAAAAAAAAGGCAGCTGGGGCAAGCGCAGATGAACGAACAGCATATTCCGATTGATTAATTTTCAGCGGCCCTATCACCCAAATGCTGCGGACCAAAAAAAAAAAAAAACCATTTTTACGCGGACGAAGAGGCCAACGGGTTTGCTGACAAAGCTACGATACATATGTATCCTTGATCAGCGTAAGCGGTCATCTCAACATCCTGACTTCCATAACAGCTAGTACTTTAGTCCTTCATCTGGAAGGACGACTTTGCGTGCTAGTGTGCGCATGACCAGCCAACCCTGGCTTACATATCTGGGGCTTAAGCTAGACCGCCTCTCTATTGTTGATATTTTTTGTTTCTTCTTCAGTACTTATTCTTGCATCGCTTCTGAAGGATCGAATGTTCACATATGGAATGAAACTAAACCCTGCATCGTCTGTTCTTCAGCGACGAAGCAATGATAGAGGCAGCGCTATTTCCTCCATTAACAACATCCCCCCCCCAAAAACAAATCACGCTGAGGTTGATAAAAACAACGACTAGAACCATCTTCCCAACCAGGGATGAGCTCCAAATCACTCGACGGCCATTGCGTGGGTGCTTAATTTAGAGGAATAGCAACCCATCAAGCAAAAAAAAAAAAAAAAGTAAACAGCCAACTTGATCCCTTTCCGGTCCCCGCCAAAGTCCCTCACCTCAAACTCAGTCTCCACATACGTACACATGTACGCGGTTTATAGCCCCCAGCCACTCAAGAAGGATAACAACCATCATGATCCACCAACATTACAAAGAACGATCAACTGCTGAAAATCATGAGATCCCCCGACAACTATCCAGAGTAAAGCCCCCCCCCCTGCTCGCAAAAAAGCGAGGAGTTAGGCCAACTGCGAACAATTAACGGCCGGACCCGTCCTTACAGTAAGTAAAGGGAAGATCATACGGAAAGATGTTGTCGCATGCTCAAACGCAACCAGTCCTTAAGCGCATATGCATGTGCTGTGGTAGCCAGAGAATCATATTCGTGGGATACGTTGCGTCGAGATGCGGAACGTGCCGAACCGCTGGTTCGATCCCGTCGTCAGAAAGAAGCCTTGATGCCACGCGCCACCGCGCGGCGCACTCTGCCCAGCTTGGTATAACCCCCCCAAGTTGATCATGCGCTCCTGCAATGGTAATACCAACTCCCCCCTGCACTTGAGCCATTCCCAAAGTAACAGTAACCCGCTGATTGATCGGAGCCCGAACGCCCTCAACCCAAGAAGCTGCATGCAGAGCTTGGGGGTACCATTGCAAAATTGCAAAGCGATTCCATCATCACATATAAAGTTTTTGTACCACAATATTACAGTACAATATTGTATGGGCGCTTTGAGGGTGGGTTCCAATGAGATGTTCCTGATCAGGGCCAGTGAATCGTGAGAAAAGTGCTGCCATTGCAAGAAGAGTGAAACGCGCGAAAAGGCCGGCAAAAAAAAAAAAAAAGAATTGAAAGCGGTCATTGCATAGTTTTTGATTCCGTCGACCGCGTTCGAATCTTTTTGGCACGATATCATCAAGTATCTCACTCATGAAGTATCTGATGTGTGTGTACATGGTGTAGTGTACCCAGCTATATGTAGCCGCGTAACTTGAAGAATGGGTTGATGATGATGATGATGATGATGATGGAATATTGGGAGGAGGAATCTCGACAGTGAACTGTGATCGGTGATCTCCTGAACGGATAGCTGAGACAGAAGCGCCACGCGAGAGCAATTAGCGGCAAGGGATTGTTACTCTATACATATAGTATCGATCAACGTAGGTCCATTTCAGCGATATGAACCCTTGGGAAAGGGTTAAGTAAGTAAGAGATCTTTCACTCTAAAATAGTCAGCTCTAGAGGGTGAGGGTGAGGAAAATGGTTATGGTTTTGGGAGTAATTTATTAATAAATAAAGTTGTATATACCATGCATAAGGATAACGCGCGTACGTTGACTCATGCATGCAGAGGGCGCGCGCGACGTGGGTGAAAACAATCATCGTAACCACCCCTACTTACAGTATAGTAGCTAGCTAGCTAAGAGCAAATTAAAGGAGTACATTATGTGAACGACGGACAACGTCCGCTTTACTTAATCGAGATATCGCTGCCAGCACACTCAAACCATGATCGAAATGATCAACTGAACGGATTGAGTTCTGCGCGGAAATCGTTTGCACCCTGGCCTGCAGGGAAATTACACGCTTGGTGTACCTTACAGGTTAAATTGTACCAACATACCAACATAGAGGGAGAGCGACATGCGCATGCGCACCCGTGCGCCTCTATTAGCGGCGCTTCTCCGCACCGCGTTCGCACGGTGCATGCCGGCGCCAACTCGATATAAACCTGCGTTTAGGCGACGAATTATGATGTTTACATGCAAGTGTTCGGAAGCTTCAAACTCATTTCATTCGAGCTAGCCGAGCCCGAGCTCGTGCAGTGAGCTGCGTATGCATGTAATTGGAAAGAAGCTGGGCCCCCTTTTTTTTTTTTAGCTTTATACTTATTAGTGTCAACTAGCAAGCTGCAGATCATTACATGTATGTATAGCCTTTTAATTTCATTGCAAAGCTTAGCTGTGCGTCACTTAGGAGTCGTTGTAAAAAATTAATGTCGAATAGATAGCGTTAGCGTGCCACTCTTCTAAAAAGGTTATTTGCATTGATATTTCACATTCCGGTATGGCATCACTGGAGAGCTGTCCCATTGCGATCAGTACTCCGGTAGCATTTCACCGAAACCGATCTAAATTAGCAGGTATCTCGGCGTACTAGGTACGGGCGCCAGTGCTGGATTGACTGACGCCGAAGCTATGCAGCTGGGGCAAATTGTAGAGCTAGGTTCCGGCCTGTGGACATGGAAATTGGCCTGATGCTATCGGGCTTGGACTGTATTGGTGCAAGCGTATAATATAGTCAAGACATATGCACTATGTAGCTCCATGTTCATTTGTAGCACTAACTATGTGTACGGCACGGCGTGGCGCTGCGTGGGCGGAGCTCGATGCAATTGTGTTTGCCGTAATGTTTGCGAACCGAGCAGGGGTGGTAAAACGTTGGTATGCAATATGGCGGACATATATCATATCCATGCATAATATGTCATGCGTCGGTCAAGAACTCCGCTTGGGCCTGCAACACAATGGATTTTGGCTACATATTCAGGTTGAAAGGAGGCAAAACAATTAGCATGCATCCTTCAGAATAGAATGAGGGATTCGAACGAATAACGTCCGCGAGTACGTACCATGCAATGTTAGGACTACCAATTTTTTTTTCTTCTCCAAGTAATGTGTAATTGAGAACGATCCATCAAGGTATGTAGTCCGGACGTTGAGAAAAGCGCAAGGATCCAAGTTTCAGGTACCCACACAGCAAGCAATATGTAAATCGGACACGAGGTGTGGACGCGGTGACGATCATATCATGAGAATATATCGAGCAGCTGGTGCGTTACACAGTTCGCACGAGATCTTCAGGTGCATCTGAACGGGGACGAGCCCCTCGCATGATACGTGAGATAATTAAGCAGGCAATTATGTCGCCGGCGCCAGCGACGACGGAAATGTACTACCAATATATGTGTCAGTGCATGAGCTACATAGTTAAGTATCAATCATTCACGCAAATCCATGCATTCTTGCATCGATAGTACGGTACAGATACGCAGGAGTGCATGCAGCTTATGAGTGCTGGATGATGGGAAGCACGTATGCATTTAGTTTCGGGTCCTGAAGTGTGGTGTGGCTATGGAACGAGGGAGTTTACGGGGACCAGTACATGTAGGTAATGTTGGTGGGAAAGGCGCGCGATGAGAGAGCTATTTTGATTGGATCTGGTCCTGAAGTATGGTTATTGCCGCGAGCTAATAACTTAAGCTTTGATGGCGCTTGAATGTTGTTACTTAATCATCAATTTTTGGTCCCTGATTGTGGTTGATTGTTTTTTTGGTCAGGGAGAATTTAGGATTGACGGACAAGCTAGGCAACCTCTACTAAAGTAATGGACAAGCTTGAATTTGTCTGTGCGGGTGTGTTGTCCATATGGGGGTATTATGTATCGATGGGGACGAAACACTAGGCGCGTGGGGATGGTGAAGTTATTCCTGAAGAATGTGAACGGGGTTTCAGAATTCCAAGACTGAGACTTGGGCTGAAGCTTGTCTTTTGCAGCATGGGAGTTTGGAGGGCGTGAGCAAGCACATGGGCGGTCCAATAAGAGTGCCTTTAATTGTATCATGCTGCATTATCACAGTCGCCTGAGCCTGAGAGAAGGACAGAGGATCAATAAGCCGCATTGCATTGTACATTTCGTCGCTAAGTCTGTTGCCAGATTGTCGAGGGAGTCCGTTCAAGTTCTAAATCAGATCGAACGTTTCATGACGCAACATGCAATTCGATTCTGAGCCATCGGATTCTCTTCGTCCCCATAACCACGCGTGTATATATACATAGGCAAGATGCGAGAAGTTCATATGTGTTGAGACTCGCTATGATGCAGGCAGTAGGGGACACATCACTACGTTAGGAAAGAGCTGTGTCCAACAATTTGTGTCGATAGTACCAGTGGCGTTTTGGCTCCAGTTTGGCTTCCTTCCTTCTCTCGCCTCTACACCCAGAGAATGGGAACTGGGAATAACCGGAGGCTATATTGATAGGATGATATTTGGCATATGGGGGAGGAGAAACTGGCAGTATTATATATGGGAATACTTTGGTTGAGCTTGGTGCTTAGGTGGAGTCTCGACCTGACCGCAGCATTGCATGTGCTTTGCGGTTGGAGAGCAAAGGGAGGCATGGACACATCTGGAGATTGGAGTCATCAGCTTCAAATCGAGCGTGATAATATCGTATCGCCGATAAAAAAAATGTTGATAGTCCTGTGCTGCTCCTATTGGCGGGCGCTTGTGAAACAAAGCTCAATGTGCAAAGTAAGAGGGGGCGCCGCCATAGGCAGTTCCAGGTTTGTGTTATGACTAAAGCGAAGCTGCATAGGCAACGTTGTGGCAGGATCCGAAAGCGTTTAGGGGCTAACACTACGAGCACATCCAGCGGGCAACAAAGCTGATTGATGACTTATCGGCAACCTTGACGGCACGTGAGAGAGAATGGACAGACTAAGCCGGGATTGATCGTGCGGTAGCAAGGAAAGGTTATGACGGCAAGTTGGGGATGTCTATGAGTTCGGTGAGGTTCCGTTGTGGCGGTCCACAACTGTGCATGTTGAGGGTTGTTGAATTCCGGGTCCTTATTGGATTTTTGCATTTCCAAATTGCGCCCCCTCAATTGCCCAGTCCACTTCTGGACTTCCGGACGTGGGCGAGACCCCTCATTCAAGGGTGCATTTCGGACCAGCAGTTGTTCAAGGCATCTGGATGCAAATAATATGAATATTGCGGTGCATCATCTCATTATCGTTGCATGCATGCCATTGAGTCTGGATGTTACTATGAGGTCCTGCGCCGAATCGCAAGGGATTGGTACCAGTCATCATGTGCATTGCTCCAGGATAAGTAAACATCACTGAGGGGACCAGGGGAACCGCAATGAAAAGACGTGTCCATGGCGGTGACAGGATAGCGTCTGTCGCTCAGGGCTGTACAGCTGGTGGTTCTCCGCTCGTTCCTCGAGATCGCCGTCGGTCATGAGCGATGCAGAGGATATTGGCCCGATACATTTCACAAGCCATGGGCCTAGGTTGAGGGTAGGAGGAGATGGAGATGGAAGGGAAGGGCAAGGGGGGGGGATGGAGGGAAATTCTGCAAAATGTGTTCAAGTGTGGCTTGAAGTAAAATAAAGTGATAAAATAAATATTTACGAATATTATTTTTGCAGAGGGCCGAGAAAGGCAAGTCAGACTCGAGCTCATCATAAACATATCGAATATTGGATTTTGTTGAGAAGGCTTAATTTGGGCTCCGACTTGCCTTTTCCATTCCGCCATTTTTGCCCCCGGTTTTCTTCCTATAGCTCACACTACCACACCTCATTCCCCCTCCCTCCCTCCCTCCCTCCCCTTCATCTCCCATCCACTTCCTAGATCCTCTCTAGACTATCGTGCTAACCGCCCTTCGCTGCTGCTCTTTCAGCCGAGCTAGCTTACATATTCGCCTCATCTTTCATTTCAACTTGTTGACTGCACCAGCAAGGACGGCGCGCCTTTCTGCAATCATCCCTCCCGCCACTTCGTACGCTCTTGCCGCTCGAAGAAGCCTTGGCCAAGGGCTTACCTTCTTAGTGAGTTGATCAATCAATCACCGTCTTTGTAGCCCTCTCATGCCAACGATTCTCAACTGTTCGGTTCAATCGTTATTTCAACGAAAACAACAAACATTAAACACTCTCGAAACGCTGCCATATAGCTTGCAGATCGCTTGAAGCACGATTCAATCTCTCTCTTCTGCCTCAGGCTCCACTTCCCTCACCTCCTCCCCTCCATAACATCCTCATTTCAATGCTGTCTCATCCTCTCCCCATCAAAGGGGCCACGGCAAATCATAACGCGGCTAGCGTAAATCTTGATAAAGAAGAAGGTGCGAGAGAGTATGGTCCAGGTGGTTACAAGCCCCTTGCCATCGGTGATGTCCTCCGTAAAGGACGATATACTGTCGTGCGCAAACTTGGGTGGGGGCATTTCAGTACGGTGTGGCTTGTCCACGATAAACGGTGAGTTTTGAAACGCGCCTCGTGTCTAAGTCATTGTGTCTTGCCATTCACTGATCACTTCTGCGCCTATTCCGTTCTGTTCTGTTCCTGTGCTCTTGCCGCCTTCTCCCCTTTCTCCCGGCTTTGCAACGTCACACCGCCACAACAATAATCACACTGAACAAATCGCCATAAAATGGTTTCTGACTTTTTGGCCATTGTGTATACCAAATAGGACAAGCTCTCATGTTGCACTCAAAGTGGTCAAGTCCAATCAGAAATACATGGAAACGGCTCGAGACGAGATCAAGTTGCTCCGTCACATTCGCGACTCCCCTAATCCGAATCATCCCGGTCGGATCCACGTTGTCCAATTCTTGGATTGGTTCGAACTGAAGCCTGATGATGGGATATCGAGTATGTCGAGGACGATTCATGTCACGGACTGTAGACACGTTTGGTAAGTACTCTGCTTCAGCGTTGGACTGAGCGTCCTTCTCCCACCCCACCCTTTCCCATTCCATTCCTTTGGCAATTTAATTTGCGTTCCCCGGTTTCTCATTTGGTCGCATTTCCCCTGTGGAACCCTGGGTTTTAAGTCGTCGTTAAGCGAATGAAACCCAACACTTATCCTCCGCTTCTGTGTTCGACGGGTCCTCTGCGTCCAGCTTTTTCCCATTAATGGAACCACTTGCTCGTTTCTTCGGAATCTAATGTCTTGTTTTAATTTAGTATGACGATGGAACCTCTTGGGGAAACTCTTCTCTCCTTACTTCGCCGATTGCAATCCTGTGACGAAACGAATCTGAAGACGGGTATCCCAACATTCCTCGTTCAACAAATTGTCCGGCAAATGCTCCATGGGCTAGATTTCCTGCATACTGAATGCCGTCTGATCCACACGGATCTGAAGCTAGAGAATGTCATGGTACTCGTGGAAGATGTGGAAGAACTCGTTCGTGCATGTTATGCATCTGAACAGATGATGGGTGTATCACCTACCAGTGCAAATCGGGTTGTTGCTGTCCCTGTTCCGTCGTCGCTATCCAGACCCCATGATAAGTCTGGAACGAGAAACGTCCAGATTTTTGGGTCTTATCCTTTGCCTAGTCCATTGCAGGAGTGGGGAAGGGAGAATGCGGGGCCGGAGGTAGAGAGCCTTGCGAGGATCATGTCACAGTTGGCTGTTGAGAAGAGGGAAAAGGAGCCCCTTTCCTCGCCTTCGCCTCTGCAGGATGACAGGGATACCGAGGAGGGGTGTGAATCTCCGGTGAAGAAACCAGTGGGGTCAGCGGTGAGGGCCGAGTCCAAACCCCTGACAACTAGGGCCGGAGTATTGGGGACGGGGAAGGGGATTGTAAATAAGGCGCCAACCAAGACCCTTTCTTCAGATTCGATGATTGGATCGGGTGCGTCGTCGCTTGTCAGTGTGGAGAGTGGGTTGTCGAAGTTTTCGATGGCTGCGTTGAGTTCGGCTGCTACGTCGGTTGAGAGCAGTATGGTTGAAGGGCACAAGATTGGGGAGCGGATAGAAGGGTTTGGTGGAGCTGAGTCTATGATTGCGAGTGCAGGGCCGAGGAGGTCGACAATAAGTATTGCAACGTCGGAGTCTTCGGCCACTATTGCTGCTTCGGAGTCTACGATGGCCGTCTCGAACACAAATCGGGACGTTTCGGTTCACTCGGACGCGACGACTATGATGGGACAGGTGGAGGATAAGGAGGATACTGCACAGACAACGCCAAATCCTTCTCGCACCATTTTCGCTTATCATTTGAAACAACCTTCAATGTCCTCTCCTACACCTAACAATTCGAACTCGAACTCAATCCATAACAGTCATAACAATGGCAACAGTACTAATCCTCATTCACCAGTTTCATACACCCCCACCCCAACGCCTGCGCATGCGCCTTCGCTCTTAACAGCATCAGCTCCTATCCCACCCACACGAGCTACGTCTCGCGGTCGATCACGTACAAATACAAATCACAAAGTCCATGCACCCGCTACAACCGCCCCACCACGGATCCGCATTAAAATCGCCGATCTTGGGAACGCTACTCCCATCAAGAACCACTTCACGCCGGATATACAAACACGACAGTATCGGGCACCTGAGGTGATTCTGGGATTCGACGATTGGGATGAAAGTGCAGATTTGTGGAGTGTCGGCACAATGGCGTTTGAGTTGTTGACCAGCGATTATCTTTTTGCGCCTGAAGAGAAGAAAGGAAGGTATACGAAGGATGATGATCACATTGCGCAGATAATTGAGTTGCTGGGGGACTTGCCGCATTACCGCAAATTTGGAGGGAGGGAGTCGAGGAACATCTTTACACAAAGGGGTATGTGTTTTCTCCCTTTTGAGGGGTGTCTGTTATTTTGGGCTCGGAAAAACCTCCCTTGGTTCCTTCTGCATAGCGTTGCGTCACCGCCGATTGTTATCAGACACTAACGTTGTTGTCATGTCCCTTTTTTTAGGTGAACTACGGCGTATCACAAAGTTGAAACCGTGGCCGCTGGAACAAGTGCTCGTACAGAAGTACGACTACCCGCCGAGACAGGCTAAGGCACTGAAGGACTTTCTCGTCATGCCGCTTTCCTTGGACCCTGCGGACCGACCGAGTGCGAAGGAGCTTGCCGAACACCCTTGGCTTGACATGGAGGATGCTGCACCGCCTTATCCCACTGCCAACCGCTTCAACCCTCGGCCTGCTGTTGCTTCGACCGCGTCCGCACCGATGCCACCTGTTCCTCCGATCAATACGGAGGGGTCGTCAGATGAGGGGAGCCTGAGCAATGAGTCGTCACCCAACAACGCCGTTGCCAGCATAGCCGCGCTAGATTAGGTCACGACGGCAATGCTTTTTTTCTGGGAGATGACATATTCCCGTGCTGTGGTTGTCCGGTGCTAGGCCTGAAATAGAACGAAGCGAGGAGAAAAGAATAGAACGGCGTTGATCGTCGTTGGGGCCCGCAGCTCTTTTCCTTCATTCTTATCGCCTCGCCTTACCTGCTTTCGTCACTCCTTGCTGGGTACTCCCTCGTTTCATCTGGCTTGTTGCAATTGGACTTGGGCACTACGCGCGCGAATTGGATTTAGAGACCGTTATCATCAGTTCGCTCTTTGCATTATTAGACGTCTCTGTAATCTTCCACACTTTGCCTTTGGCGCATCGCCACGTGGCTTGGGCTGTTGTTCTGGCTTCAACGTCTCGTGTCTTTGCTATCCTTGGTTCCGTGCAATTGTTCTTTCGCCACCCCCTATCCCCTCCCTCATTGGCATTCCTGCTGGCAACTCCGCATCCTTAGGCAGGGCATGTTACTGATCCACCCCCTTCACTACCGGGAGTGCGCTGGCTTTTGGAAGCAGCTTAATTGATGACTCCCCTGTTGGCTTCTTACCCACCCTTGCGCTCTTGCTCCCCTCTCCTTATCCCCCACCAGTGAACCTAACAGTGTGTGCATCTTTGGTATCGTCTGATTCGCCGTCTACTGCTATAGAAGGTTTTTACCGGTTTTGTCGCGCCCGCTTTTCTTCCCTTGTTTCCGTTCTTGTCTTAGCTCCATGTTTCATATATTATTGTCCACTTACGCCCCCTATCCGCTCTCCCTTCTACCTCGTCTTGAAACGAGCGCCTTTGTCTGATGCACTGCGTCCTTGACCGCGGATGATTGATTGTCCTTTCTATCCCTTTCGTTCTCCCTTCTCCTTTCAACCATTTTACGCCTTGCTGTCCTATCCTCACCGCCCTCCCAACCCGGTCACACAATGAGCCCATCATATTTCGTTCCTACTTCCTTATTCTCCCCTCAACCTTATGTCCAATCTATCCTAACCCTTGCACTCACCTTTTCCGCATTCACGACTCAGTTTTCACTTCTTCCTTCCTCCCGTTGCGTTATCACTTTTCCTTATACACCGTAATTCTTAATCGTTTCAGCGACACCATCACGTCCAGCCTTATAATACCCAATTCATAGAGCCTTCCCCCTCCATTTCTTCCATTGACTCGCCACATCCTTCTCTTCCTTCCCGTCCGTGGTTCCCATGTCCTCAGTTGGGTTCCCTGGGTCCCACGCCTGCACCTCTATCACGCCCATGTCAGATCCTTCTGCGTTTCCTCATACTTGTTCCTTACATACCAATCTTCTCGTCGCTCACCAGTATCATTTATCCTTGGCCTCAAGTCCCCTAACAATTCTATCTTCTGGTACTTATGGTCCTCCTCTCTCTCTCTCTCTCTCTCTCTCTCTCTCTCTCTCTCTCCCGTCACTTGTCTTCTCTGTCCTCATTTCACACTCTTGAACGTAAACAAGTTTCGTACCCAAACTTTTTTACTTTGTATATATTCCATTGGGCTAGCTTTCTTGTGGCGTGCATTGTGTGAGCGACACACGCTAAATATCACATTCCACATACTGTTGCATAATTCACTGGCCAGTTATTCTTTGTGCTTGCAAGTTTTATTACTTTTTCCATCGAGTATTGTACATGATCTAGATGCGCGCGCAATCTATTCAGTTAGGCGCAATGAGGAAGTCCAGCTTTTTGTCACAAATCCTGTGCAAGTTCATTGCATACGTGCGTGCGTTCACACATGCATGGCCATACTATATTGATACGTGAAGAGTGCGATAGGACAAAATGGGGTGCTACCTGATCTGTTATCCTTCCTTGGTCTGAACTATCAAACTGGGGAACCGAGAATGAGGCATCATCGCTTATGAGGATATAGAGGCAGTCGGATTCGGCTCTTGTCCTCTTCGCCCCTGTTGGACTGTATGGACGGGATGGCTCGCCGCTAGTGCAAAACTAAATTGGTATAGGTACAGGGTGTGAGCGATTTTGGAGCATTGGATCTCGTTTGGCTAATCATCGCCCCTCCCTCCACTCACGGAAAATTCTAATGGCAACAAGGTTCGAAACATGCGCAACCTGAATGTGATGTATATATGCATTCATCCCAGGACCTTGTACAACACATAAGTATATAAGCATCCATGGCAGGCTCATTTCGATGATACTGCATGTAATTGAATTGGAGGCGGACTTCGATAGGACGTACGTATGCCGCCGAATGTATGCGCTGAGGTCATCACGCGTTATTTTGGCCAGCTCGTCGTGAGCGGTGTGGGCAGCGTGGGGCACCTATTTGCCTATTTAGTGAGACATGCCTCAGTACAGTACAGTAGCGGCAATAGCGGCAATGCTTAGAGTACTAGCCCACTGTCTCCTGCAAGTCACAGTTGGGGAGGGGGAAGACTGAAGGAATCTCCAGCGTAAATTTTGGTTTTCGAATAGGGCAGCTGACCCTTGCCGTTGATAGGGGACTGAAGCGAGTTCCCGCAGAGCTGAGGGGTTGGGAGATTAGCGAGCTCGCTGATGGGCGAGTCGCCCCCCCCTTTGCGAAGATCGGGATCAAGTTCCACTGCTCTAGATTACCTATCCACCTTACGCGAACGTGCGTTCAATCGAGGAAGGATTTATGTCCCTCTTCGGACAAACGTAACCCTCGCGTGAAAATTTCAAGGGTCGCAGTTAACGGGGCGAATTAGGGAGATATCGTCCTGTGACGGCAACACAACGGGCGATACAAATTTGAGTTGCTTCGCGAACCCTGATCCACTGCCGGGCTCATAGAACGAAGGGTGGCCGAAGGTAGTGTGGATCGGACATGCGTGAGACACAGGTCATTGGGATCGAGATGGCAGTTGCTCCCCGAGTTGAGAACGTCTTGCAATGAGTGCGCATTATTTGATTCTCGTGGGTGAACGAATGAATTGACATGTACTCATGTAGTATGTTACCGACCTCGGTCTGAAATAATCGAGCATGGCGTTCGTAGAGGAGAAAACATCACTGACTTGTTCGTGAGCTACTACTGCTATGTAGGATTAGTATGCCATACCAAATGCATGATTTCCATGACGCAGTATGATGCCAGTCCAAACGTAGAGTCTGTAGCAAGATAGTAAGTCCGATACCATCATGGGCACGAGTGCGGAAATAGTTGCTTGTCAGAGGTGACTCAAGAGCCGGCCGTAATGGGCTTCTTGGGGATTAGGATTCCTGACCAGAAGCAAAAAAAAATTTAGGGGGAAGCCTCGCTCAGCATTCCCCTATTCGGGACGTTGGAGACAAGGAGTAATTTGTGACTGGAACAATAGCGGCACGCGATCGCTCATCCGTTTGGAGAATTGACAGAAAACTCCATTTGGCAAGCTGCTGTTCTTCCCCAGTGTCAATTCCTCGCACACCAGAAAATTCCAGGACATATGAGGCACTCTACTTGAGCCAGAGAATCTGGAAGGTGCATTGGAAGTTGTGCTTTATACACAAACGAGATTGAGGCAAGGGGGTCCATCAGGCAGTACGTACCAGTCAGCAGATAGGGAACCCCCAGTTCCAGCCTGCATTAGAGTAGTTGCACTGATTTTCACGCCGATTTTGCATGTCAAGGATTGTTTTGTGTACTACATACACCGCGGCTGGGTGAACAGTGCGCGGGTCACGAAGTGAGGATTGCTCAACTTTGAATAAATCAATAGTCCTCTATCTCCAGATGATGGCTGTGGAAGGCGGCTGACCTTGAAGCTTGTTTTTGCTTGGGCTATCCAATGAGCACGCAAACGAAAAGTTTTGGCTAGCAAGTTATATACTACGACTTGCGCCATGAGGCCGGCGTATGGTCTACACGATGTTGTGACAAAAACAATTACAAATTGAAATTTTCTGGAGGTTGGGCCACTTGTGGAAGAAGGTTGGTCATGAAGTAAAAGCAAGCTTCATCTCCTGCTGCGTAATGATCATTATCGTCCTTGTACCGGTCCTTTTCAGATAATCGGCTGTCACTTTGATACGCATCACGATCCCTACCCCTATCTCGGTCCTTGTCTCCGTCTTTTCGATGTTCGCGGTCGTCGTATTTATCTCTACCCTTTTCGCGGTCCCTATCCCCTTCACGTTCGCGTTCCCTGCGCTCTCTATCCTCGTCACGCCTGCGATCATCGATCCGTGCTGAGTCACGACGGGATAACGACCTATCACGGTCGTAGTCGCGGTCACTGCCACCGCGCTCACTGTGTTTGGTGCGAGGAGGAGGAGAGCGCGACGGTCGTCGCGAGGAGGACGAGGATCGTGGGATTGGTGAAGATGATTCATATCGCTAGTGTGAGAAAGAGGAATTAGGCTTGGACCAAACAAGGTAGGGAACACCCACCCTGTCTTTTGTTCCTCTTTTGCCTTCATGACCAGTGGGATGTACTTCTTCTCTGGCCTGGAAAATCGCTTTCCATCTTTCCTTGATGCGCCTGCAGACCCGCTGGGAATGTCTTCGGGTGGCCGCTCCTTTGCACCTATTCCCAAAAGTGCTGGTCGTGCTTCGGGCAAGTACGGCTCCACAGGGCCTGTTCTCGTCCGACTGGCGGACGTCCCTTCCTTCCAACCCATCCCCCTCAGAAGCGCTGCGCCAAACTGGTCCACAGGTACACGTTGATAATCGTCAAGCGTCGCGCTGTCAGGAAGCGTCACAACATCTTCTCTGTAGGCCTCCGTCTCGGTTCGGCTCCTCGTAGGGGGAATAACATCAATCTGGATAGTGGCTTCAGCGAGATCACCTTGGAGGATGGCGCGTAGAGCTCGTTCGTCTTCGGTGAGCTGCTCCGGCAGTTTATCGGATTCCGTCGTTGTGTCCTCCCGCCTGTCCTGAGGCTTTTCATCTTCCATCTTTGCATCGCCCTCTATAGAACGCGACTTCATGACGAGACCAACTTGTTGTGAACCGGAATTTATTGTAGCGCGCGTGCCGAGACCACCTACGCTGCCATCGGCACCTGTAGCTGCCCGAGCGCTCTCGGGAACGAATGTGCCTATGGCCTGTCGTTTTCGAGCTGCAGCCCTCCAATCACGGTTTTCAAGCGCAGGAATGACTAACGGGCCAGTGGGTTTAGATGCCGGATTTTTTCTGCAATATGGAAACAAAGCAAGATGCCCAAGCTGGGTGTGAGAGATGAATTTAGATCCATTTCGGGCATAAAACTGCCGTTGCGAGAAATCGTGCACGCACCGCTGAACCCCATCGCATCAAAACCAGTTATAATCTCGTCCTCTGTACCAGCTTCATCATCTGAGCTGTCGTAGTCATCCTCAAAGGATTGCTTTATTGCTTGCCGCTTCCCATTACTGTTAATCGAGAAAGCAAGTGGACTAGGCCTGACAGAGGCACTGGCAGGTTTTACTGGTTTAGTAAGAAAGTTCGATTTCGTCGGCACTTCACTGTCAGACGTCTCACGAGACAGCGGAGAAGGCCTCCTCACGGTAAATGAAACAGCTGGATGGCTAGCGAGAGGATTTGGCTTGCTCATAGCCCAATAGATCAAGGAGCGTTCTGGGCAAATGCGTGAGTCAGTCAAAGCAAATGGACACGTGACTTACATAGATCAATTGTCTCCAATTCGCTTCCGACGCCTGGCGCTTGTTCCTGCTGAATTGAATTTGTGTTCATCACAACAAGGTCGATTTCGACCCTGATGCATACATAATCTGTAGCTTTTTGGCTGGGAGCTTCACCTTTCCATCCTTGTGTTCGTGATGAAAACATTCTCGAATGAACCATGGATTGGCGCACCCAAGATTGTTATCGGGATTGACGTTGGCACCAGTTATTCTGGGGTATCATTTGCATATCTCTATCCGGGGTAATAGCCTTTGCCTTTGCCCGCTCAAAAATACGAGGCGAGCTCTAATTGCCTCTCTTGCTGCTCGCAGAGGCTCGAAAACGGTGACCAGGGTCCAACAATGGCCAGGACAAGAATCCCAACGAAGTGAGAGCAAAATCCCTACATTGATATGGTATAATGGCGAGCAGGTGGGCCCCCAGGTTCTCCTATGGCACGCGGGATTTGCTATTAATGGCGTACGCTAGGCAATGGCATTTGGTGCCAGCGTGTTGGACCCTGCAACACGCATGAGAGCAGCGGACGAGGAATGGCAACTGGCAAGAGACTTTAAAATCCATCTGCATCCAAAGAACTTGAAAGATGCTTTCAACCTTGAGTTGACTCGTTGCGTACTGTTAACATGTTCGGGTGGTTATGCATGTCTTGACGCACACTCCCTCTTCACAGCATTACCCGATAAAGTCTCACTGCAAGCCGTCTATCGCGATTTTTTGGCCTACCTTCTGCAACATACCCGACGTTACTTCAGCGAGCGCATCATTGAGGGAAATCGCATATGGAACACTCATTTTGGTTCCGCGGAGATCGTTATTGCCCATCCCAATGGATGGGGATTGAAAGAACAAGACTTCCTTCGTAAAGCAGCTATTGGCGCTGGATTGGTGACCAAGCAGGGCGCTCCAGAACGGGTTACCTTCGTGAGTGAGGGTGAAGCAAGTGTGCACTTTTGCCTGTTCTACGCGGAGTTGGGGTCGCAATTGAATGTAAGCTCCATTCGTCGTACATCGAATGGTTCTCCCAATTTCTTGTCCCAGGTCGAAACGAACTTCATGGTGTGCGATGTTGGTACGTATTGGAGTGTAATGACCTCACACAAGATCACAAATGGGATTATGCAGGTGGTTCGACTGTCGACGCTACTACATATACCGTGACCAGCAAAACGCCAAAACTTGAACTCAAGGAACTCAAGCCGTCGGCCTGTAGGTCTCCTTCAGCTCATTTCATCATTTTTGGGTCATGGCCGAAATTCTCCTGCAGGCGTTCAAATAGGAGGTGTCCATGTGGACGCAGCTTTTGAAAAGTATCTGCGCAACACTCTCAAGAAATCTAGTCTTGCTGGGGATGATCTCGATGAATTTATTGATGAGGGTATCAATGACTTCGAGGCCCGGGCCAAAAGGGCCTTCAGGGACCCAGAGCAGACCTCCTTGGTGTTTATCGGAACGCCCCACAAGTTCGCAAGCAGTATTGGGATCTCAGGATCAAGGTTCGCTCTAAAGGGGTATGTGAGATATCTGCTGAAGGGTGAAGAAGTGCCGCTAACGTAGATGATGATGAAGGAGGGTGACCCAACACTTTTTCCAGCCGGTTTTAGAAGAGATTCTTGTTACTATACGCGACCAACTGTCGGGGTTGGATGTGAAGGTTTGCTGCATCTCCAGCTCTGACGTACTTATTCCAACCAGCTCCCTAGACCGTCTTACTTGTAGGAGGCTTTGGCGACAGTCCGTATATCCGGGATGCCCTCCGGGCTTCATTATATCCTGACCACATCGACGTTGTCTCTGCAAACGATCTCACGTATGTATCCTGCCCACTGCGGCTGATCCCGTTTTAAAGACTTTACCACAGGTCCAAAGCTGTCTCAGATGGAGCGGTAATGTTCCACGTTACGAACATGGTCGTTGCCCGGGCGGCACGGTTCACTTACGGAATTTCTATATCGGAACGGTTCGCAGCTGGTAACCCGCATCATGCAGGGAGGCCGATTAAACATGATTTGGATGGCGAATGGGTGATGAACAAGTGGTTCCCCCTTGTGCGTCGAGTGGGTCCGACGATCTTAGTGCCTCCTAGCTGAGTCCTGACTAATCCCCGGAACCAAAGGGGGATATATTACCGCATGGGCAGAGTGCAATAATTCACGGAGATCAAGTCTTTGACACTGCCAAAGCAGGCTTGAGCAAGTGGTCTCAGGTTATCTATGCTTGGACAAATGTGGATGATCCAGAGCCGTATTGGGTCAGCGACCCTTCGGGTGAGTGAATGATCCTTTGCTGGCTGAAACCCTGAAGCATTCACCAATTCCCCAGGGAATCTACTGCCAGGATTTGAGCGAGTTTGCATGGTGACCGCAGACCTGACCCCTGCTGCAGGAGCAATCACAGAAGTCAAGCCTGAATCAGAGGATGCCAAACCCCATTGGAAGGTTGAACACAGTATTTCCATTCAATTTGGAGGACCCGAGTTGCAAGCTTTTTTGGAATGGACAGGAGCTGTGAGTCGGTCCCTGCTAATACTTGAGTGGCAGTTGCTGAGAAACGATATGCACAGGATGACAAAATTATTCGGACCCAGCCGTCATCATTCCGCACTCACTTGTGTGATGCATTGACTACAGTCTACTACAAATTGCACGAACGAGATGATAATTATCCTGGACTGACCATGCTGGGCTCAATCGGGCCTCGACAAGATGTATTATATGTAACACGGAATCCCCAACGTATAAGTAAAATTATATGAAGACCAGCGGCGAAGAACGCCCAACAAGTCCGAGCCAACAGGCGAATCCCGTGAGACTCTACCAGTAACGAGGTTTCAAGGGGACTCTGCCTGCGTGTTGACGGGGTGCCTGGCACGAGTAAGTGCCCCAAGCACCTTGCGAACAACAGACGTTGTCGTCGCGTTCTTGTCCTCCTCAAATCCCGGACCGTCGTAGTCGTACCTGTGCGGTGGTATAAAATCAACTTGCCCATAATGCCATTCATCCCGTCTCTTTCTGTCCTCGATGATCGCCTTCCTAGCCTCGATGTAAAACCATTGTTTTCTTCGATAACGCTTCTCAGCAGAACGTGCGTATGCAGCAGCTCGCGCCTCGGCTTCTTCCATTATTTTCGCCTTAACTGCTGCAAGGAAGGATGGGAGTCTGACAGAGGATGTGCTCTCGTTTGTGAAGACCGCGATCTGTGAAGCGTTCTCGGGATCAGGGTGCCAATCTGAGTCGTCTGGGATTTCCTCAGGTTTGATTCCTACATTGCGAAGGAATTGTGGGTGTCGAAAGGGATGCGCCCTGCATGCGTTCGATTGGAACAATGAGTCCGGGAGCTTAGATCATTATGGTTACCATTCACCATATTGAAACCGGAGGGTTGGCCAAGGTGTCAACATAAAAGCATCGGTTAGACTATGACGCCACAACGTCAGTTGAGTGAGTGCCATTGGGTGTGTGTGCGATGACCTTACTTGAGGGTCGAATGCCCTTAGCCACCCAGGTGGTAGTTCCTCATAGGACTCATATGGAGGAGGCAGAATAGAGGATGGACTTGGCGAGCGCCTGGCCGTTGTGTCGTTACCACCTTCGTCCGCGGCTGTCACTTGAAACATTGCGAACCCTTGACCTCGAGTCCTTCTGTCGTGACTGAAGGTTACTTGTCGAAGAGTGTTCTAAGCACACGCACTCTACAGCTTGAGAGGGCCTTTGGCACGTGCGAACGATCCGACGGACCGATCGGCTGGAGCCCCCCTACGGTGAGCACTTACCGATCACAGCATTAATTAATGGAGACTGCGGACCTATATACATATACTTTGACTGCTCAGTATTGTTCGATCACTACATGACCTGCAAATATAGATATGTCCCGAACCAAAGAGAAAACAAAGGTGACCAGCGAAACGGGTGAAAATCTAGAATAGAATGTCACCCAGTAACAACCCTCCAAGTAGGCCCCCAAGCAATGCGGTGCCCCCTCCCACCCCACCGCGCCTACCATACGGACTCTGTCCATACCCATACTGAGGCATGTAAACGGGACCACCATACGCTCCTGGATGCGGTGCCCCGGAATACCCGTCTCCGTAGTTCGGATAAGGAATACCTTGTCTCCTGTAGGCCTCACGCTCTTCCTCGACCATCCTCTGTCGCTCCGCAACGTATCGATTACGGGCCTCGATGAAGCGGCGCTCTTCTTCACGATGACGTTGCTCGCGTTCAGCGCGAACCCTTTCCCTTTCTCGTTTCCTTTCTAGTTTCCTTGCGGCACGCTCCTCTTTAGTGCCGATGGCGGAATCTTTTAGCCTCCCAAAGAAGCCTCGCTCTTTCTGCTTCCCTTCGTTAGTGGAGGAAGAAGTACGGACCGAACTTGAAGCGGGAGAAGAGGTGGAGGCGCCAGGAACGCTCAGATAGTCGGAGTTTGATTTAGAGCTAGAATGCGGGTCTTTGGAGTCGGGTCTGAAAGATCCAGGAGACGGGGATATAGGACGAGGGTGGTGATCCTCAGAGGAAGAGTGATCATCATCGCTGAGATCGCGAGAGGATATGCCTGCCGATCTCAGAAACTGAGGATCTTCAAATGGATGAACCCTGTTAAATCCACAATGATTGTCATTATAAACCAAGCCCAAATGCAGCAGCTGTCCAACACGATTTTTTGCTTACCAAATAGAACGAGGAGGTTTTGCCATCGTGTCGACATAATAGTGACGCTCACTCTATTGCAAATGGAAGGTTCGGGGTGAATCGAGAAAATCATAGTGTAAAATAGCTCACTCTCGGATCAAACTCCTTCACCCAGCCAGGAGGTAACTGACGATCCTCATAATCAGGAGGTGGGCCAGTAGGGACCGAGAACGCCTGTTGCCCAAGAGCAGAGGCAGAAGTTGCTGGGACATTACCGACTGAAGTAATAGACGTTCCTGTATCACTTTGCCCAAGTTTTCAGACATTGCAAGAAAGGGTTTGGGAGTGGTTGGAAGAGTGCTGTTGGTCGTATATCAGTACTGCTTTTATTTGTAAGGAGGCTGTGTTTTATGGGAATTCAGAACAGGTGATCACCAATCAAACAGCATAATAGGCTCGTATTATTCACAAACCTTTCCCGAGGATGCTGCGCTCAAACGATTGTCCGAGTTTCCGGGAGTTCGGACATGCCGAACAATGTCCTTGACCAGTGACCTAGCTTGTGGTGACGTGACTTTGTGCTGTGGGGCGTGCTTTATCGATCGAGCCTGTACAGAATCCGCAAATCAACGACAATTGCGAGCGAGTGGGCCACACGCCCAGTCACTCTTGTGCAGCAATGTGTCCAAATCCCCAACAGCGCAGGGTCATCAACACACAAATGCCTTGTAGGTGGATCCTGCCTAACAAATGCCCACAACGAGAAGGTTATCGGATTGCCCTGCTTTGTGCGTGAAATCATTTCAAGGCTCATAAGCTATCATTGTCCCGATGTGCGGAACTGCGCGGGAGAGTGTGGCAGTGACATTTATGTAATTCGAAATCACACGGGGCTGTTCCTGGGCCTGGTTGTTAGACGCCCTCGCCCATCCGATCTGTGCGCCAGACATCTAAGATTACAGATACTATGGCATCCACTCAACCGCAAAACACTAACCCAACAGTTGTAAGTCGTCTAAGAAATAACTCTGCCCGACCTCCGTTGTATCCCTTTTTGTCATTAGCCCGACCCGTCAACGGGACAACAGGACAGATCGATCCCTCTGTTCCCACTGGACAAACGGTGAATCCATCATGCCAGAGTGTAGGAAGTGGCGAAGGTATGAACGTTGCACATGGGCATGACTGCCAAATTTCTCTAATATCTTGCATCTTTGGATTTCAGTTACTGCGGGCGCTTCAGCGAACGTGGTCGATCCGGGCACTTGCCAAAACCCTCGATCCGAAACAAACAATTGCCCGGCGCAAACACTGAAGCTACTCCTCCTTTTCCGCCCAAGGAGCCTCAGGAGCCAGTTACTCAGCCATCAAGCGACCAGCGAGGAGCGCTTAATCAGGATGTTTCCAGACCTAGCACTAAGAATGACTCTGTGCCTATCAAGTCTCGGCCAGACTCTCCTCAAGTTCCCCCGAAGCATCCAGATGGGAAAAGGGACGGCCACCTTGCGCGCATCGGGGCGTGGTTCACGGGAAGCGGGGAGAAGGCCAGGGCCCAAGGCATATCCAGGGCTGATACCCGGGAACCATGCGCCTCAGCAGCAGCTCAATGCCCCAAATCCTTATCCTCAATACTTGACCCCTTATCAACAACAACAACAGCAGCAGCAACAGCTCCAATTTGTTCATCAAGAAGCATGGAAACAAGCTACAGACCACTTTGGAAACCAAATAAACACCCTGAGCTCCGCGAACGACGATTTGAAGAGGAGACAACGAGAACTGCAAGATGATGTTGTCAGGCTCACAAAGGAACTTCGCGAGGCCCAAGCGGGTTACGCCAATCTCCGCAAGCACCTGCAAGTTGGTGATGATACCGAGGCAAGGGATATTGTCACTGAGTTCAGAGATGTCAACCGCGCTATAGAAGATGCTGCTCGTTTCATTGCGGATGCATCTCTGAAGCATTTTGAAAACAGGGATGACCTCACAACCGGAAATGCTCAAAACTTCGATGCCTTGAAGGAATCATTCCTCAGGGGGATGCCGTGCCCTCCATCATCGTTTCTGAAAAGGGTTTCCCCAGACCACTTGAAGAAATGCTTGACTACGGGTTTCGTTCGATATTGTGCCAGGTGCTGTTCGATGAGATATTCAAACCTTTTCATCCTGCTTTTGGTCGCGGGAACCGGACGGACAAAACGGAAAGACTCGATAGACACTTGAGGGATATATACAAACAAATTCGCATCCAAGGTTAAGATTCTGGAGTCTTGATTGATCTATTGTTACTCACACCTGTCTACACCCTATTAGAACCTCAGGTTGTAGCTGGACGCTGGCGCGCCAATACGTACAAGGCACTGGATGCTCAAGTCAACAGTCACGACGCACTCCTATCCAACATCGTCCAATTTGTCGTGAATGACAATCTTATATCCCTCTTGACAGCCATCTTCCCTCAACCCCTCCAACCTGGGAGCGAGATCTATAATCATATCCAGACGTAGTGATTCGATCGTACAATTGGAACCTAAAAGTAAAAAGGGATGTCCTCCTTTTTGACTTTGTCCCATTCCATGTCGAGAACAACGCGCCTTATGACTCCAAAACAATGGATTTCTTCGATAAGCCGAAGGGGAAGGGGGGGAGCATACTGTGATCTCTGTGGGGACGCTTGGGTTGAAGTCAATACTTGCTGTCGAGGGGAAGCGAGACCCTGAAATGCGGATACAAGAGAAAGTCAAGATATTGACGACACAGTTCTTTGGAGATTAGGGGGATCAGGGTCTCTTTCAGAGAGCTGGGCCCCTTTGGGTTTTTGATAAGTTTCTTGCATCAACACCCGTGTATCTGCTTACTCCTGTACATGCTCACACATGATAATCATTTCGGCGAGAATAGCAACGTTCTAACGAATGAAACGAAACTCAGACGCCGGGAGGAAATAAATGGTATTCGCAAATAAGGGATGCATTGCGTAACTCGTCTCAGATAGCAGAATTTCAGCCCCTTCAAGGCTTGCATGTCCATCCGTTGCCCACTTCATATCAGCAACAGCTCTGTGCCTCGAATTCGATGTGACGGCAACCCGCAAGCAAGTCGAGAGAAATTCTAAAGGGCCAATCTTTGTTCTAACCCATCTGAAAGACCACCCCAATCGGCGACAAAACCGTATACCTTTCAATATGGGAGCTGAATTCGGTCGCGCTTCATGAGCCTGGCGAGCGTCGAAATAGCTTGCGTGGCTTCACTTTGTCGAAGACCCAACACCCAACAAGGATCAGCTCACTTCGTGCACACATGGTAGTGTTGAAAACGAGCGCGACCGGGGAAGGTCCAAACTAGTTCTTGGGTGCCACCACACCCACGTCCCCGCACGACCGGGAACCAGGTGTTTGTGATTCAATTAATCCCTCGATATCTGACCTGTTGCCCAGCATGTCCGGAGTTGCGGCGATTATGCAGCACTCGACCCATAATTTTGTATTGGAACCGACAAGTCCGAGCTAGCGCGACCAACTGCCCCGAACATCAAATAACAGTTCCGTCAGGTACTGCTTTAGCGCTCGTTTCAAGATGCGGTGGGGACTTGCTGGCGAGCCAATCCAAAGGTTGGTTGACGATGATCACTGCACTTCCGAGCTCTCAGCGGAGCCACGAAGTGTGTCGCAAGGCTGTTTGATCCTTGGCCCTTCAATCTGCCTCGGGGGGCTGGTGATTATTTCCTTGACGAAGGGTTTGGAGAGCTGTCTGGAACAGATGGGTTAGGAACTCAATGATTTTGTGGACACTCCACTAATGGTTAGGCAGGGGCAATGTCTAAAGCTAGAAAGCCTTGGTTCCAGATTCTATGTCGCCATGGACGCGGCCTAAAATACCGACGAGTGTTAGCGAGTAGGGACATAAGGGTGAATTCCGATTGTCAATAAACGAACTGGGTGTTCCAGAGCGTGCTCATCGCAATGGCTTGCAAGCTAAATCCCTGACGCACCGCATCGAAGACTCCAATGACCGTGTCGATTGGTTCAAGCGCAATTGTGGTGTTTGCCCCAAATTTTGCAACCATTGAGTTGTCTTCGGCATGGATCGGGACATGATTGGCCGGAGCTCAGTGAGGAGAAACCTGGTGGTTGTGTAGAAGATGGACGTCAAGCTCCACATGCGATGTCGGCTCACTGGCAGGCAGAGAGGCGCGTTGTAAGCAGGAAGGAGGATACTGAACAGTTGGAGATAACATCGTCGACGACATGCGGCCTTCGTGTGAGCCTGAGAGTCGGGTTCCGTCCTCGCGGGCCCACAACGTAATTGTACCCTTCTGTCTGAGACATGAGTGATGGCTGAGAAATTCTCGAAGTATTTCTGGTTGCGTGCTTAACAAGGGGAGCGACGTGATCCTTCCATTACTCTGGGGCTGCTTCGGATTTCGAGCGTGGTGTTTCCAGGATCGAGCCTAGCTGTCATCAATCTACAGGGTTCGGTCAGACGGTTGTGATGGTCATACTAGCCAGCGGCCGTGGACAAGCAGCCGGATTACTCCAGAAAAGATTGCAAGCGCACAGATTCTGAGACCCGACGAAGATGACGTACTGGTTGGCAGCTAAGCGAACCGGAAGTTCGTGCACGCGCACCAACCCATACGAATGGATTTCGGGTCACTGAAGAGAGCGTGTATTCAATGGCTCCTGACAGATGTACCTATGGCACCGTAGGGGTTTGGTCCGCGACCGCTGAGGGAACTGATCAGTTTGCCGGGTTTGTTTTTTTCTTTCAATGGCTCTCAGTCCGTCTGTTTCTTATCGCTTGCCAAGGGCAGCCCTGTGCAATACTAGTATATACCACCGTGTTGGAATGATTCGATACGCACAGTACTCATCCAACGCCTCTGCGGATCAGCAGCGCATGCGTAGAATTTGGCGCCATACTTATGCAGTCAGCCCAACTGGAAATGAACATGTTGGCTGCTCGTTTCCCTCCGGGCTGGATGCAAAAGCGGAGGCTCTTCCTTTTGGCTTCGTCCACTCCTTGTCGAGCATCTCATGACTCCAAATCAATGGATTTCTTCGAAAAGCTGACATGAAAACGGGAGGAACACATTGTAACCTGTGTGGGGACTTTGGGTTGAAATCAATTGCAGCCCCAGGGGTATTCGAGAACAAAAAATGCAAATATGAGGGAAGACAAGGACATTAACGGCACAGTTCTTTGGCGATTAAGAGGATTGTGATCTCTTTCAGTGACGGAAAATCCCCTTGGTCCATTTGAGACCCTGATAATTTCTTGCATCATATCAACACCCGTGTATGATGTAACTATTTCCCACTATGTCGCGGCCGCTGCTTCAATGATGGACAGAAATGGTGACCATTCTGACAACCATAATCAAAATACATACACCTGGAGGGAAACAAACGACGCTTGCAATCGGTGGTGTTGCATTGGCGATAAAGTTACGAAACGAATGCGGTAGTGTTTCGTCGTCTCAGATGATGGAATGCGGAATAATCGTCGCCGAGCCTCGCCGTATCATCCCCTAAGAAGATAAATTGAGTTTGAGCGATAATGTCGAAGAGGTTGCACAGTTACCCGTTCGGTCCACTCTATATAAGCAACCAGCTCTGTGCCTCCGAACTCGATACCAACTCGGAAGTCGAGATGCCAGAAGGTCCCGGAAGGTCCAGATCTCTGTTCGAGCCCTCCTGAAAGACCACTTAGATTGGCGACCAAATCGCACACCTTTTCAATACCAGGAGTTGGATTCGGCCGCACTTGAGGGATTCGTCAGCTGATTAAGCCTGATGGACTCCAAGTACCGCACGTACCTTCAGTGTCGAAGGCCCAGTAAGGATCGGGCTCGCTCACCCTCGTGAAAACATAAAGCGGAGTTGAAAACGAGCCCAAATCCGGTCGACTGTGACTGTATGCCCTTGAGAAAGCTCGTGTTACCCCTTGGCCGGGTGCCATTATATCGCCCTATGAGTGACATTGGGGATGAGCACGGGAAATTGCCAGCGCCACTCACTCTTCGCACGATCGGGAACCAAGTGTTTGGTATCCAATTGATCCCATCAATATCTCTTGTGACCCGTCGCCCAACATGCTTGGGGTTCTGGGGATTATACATTACTCGACCCACAATCCCATATTGGAATCGGCAGGCTCGAGCTACGACCGACTGCTTCGAACACCAAATGACAGCTCCGTCAGACACCGCCTTGGCGCTAATGTCAGGGCGCGGTGGGGTTTTAACGAGTCTTCCAAAGTCGTACAGGTTTGGAATGACTTACGTTGAATCGTTGACAATGGTAACTTGTGAGTTGCTGACAGAGTTACGGAGCGCCTCGCGCAAATATGGGCTCTCACCGAACCCTCCCACCAGTAGCACATGCTACCGGACAGTTAGGTCACTCTTCAAGCGCACTGAAGGGAACGATTTCCTGCTTACATCGACCCTCAGTCCTTCCATTTGCTCCAGGGCACTCGCAATTATTTGGTCGACGAGCGGCTTGAAAAACGATTCTATCGTATTTCTTCGGAAACGGATCAATTCAGAACTGCACCAGAACCTAGGAACCAGAGTTCTTGGACTTACCCGTCTAAATTCATTCTACCCCTCCGTATCCCGAGGTTTTCTACCGTCAGTCTGCCGGCACCCAAGTCGAGGGTTCCTCTTCCATTGCTTCCTTGGAAGGCCCTCTTCGTATTTGCCTCGAAATCCGTCACGGCCTTTGCCACAGCTTCTTCAAGATCCTGAGCGGTCATCATTCTGACCGTGCGCAGAGCTTGACGAAGATACTGCTCGGCGGCGAGATTGACAAATATTCCCCCAGCTTGCACACCTACAGTGGTTTCCCAATGATTAGACCCCGCAGGCCACAGATAATTTAAACCATCCATACACGCAGATGCTTTAATCTCCTTCATTTTGAATTGAGGCTGGGGTGCGATAACTTGGTAGGTGGTCGAGTCGACGGTCGATCCACCTTGACGGTCGACCAACTCAGTCAAAGACCCCATCAAGAGATGCGCAACAACTCACCAGCATCACACACCAGGAGGCTGATGCCTCGCTACAGAGAAGGAAGTGGGTGATACAACGCGCATGACCTTACATGAGGGGGTGGACGCACTTGGAACCTAGGCGCAAGGTCGGCATGGAACATGCAATAGTGCACACTGGCCTCTCCTTCCGTTATGAAATGAATCCTAGGAGAGCCGCTATCTCGAGTCCAACCCGCAGCCGCGACAGCGCTCCGAAGGAAGTCTTGTTCACGAATGCCCCATCCATTGGGGTGGGCGATGACGATGTCTGAGGCTGGAAAGTACTGGTTCCAGACTCGCACACCGTCAACTACGTGATCCACGAAATACTGACGAGTGTTAGCGAGTAGGTATGCCAGGAAATCTTGATATATTTGTGTCAGTCCAACCCCAGGAGGAAGCGCTGATTATGAATGGTCAGATGTAATCAATGAGAAACAAACCCCTCAGGCGCACGCTCGATCGCTAGGTTATACTTCTGTCTCATTGTCGAGGGATGGAGGTGGAGCTTGAATTGTTTCGCTAGTCTCCAGCCATAATCCGCCGCATCGTTTTGGGTCTCCGCAGTGACAGCTTCCGCTCCATACGCGACCGCCTGAATCGATGTCAGCTTAACCGACATGGCTAATATAATGGATTAGAGGGATCGACCTGGTTTTGCCTATTGTACCAGATGAGAGTCGGTATCTTGCTTTCTCCTCGGTGTGGTGGCTGGCCCGGCCACTCTGAGACACGAGTCACAGCTTGAGGACCGCTAAGCGCGAGCGGTTAAATTTCTATGGGCGTTACTGTAGCCAGCCAGTCTGACATACCTCGGGTACAAGTATGCATATGAGACGCCTGTATTTGAAGTGCCGATGTCGATGGCGATGATTATTTTGCTCTGGCCAGCATAGAGCTCGCTTGCGAATGCCTTCATCGTCCGATAAAAGGGACGGATGGGGAGGAATGCCGGAGGACTGAATCGCTTGAATAAATAATCCGTATTGCACAGGCCACGCCCTGAGGCTGCTCGATATGGGAAGAATGTGCGCCAAGGCTGTTTCCGGGGTCCTGCAATATTCTGGGAGTGATAAAAGCTACAAGATGCCGATGCAGACCTGACATCGCGAACCAGAACCTCAATCTCAGATCCGGAGGTTTTTAACGAGTGAGGTGTTGCCACTCGGGCGCATCCTTAAGCCTAAGCGCCCACGAGATGGACCCCTGACAGGGCCACCTTCCTGATCGGGTGACTGGGTGCAATCGTTTGCAATTAGCGTCACCTAAGCTGTGCAGCGAAGGGAGCCGTGGTTCCAGCTCGTGTGTGACTCAGAGCGCTGACGGTGCTGGTGCTGAGTGACTGACGCATCTGCCTGTTCCTCTGTTCGATCCGAATATGTTCACCAGGAGTAGAGAGGCAAGTGTCGCCTTTCTCTGTCATTGCCCATGGTCTCAGATAGATATCGTTTTTGTCAGAATCCTCGCGAGCAGATGTACCAAACGTCTACGCCTGGGATTGTTGGCATACGTATGTTGCTTGTATTTGATCTTCTCCTTTCTCTCATTGTCTTCCTCATGAACAGCGCCCAGGGGTACATCATATGAGTATATTGAAATCATTCAACCTCAGATCCCACCTCGTCAACGTCACCAATCTCAATCCACCTCAGGGTATCCTCCCGATCCGCGACATAGAAACGGGGCAAGGGTGGCGTCGCCTTCGCCGAGCAATCAAGGCTCAGCATCTCCGGGCCATTCGCAACGGCCTACGCCTCAGCCCCCGTTGCCCAGCGTAGGATCCGAAGCACAACCGAGGACTTCGCTCTCTTCGTCGCGGACTGCTCCGCAGTCACCGTCCAAACCAGTGCAGCCACCCCAGTGGCAGGATCATCAGCAAATATACGGGGATGAGAGGCTTGCTCATGAAGTCCATCAAGCAGAACAACGAAATATCGAGTTGGATAATCTGCGGCACCAGCTTCGGGAAGAGAAGAACAGGGCGGAGAACCTTGCGAAAGAACTCAAGATCGCGCGAGAGGATCATAGCTCTCTCCGTGCCAATCTACAGCTTGACGATGACATTGAACCTGGACAAATGGCAAAGGAATTTCAGGCGATTAATCGCAGCATCGAGGACGCTTCTAGAGCGATAAGCGGTTGGTTTTGCGGAATCTTCACCTTTGATGGTATCGACGCGCCCACTACTGCGCACGTAGTAGACCAAAAACGACTTTATGACTTGATGCCGTATGCAAGCAGCCGGAATTCGACGCTGATACGGTCGTCGAGAAGTGAGTTTCGACCCCTGGAGGAATTCATAGATTTCTTCCTACGATGTATTCTGGTCCGAAAGGTCCATCACGAAATACTGGCTCCCCTACACCCTCATTTGAATGCGAGTGTGGAAACACGGGGCACTTTTGAAAGGGTGTACAAAGAAATGCAGAAGCATGGTAGGTACCCATTCTTTTGAAGCCGACTCAGTTGACATTAAAGCATCCACAGAATCTCAAATTGTGTGTGGCCGCTGGCGGAGCATGTCATTCAATGGACTTCAGTCCACGCTTGGTCCCAACTGGGATAGAGAATATGCTGGAGAACAGACTCGTCAATTCGAGGTCCAAACTATCTACCCACTCTTTGAAGTTATCTATGGAGTCAAACGTCCTGTGGGGGTTAGCCATGAGGTTATTGATATGCAAGACACACATAGGACCCAGTTGTACCAGCTATTCTCGAAATGTTTAGAGTGGAACAAGCGCGCAAAGGGGCAGATGTACAGTGTCGAGTATATCTCATTTCTCGTTGCAAACAAAGGCGCGTTTATCCCAGACAAAATGCGACACCTCGACTCGCACAACAAAGAAACAAGGGAAATACATATCGTGGCAGCGGTTACACTAGGTCTGTTGGCGGAGAAGGTGCAGGGGAAGGGTTGGGGGCCCGGAACAAACCCTGACCCGGTGCCGTTGGAGTCTCGTGTTTTAGAAAAGGTGGCAGTCATCACTGACGATTACTTTCGAGTGGATCGTTAGCGGGACATTGCGCTTCGCGGAGGTGCACAGTGTCGGCATTGGGATTCTCTCCCTGTACTTGTACTTGTAATGGTTGTCATAGGGCCTTATATGTCGGATTGAGATTTTGATGTTAAACATGCCGTTCGATCTGTGCTCTGGTATCATTATATGAGGTATGGTCCCTATCGGAAAGGAGACGCCCATAATCCAGTGAAGGACAATAATCTCAAGCCTCTAGTCATTTGAGCTTCGCATAGTCCAATAATGGTAGGACACCCACTACAGCCCTATAAAAGGCGTCGAACCACGCTAAAGCTCTGCAAACTTGCCCTTCAGTGTCTACGATGTCTCTATGTTCCCCGATTCTAGGTACAATGGCTGGGTCTGCCTTTCAAAAGCGGCCTTCATTTTTCCCTCAACGATCTGGTACAGTTTTGGCACGTTTGGCGCGTGAGCCAATCAGTGGAGACTTGTGAGCGAGAGGGGGAGACGAGGAGGCATCAAGGGCTAACTTGGGGAGAACATTGTTACTTAACACGGTGGGAGGTGATTAGCAGAGAAAGTTAGAATACTGCGGTAGAGGTTGGCGAAGATGAAAGGATAGAAGCACCAGTTGTCCTGAATTAAAAGCTAAGAACGGATTCAGCGCACATTTGCAAGCAAGGGGTTAAGCCGTTCGGGTCTCTGAGTCCCCCAGCCTTTGCGTGCAGTCTGGCATGTCGTAGTACATTATTTCATGATCCGCCAAGCCTGAGGGTTTGGGGGAGGGGAAACCTTCCGTCTCTTGGTTCGACCAGCCCAGCTATCTTCCTCACCGGTGAACATGAGCAGAGGTCTCGATAAGGTGAAGGAAATGTGGAAAACGTAGCACAGCAGCCAAGAGCAGCCATCGATCTATCTCAGTCGCCTGGACGGAAGAACAATGCTAGCTGGAAACTCATGCAGGAGGCAGCTGTCGGCCCAAATCACCCCGAAACCCGAGTCGCGCGAGCAACCGGCGTTAGTATACATCTATCGTAGGCTTCCCATGCCCAGGGCACGAATACGTATATAATATGACACTTCCGTATGGCAGTATGAGTGGCAATGCCGATGCCGACGACGATTTTTGCTTTCGCTAATGTAGAAAGAAAGCCATCATCGTCCAATAAAATGAACCGGAGAATGCGCGTGTTGCATGTAGACGGGCCCCAAGTGCCTTTGAGGACGGTTGGCCACTGATGTCTTCAGAGATGGAGGACATAATAAAGAACTGGAACCGTAGAACCAATGTCCGATCTGAACGTAGCTGTCACTGAGGAGAGCGTCGGCACTCTGATACTCTCTTGAACCTAAGCGCGCAGCAGATACCTTACTAACCGGGCAATTACCTGCAATTCGCACACCTAAGTCGTGCAGTGAATGGAGCCAGCCTCCTGCTCGTCCGTGACCTCAATCGCGCAAATAACTAGCAAGGGTGTGGACTCAGAGCACTAGTGACAAACCCAACCTGTCCTGTCCTCCGCGGGGAGTCCACCAGAAATACCAGGCTATCACTTTCCTTTATCATTGTTCGAGATGAACGCTAATTTCGCCAGCGCCTATCATCCGTATGTTGCTTGCACCTATTCCTCGCTCTGGTCTTATGGTCTTCGCCATGCTTAGCATCGGGGGGTGCATTACATCGGCAAACGGAAAAGACGGCACAGCTCCATCTCGTCAAGCACCCCGATCCGCAACACGGGTACAGAACAGGGGTGGCGTTGCCTCCACTCTGTAAGTATGGCTCAGATTCCCCAAACAATCCGCAACTCGATGAAGCCAGGCGATTAATCGCACCATCGAGGATGTTTCCAGAGCATAGGTTGCAGAACCTTTGCTTTTCATGTTGTCAAGCCGCCCACTGCTGGGGATGCAGTAGGCCAAAAACAATTTAACGGCTTGATGGCTTATGCAAACACTGATACGGTCATCGGAAACTGAGTGTCAACCCTCCTGAAAGAATTCGTGAATTTCATCCTACGATGGAAATACTGGTTCCGTTTCATCCTCATCTGTGTGCGTATGGAAACACGGGACACTGTTGAAAGAGTGTGGTAAGAAATCCTGAAGTGTAACACGCCCGTTCTTCAGGACAAGCTCAATTGACGTTGGAGTCCAGAATCTCAAATCGGCCTCTGGCCGAACATGTCATTCGTTCCGAACAAGGACACATTGAATCCAGATAAATGCGAAATCTCGACCAAAGAAACAAAGGAAATAAGCATCGTTGGGGTGGTTACCCTAGGCGTATTGGCAGAGAAGGCGCAAGGGAAGGGCCGGACGTCCGGAACAAAGACAGACTCGGCGCAGTTAGAGTCTCGGACTTTAGGGAAAGTGACAGTTATTACTTTCGAGGGCATCACTAAGCAGTACGACATCCTACTCCGCAGAGCTGTGGAGTGTCAGTATGGGATCCACTGCCAGCAATTTTAGAGATTGCAATCGGGCTGTCTAATTGGGTTGTTGCTAGAGCTTCGTGCTCTTCAGGACAAGCAGTGAACGAGCTACCATGGTTCAGAATCTCCACCAGAGAGAGGACCACGGTGATCCAGCGAAGGAAAACTCGAGTCTTGTGTAATTTTAAGTCAGTCGTCTGAGCTTCACAGAGTTCAATAATAAACCGTCCTACAGTTCTAATATCCTGAGCTTGAAACGCTAAGATTCGACATACACATCAAGTCCCGTGTTCTCTTTGCCTAAGACGTCGCTGTGCTCCCAGGTCCCGGGTAGGGCAACTCGGTAAGCCTTGGCCTTAGCCAAGAACGCCGCTTTAATTCTGTCTGCGATCATCTGGTGCACTTTCGGCACATCCGATAGTTTGGCGCGCGAGCCCATGAGTGAGGACTGTGTGAGTGATAGGGAGAAGTCGGGCCGAAGCGAAAGCGTGAAGGAGGGCGTATCGAAGGTTGGTGGGGATATGGTTACCTGAAAGCGGAGAGCAGTGAGAATCCAGCATTAGTGACAAGATACGAAACCTACTACGGCAGAAAATAGGGAGAGTGAAATAGAAAGAGAAATTGGCAAACGTGCAAATGAGACGGATGGATAATTAAAGAGGAACGAAGTAGAGAGTGTCATCGATAGGGTATCCGTATATAGTAGGTCAAAATTTATAATCTTGCATAGAAATCCATCAAATGAAGTAGATGGACGGAAATGATTGCGGATTGAACGCACCGCTTCGCCTGTTTCAGAAGAACGAACAACACGAGCGTTGGACAATTTAGGCGCCGAAGTCCCCAATGATACAGAATGAACCTTTACGGGAGACTGGATCAAGGGTTAGTTAAATGCGACAGCACGTGGAAGCGGAGCTTGCCAAATATGAAGAATCCAGAGTTCTTTGAACCCATCTTTCGATCCTCATCCTCGCCACTTCATCTCCACCACTCATTGGTGGGCCCCGGCGTAAAGCCTCACGGTATGATTGGGCAATCTGTCACCGTAGGACCATCGGTCATGACATTCATCCGGGACCAGAGGCAAGAAAACAGAGCGGCGCACACGTGCAAGCAAGAAATTGAGCCATTCAAGACTTTCCGAACTGTCCCGAAGCTTTTGAACGTAATCAGGCATGCCCAAGTGTGCCCCTTCATGGTCTTCCAAGTGTAAGCGTTGGGCTTTGTGGTTAAACAAGTTGGGCAAATCGCTCGGCTCGCCCTCGGCTTGATCATCCTGGCTATCGTCATCACCAGTAGACACGGGTTGAGGCCCCGTTGTGTCGAAGAAAAGATAGCGCAGAACGTAGCCAAGGAACACTAGAACGGATACTTGTCCCAGAATGAAGCCTTGGGTGAACGTGGGAGTTAACGACAGGAGCCCCATAAACACTCAGAAGGCCACTTAGACTCCGCAGTCCCGGTTGGACCAGATGACAAACAATACCGGTAGAGGGCCGGTGGCGATAGTTCTGTCTTATCACCACGCGGTCTTGTGGTCAAAAATGTAAGGACCACGTACTGTGTGGGCGTGTTTGGGTTACATAAAGCTTATGTAATCAGGTGACAAGCAATTGAACTTTCGCAAAGATTTTTGCAGAGAATATCATAGTGAATAGTTATTAGCTCATCTGAGACACGGGGGTCATCGTGGGGGTCATCGTGCACGCGTGGCACCCAGCGATGTGCACATATGAACATTCTAACGAATAACGTTGTCTATAGTAAATCATTCACTATATGCGAGAACTATTATATATAGTAAAGCTATAAGTAATATACAATGATATAAGATAAAAAAAAAAAGATAAAATCATCATATATGCGAGAATGAAAAAAAATAATCAAAAATGAATAAGTTTATTCGATAAGTCGAATAAAAAATAAGAAGAAAAGGTTGTGACAAGTAGTCACGTAGCGGAATGTGCTGTCGGCGAGTTCGCTCGATGTGGATGTGCTGTACGAACTCGTCGCTCCATAGCACACGTTCTCAACATTCAACTTGAATATTGTTTGATTCTACTTCACATCATTGCGGCTGACGACGCTTATATATACCGACAGAGTCGCGTACTTTCACCGATACCACGCGGTCTCAATAACTTTATCACAGGCAATTGCTGTAAGCAATATTGGCACCAGTCGTATAAGATACGCTGAGCGCCGTAATTTTCTTCCTCAGATCTCCATATTGAGGGATACCATTTCCCTTTTACCATGTTACAGTTAAGCAACGCGTCTAGTCTAATTTTATTTAACACACATATTGTCATCCAAAAAAGATTGATTGCAATCATATTTGTCAGTGAGCATACGCAAGCCTCGACAGCAAAGTACCTTATGAAGACCCTGATTATGCCACTTTGTCATATCAAGCACCTACCGATAGATGGATCCAAAACTGTTACCACACCGGAGATACAGGGGTACGCTTCCCCGTATCGTCAACACCCCCACCACTGGCACGAATGTCTATGCCAGGGCCTAACTCCGATTTGTCTTTGGTATGGGCCATCAGAACAGTGTTGGACTGGTAGAAAGCCCAGAGCCTCATTGGACGAATCTGAGGCCCCATTATGTGAGGTCGAGGGCTCATGTAGTATTTCTGGTAACTTGCGCGTCACATTGACGATCTTTCCATATTCTTGGATGATATCAGTGTCACATCTATCACAGTGACGCTGCTGAGCAAGGACCTTAGTTTCAGGCATCTTGCAACAATGCCCGTCCGTAAAGAACAAGGAACGAGACCGGAGATGCAGGGCGCCCTAAAAAAAAACGGTTGTTAGACTGTTGCTCAGAAGAGAACGTTGGACCAAACTCTAGGAAGCGGTGGGTCGGTGACGCCCGCGCGTACCGCTTGCCTCAAAATCCTTGAATAAAGGTTTGTGCATGGAAGGTTATATTTCCAGACTTCTACAATATCGTTGCCAGAGAATCTCTCAAAGGTCGAGGACATGTCATTTCCAACTACCTGACACGCCACCGCAATTGCACACATCCCCCCTTGCTGCCACGATATAAACCCCAAGTGATAGCCCCTGGCCCTTAACTTCCGTACATGCTGCAGGGCTGAGAAAATTGGGGCTGGGTGAGGCACTAGCGCTTAGTATGGACCACTAGGTAGACGGGACGTGGACCCCCGACCCCACCTACAATGACTTCATTTTGTGCAGCGCAGTTCAGGCCGTTCAGAGACCATATCGGGTGATGCCGCCGAAGTTCGCGGGTTCATAATCGAGTCACTTCCCAGGCACCACGGAGAAATGTAGACGCTGTGCAGAACTCAAGTGCCGAGTACTGAATTTAGCTCTGATTCTGGTCATCTACCACGCAATGTGGAATAGAGTATGATGGAGAATACCGCAGATGTGAGGATTTGACTTAGGATAATACAGGCGCCAACATTAATTCTCTGTGGTGAGATTTCTCGCGTGAGCCGAGTGTGCTAGCATCTGCCCAAGAATTTTGCAGGGAGGGAAAACACAGCCATCGACCATATTATATGTCCTCTGATTGCAGCGAAAGGAATGGTCAGTGGGAAGGACTGACAGGGGCGGGCCCGGGCAGCAAAATCTAGGTTTTCAAGCATGCAGGAGGAAAATCTTATCGACGGTAGAGGTAATCGCGCTCGCGGCAAGGCATGGCGGTTACATGGGTTGTGCCTAAGCGTGAATGTGGGCACCAGTATGGAGCGGCGGATGAAGCAGGGTATAGCAGCGAGCGGGGCAGTGGGCATCAGATCCAGGAGAACCAGGTTCTCTCACTGTATGTGCATGATAGGTATATCATAGTAGACGCAATGGTGAAGGACGAAAGGCATATGCAGTGATCACCATGGCACTAAGTTTCGAGGTCCAATTGATATGTCCTGCCTGATATTACAGCTTGATACGACCTTTGTGATGAGAAGTTCCTAATTGGCAATATCTGAACTGATATTACTATCGAGCGTGGATACAACGGTACTTGCAGAAATCTGCAATCAATTTGTGAGGAGTCGGACACCCCCCCGATTGCACGCGTTTGGGCAATCGGCAAAATACCCGATATCCCCAGTTGCGAAATCCCCAACACATGCTGAAGATACGTCCTCTCAGGCTGGCAACTAAATACTTGTCCCACCTAATAGCCTTCTATTTTTGCTTATTTGGTCGCGTCTCTCCCTGGCCAGTGGGGATGTTGAACACCAATGCCCGCTTCGATACCTGGTCGGAAAGATCGGTGTATTACATACAGTAAGTAAGAGATCGGATTTCGGTACCTTCGGCGAGTTTATTCCTGCAACTCTGCCGCATTATGTATAACTCTATTACACATGCTTTCTAGTAATGATTCCTATCAATGACGCGCATATTTTTGACAGTGGTTCAATTTGGAATTGATGCGTCATCCTTAGCTCGGTCAGAGCCTCACCTGCCATCTTTGCAACCTCCGTGGCATCTAGCTGAAGCCCTGTTCTTAGCATCCTTCTTACTCTATCTGGGCTTGACGAGCCTTGGAAACCTGATTGGGATCCTTGATTCAACGGAAGGTTGGGGAGAAGGAGAGTGCGAGGATTGGGATGGTGTTTTTGCATATGGCGAACCTGAGCGATGACGACGATGCAGAAAGGCCCTCCGTGTCTGACCGCCCCAGCGCACCATCAAACTCTGCATCATTCCCTAATGTATCAAGTCTTATGAGCAATATAAGCTAAGTAGAGAAGCCGGTGCCTGTGTCAGCGTTATGTAAGTGCAAGGCAGATTCCCAGAAATATGAGTCCAGGTCAAGTGTCGAGGGCGGGCTTAGCGTGGGACGCACAAATAAACCATAACAAAAATTGCCATTTGTGCTTCCTATCTCCATGATCGCTTATAAATTGGGGATATGGTGCAGATAATGGATTTCTACAAAATATTCAGAGGAATTTGCGTGTAACCTCCACAAATGAAGATATGGGCAAAATAGACTCATTTCCTCAACCACAACAAAGCCATTTTGATTTTTACGAAAATTCTTCCGAACTATTTTTCGTTCTGATCAATGTTTACTATGTAATGAAGTTCCTCTTCGCTTGTTGTGTTTGGTGAGAGACATTTTTGGCACTCTTGACGACTCCATATGGTTTACATAAGCAGGCCACAGAACCGAGGACTTTCTGACCTGCTCATAAAACTCGAGAACTCGCTGAGGCATGCCTCCACCCCAGTGGTGTCTAGGCAATTCTGATGAGTGTGGCTCCGAAATGGCCTCGTTCGGCCATTATCTGCGCTGAGTTGGATCGGAGTAAACCCGCGACCGTCCCAGGATATATATGTCGTGACCATCGAAAGCGCGGTTGGTGGCCTGTACATACCGTTGTCGTTCAAAAGCTGATCTGTTGGAAAGTTGGCCATAATGAGATCATAACATCATCAATAAATCTTTTGATCGCAAATATCTGCGACACCATATACTTTCGGTGTTCCTTCCTTCATTGTCTAATAACTACGTCTTATCGAGGCAAATACCGTGGATACTGTTGTATCCAACGTCGAGTGTTCCCCCAAGTCACGGATACTATGTAGTTATATCCTGAGCTCGAATATTGGACCTCAACGCCCTAGTCAAGGCTATTTAAGTACGATCATCAATGCATATTATGCATAATTTGGGTTTTGATTTTGACGCCGGCTTGGTTGCCGAATTTAAGGGAACAGATGCCCTTTTATACCGATCCGTTCTTGGACACTCCCCTCCCATCCATCCCCTTTTCCACTTCGACCTCAACGCTCTCTTGTTGCCGCTCCCTCCACCAACGTTCTTTTCGCATAGCTTGCGCAGAGCTCCCTCGTAGCTTTTGATCGTTCTCAATGTCTGTCATTGGCGTTCGTGCCGTCCTGGTGACGGTGCTTGTCCTCACGAAATGCATTTCCCTCGTGAACGCCCATATCTTGGTAAGATCTCCTGCCCCTGCTTTCATATGACCGAGGCTCAAGTTTGTTAAAACGGTTTTAGTTGTATGTTGAACAAAACCACCTTCTGCATGGTGCTCATGACTTGTCGTCCCTGAACAGGGCCCACCCATCCTCGTGGGGCTTCAATGTGACCGTGCACACGCCCACCGCTTATCCAGGCGATAATCGTCCCTGCACTCCCTTGCGCTATCGCCCGTTCAAAGGGTGGTGGTTCCATGGCTTTCTAGATTATCCACCACACCCGCAAGACAGTTTCCAACTGGAGGCTGGAACAACAGCCGTAGTCGAGACTGTGTGCAATAAGGATGCATCGAGTTACTGGGAGTCAGGCAATGGAAAATTCACCCAGACAGGAAATATGAATTCCCCATGCCGTGAGCTGACGTCCGGACCATAATTGGTAAACATGACTCACTCTGTCCCTAGCTGGCCACCCGCCGAGGCAATACCGTACGTGTGAGCACATAGCTCTTATACATTACTGACAAGAAAGTGTTCCAGATACGACGGTAAAAATGATACAGGGGGTTGTGCCCTTTCGATTGTGTACGAATCGGACGTAAACAAAGTCCAACCCGAGGACTTTGTCGTTTTTTCTATCCAACAAATATGTGTGTGGTACCGTTTCAGTCACTTCGACGTTCCTGCGCATATGCCGCACTGCCCCCATGGAAAGTGTATTTGCCAGTGGTGAGAAGACATGCTGACTCTTGCCCCCACGACAACAAGCTGATTAATGTCCGTCTTTCTTGTTAGGACCTGGGTAAGTGTTTATGGATTGCGTCAAGGCGCTGACTGATACTTTATTCTGATTTAGCAACATCGTGCTGATTCGGGAACTGAACAAAGTAAGTTGATTCTGGCGCTTCCGTCGAAGCAGGGTATACTGAAATTCCTCACCACAAGTGTACTCGAATATGTTCCGCTGTGGCGTGACAGGAGGTACTTCCCCGAAACGTCTTGCCAAGCCCAAGGTCCCTCGTCTCTGTGGCGGCGATCCTGACAGGCATATACCTCCTAATCCAAAGGACTGCGTGTCGGGAGCAAAGCAACCGTTCTATTGGCTCCAACTCGAACGTAATAACGTCAGTCTTTCACTGTCATGTGATGGCATCGTATCGGCTGAATTTCAATATTATTATCATGGTGTGCAGATGCCGAACCCGAGCACCATCCACCCCTCTATAACGATAGGTATAATTTCAAGCAAGGCGCACAAAATGACATCTTTGAGGATGGCCCACCGATGCTCTTTCCCGCGTCGAACGCCACGTCGACGAGCCAGGCGAAGCCCATGTCTACTCCGTCTACTAGGACTACAACCCCGAAGACGAAGGGTGGACCGAGACACTCTCCGTCTACCGCCCCTAAACACACTCCAACTTCTCACTGGTACGTACCCACTGCTCTGCTTGTCATTGGCCTGGAGGAATGACTTGGCCTTTTTTCATTAACTGTTGCAGCGAGAACAAGCGTACCGAGGCTCTCGAGGCTAGGGGACGCCCAGGTGTGGATGCCCACCGAAACTTATCCGCAAGCATGGTCACCATGTCGAGGGAGATGCTTTCTAGACTGCTTTTTGGCCAATCTATATCCTTTATTGCTCTTGCGCAAACTTTTGGACAGGGTCCACAGCTCTGCGTACTTTCTTTTTTGTTGTCACGCGTCGGTTGATACCAGCGTACCATTCAAGCAAATGAATGGTCTTTTCTTTTCCCGCGCTTACGTTTATATAATTTATCGTTGTTCTGGCAGCTTTTCACGCAAGCGTGCGTCATCTATTCGTTGTCCGCGTCGTGTGCCAGGCTTGTTGCTCATTTTTTTCTGACAACACTAGCCACTTTGTTCTTTGTTATGTCCAACCAGCATTTTCAATACCTATGTTGATTCCGTCCCAATCAGGTTCATCCTTGTCTGTCCCGTGTGTTCTCTGTAGTATTGTGACCAACCATATGTGGATATCCCATTATCCTAGTGAACAAGTCCCTTTCTCGCCTGTTTGGACACGAAAGCATGGGAAAGTATCTTCGGGGTTGCGGGTGGACAATGTCCCGCTTGCCTGATGGTTACTGACGCTGTAAATTGTAGGAGATAAGCCTATCACGGCGCTTCTTTCATGCACGTTATACTTGTTGACTTGACTGCGGTGTTACCATTCGGGTACATATATTATTATATGTTCGTGTCTCATGAGTGCCAGTGGAAACACCAGACTAGTTACCCTAGTTGCGAAATCCCGACGCACTTTGAAGATACGTCCTCTCAGGTTGGCAACAAAGCAGGCTGAACAATTCTCTCAGCTAATAACCCGATATTGTTGCTTATTCGCTAGCGTCTCATTCAGGATGTCGGGTGCTCGGATACTAGTTATATCTGAGCGGATATTTGTCAACGATCATTCAAGTACGATCATCAACACATATTATGCATAATTTGGGTGTTGATTTGGTGCTGACGTGGTTGCTGAACAGATGCCCTTTATACCGATACGTTCTTGGATGCTCCCCTCCCATCCATCCCTTTTTCCGCTTCGACCTCAACGCTCCCTTCTTGCCGCTCCTTCCATCAACGTTCTTTTTGCATAGCTTGCACAAAGCTCCCCCGTAGCTTCTGAACGTTCTCGATGTCAGTCGTTCGTGCCGCCCTGGTGACGGTGCTTATCCTCACGAAATGTTTGTCCCTCGTGAACGCCCATATCATGGTAAGATCTCCTGCCCCTGCTTTCATATGACCGAGGCTCAAGTTTGTTAAAACGGTTTTAGTTGTATGTTGAACAAAACCACCTTCTGCATGGTGCTCATGACTTGTCGTCCCTGAACAGGGCCCACCCATCCTCGTGGGGCTTCAATGTGACCCAGGAAACGCCCACCGCTTATGCAGGCGATAATCGTCCCTGCGTTCCCTTGTACAATCGCACCTTCCATGAGTGGTGGTTCCATGGCTTTCTAGATTATCCACCACACCCGCAAGACGTTTTCCAACTGGAGGCTGGAAAAACAGCGGTAGTCGAGACTGTGTGCAATAAGGATGCATCGAGTTACTGGAGGACAGGCGATAACGTGTTCACCCAGACAGGAGATATGAATTCCCCATGCCGTGAGCTGACGTCCGGACCATAATCGGTAAACATGACTCACTCTGTCCCTAGCTGGCTCCCCTATGAAGCAATACCGTAAGTGTGAAGCATTTGGCTCTTATACATTACTGACAAGAAAGTGTTCCAGATACGACGGGTAAAAATGCTACAGGGGTTGTGCCCTTTCGATTGTGTACGAATCGGACGTAAGCAAAATCAAACCCGAGGACTTTACCGTTTTTTCTATCCAACAAACATGTGTGTGGCACCGTTTCACTCACTTCGACGTTCCTGCGGCTATGCCGCCCTGCCCCCACAATCGAACGTGTATTTGCCAGTGGTGAGAAGACATGCTGAAACTGCTTGCCCCCGTGACGACAAGCTGATTAGTGTCCGTCTTTTCTTGTTAGGAACTGGGTAAGTCTTTATGGACTGTGTGAAGGCGCTGACTGATACTTTATCCTGATTTAGCACCATCTTGCTTCTTCGGGATCTGAACAAAGTAAGTTGGTTCTGGTGCTTCTGTCAAAACAGGGTATATACTGAAACTCCTCACCACTAGTGTACTCGAATATGTTCCGATGTAACACGACAGGAACTAATTCCACGAAACCTATTGCCAAGCCCAAGGTCCCTCGTCGTTGTGGCGGCGATCCTGACAATCACATACCTCCTGATCCAAGCAACTGCACGTGGGGAGCGAAGCAGCCATTCTATTGGCTCCAACGCGAACGCAATAACGTCAGTCTTTCACTGCCATGTGGTCGTATCGGCTGAATTTCAATATCATTATCATGGTGTGCAGATGTTCGAAGGCTACTACGATGTACCGACCTACAACGATAGGTATAATTTTAAGCAAGGTGCACAGAATGACATCTTTGAGGATGGTCCATCGACGCCGCACACCACGGAGACGAAGGGTAGATCGACACACACTCCGTCTACTGGGACTGCAACCACGCAGACGGAGGGTAAACCGACACACTCACCGACACACACTCCGTCTACTGAGACTACAACCACGAAGACGAAGGGTAAACCGACACACACTCCGTCTACTGGGACTACAACCACGAAGAAGAAGGGTAAACCGACACACTCTCCGTCTACTGGGACTACAACCAAGGAGACGAAGGGTAAACCGACACACTCTCCGTCTACTAGAACTAAGAAGAAGGGTAGACCGACACACTCTCCGTCTACTGGGACTGCAACCAAGGAGACGAAGGGTAAACCGACACACACGAGGAAGAAGGGTGAACCGGGACACTCTCCGTCTACCGCCACTGAACACACCCCAACTTCTCACTGGTGCGTACCCACTGCTCTGCTATCATTGACCTGGAGGAATAAATTGGCCTTTTTCATCACCATTGCAGCAAGCACAGGCATACCCAGTCTCCCGAGGTTAGCGGACGCCCAGGTGCAAATGCTGCCCACCGAAAGCTCATCCGCAAACATGGTCACCATGCGAGGGAAATGCCTTCTAGACTGCCTTTTGGCCAATATATATCCTTGATTGCCCTTTTGGACAGGGTTGCGTTCTTTTCTTTTCCACCCTTACGTTTAGTTCTCGCAGATGGCTTCCACGCAAGCGTGCGTCATCCTTTCGTCCACACATATCGTGTGCCAGACTATTTTTTTTTTTTCGCGAAAACACTAGCCATTCCGTTCTTTGTGTCCAACCAGAGCATTTTCAATATTTGTGTTAATTCCGTCTCAATAGGGAAGATCCCCAACACTAGTTATCCCTTCAATGGCTGCAACGAGTATTGTGACTAACCGTATGTGAACGTCCGATTATCCTGGCGAATAAGTCAAGCGTTATTTTCTGGCCTGTTTAGACACGAAAAGATATCTTTGGAGTTGCGCTTGCCTGATGGTTACTATACTCCTTGGTGCTGTAAATTGTCAATATAGCTGGCGTAGGAGATGAGTCCCACCACGGTGCTTCTTTCATGCGCGTTATACCGACCCGTTGATAGATACGGTCACGCTCGTCTTCTGATTGCCAGTTTACGAAAGCCAATGGGATCGGCTGGTATTTCCTTTTTCGTGCCAATGAGGTGGTCGACAGCAACTCAGGGAATAATATATATATATAGAAAGTTTGTCATCAATAGGTCGGCCAACAGGCCGCGCCGGATGCGCACCGGACGATCAGAGATAGTCAAGATCAATGAGTAATGGTTCCGTCATCCGGTGTGTGCATCCGCGCAATTCCACATCCGGAAGCTCGGTCATCTCTTCTCTACATCCATAGTTGCAGTGAATGAATGCTCGACCCAGCTTGCCAGGCTGATGGAGGGTAGGCCATACATCATATATTTGCGGGATGGGTAGTTATATGTACATCCTTGGATACATGCAATCTAATCAGTCGGTAACAAGTGAGCAAAGATTCGCTAAAGTGGGCTCCGGGAGGGAGCAGACGCTGAGCGTGAAGAAATTACAAACCAAAGCACACGTAACTTAAATACAGGTAAGTAGTCTAAGGCGCGCGCATAAGTCACCGGTCCAAACTAGCACACAGGCAAAGGAGATAAGCAGACGGACGAAAGGAATGATCCGACCTCCCGAATTTGCAAAGACAAAGTGGTGAGCCCCTGCAGAATCCCATTAACACACGGCACCACACACGTCGCATCATACCACCACGATTGATCGGGTGAAATAAGAATATTAAACTGTGGAATATTGTATGGGTGTACTAGTAAGGAGCGCTCGGGGATCAGGGTAGTTGACATGTACCAAGGTTGGTCGCTTAGAACGCCGCGCGTGACTGGAGATACAATTTGGAACACACCATTTTGTATGGTGGTGTCGTTGGCAGTACATAAGAGTGATCTTGCCTGGATGAAAACACGTCAGCAGCCATGTATCCACTTCCACTCCTATCAGTGGCGCGGATGAGCAAACACCTTTGTTAGAACGCCTGTCCCAAACTGGTGCATGTGAAATATCCTGAGATCGACAGACTCGATCAAGATCATGAGAAAGGATACTGATCACATTTCGCTCAGGACCAGATCGCAAGCGAAATCTGTCTGATCGGAGGTATTGGTGTCAAGATCGGGACAGATTCATGACGGGTCCATTGCGACTCACCATGAATCAGATTGATGATGGAACGTGGGCGTCTCGGGTGAGAAAGAGCTCAAGGACATGAAAGGATGTGACAGTGTGCGCAAGGTGAACAACGCGCGAAAGTGATATCTGAGATGAACGAACTGGCGCACTTATTCAATCCCAAATTTTTAACCGCATAATTTTGCATTATTTAATGCGCTTCACATCAAGCAGTGACATATATATATATATAGTCCGACGCATTGATTCATGCATAACGTCCTCGGGCGGTGATTTGAGAAGTAGCTGTGATAACTCTATAGTTCCCCCCACCTTCAAGTTCACTGGGTTAAGTCATCTGTAAATGTGATCCCAAGAACACAACTTCGATCGGTACTCATCAAAGCGTTGTCAACTCCCAGTCGGTTGCCTAGCTGCCCTCCACAGTGCACATACATCATTTGGGGTGTGTTCCCTTCGTTCTCATCAAGGTAAAGAAGCGAGAATAAGAAGCTGGGCTAGTCTTCCAATACGTGGTGCTGCGGTGATCCGTCCTTCGCTTGATCTCGCGTCCGCACTCGACAAGTGAGCCAGGAGCGGTGTTAAATTGAGAAGGGAGGGTGAGTAGTGATGTGGGGGATAATGATCGGCAGAAACCACGACGGCCGAGACTAAGACGAGAGGGAACCGGGTGCAGTCTTTCACTAACAGCCAGAAGAAGCCTTCTACATCGTGCACTGCAAGAAATGGGCCAACGTAATATTGTTACGAAGTCATAGAGGCTGGAGTCCTGCCTAGGGCCAACGGCACTTGATGTGCCGAGAAACAACATCTGCCAAACGTGCCTGCTATCGACATATCCCAGACAAATCCATGGAAACCTACACCATGCAGGCTCCAGGAGGAGTCCCTCTGCTACCCAATTGTAACGGCCATAGCTCACATTGAGATTTAGTCGGTCACCCTCCATCCAGTCATCCAAAGTTCCTCTGCTGCCCACACTAGCATCTATCTATCGGGTCTTCGATATAACGCCACGTGTGGAGAAGCAGTGTGACAATATTGTTGTTGGGTTGAGCGGAACAACAATGGGAGAGATTCGGCCGGCTCCGCCGCAGGACCCCCCAAAAAAGGAAAGACACTTTGCACAAGGGAGAATACTCGTAGAAGACAAAGAACACGACAAATTCGCTGAATGCCTATGGCGCGGAAGATCGCATGCGATCCTGATTGAATCACTTGTGATATGGAACATCTCCCTTGTTCTAGCTGGATATGCGTGGCACCCTGGCTGATAGGGCTGCGAGAACTGAGAAGGTGTCGGGCGTCTCACCGACTCATCCTATGTCATTGTACATGCAATTGGTTTGTTTTGATCAGTCACTTGTTGCTCAACAATGTAACCTTGGTTCTGCTCGTTCAGTGAGTGGGTGACCGCATCCTGTTATCGTCACCAGGAACAAACCAAAACTCAAACCTGCATATAGTAAAGTTGATCACTCTTCGACATACGCGCAAAGACATGTTTTTCCCATGCTCTGTCCGGCCTGCTGCGTGACCGATCACGGGTGTATGCCTGGTTCATGGCTTCTCGTGTTCCTTCCCTCTCGTTCCTCCTAACAAGGACCACATCAGGCGGATTCCTCAAATTAATTTAATACCACCTCATCCGCAATAAATAGCCACTACTTCCTTTTGCTCTATCAACCGACGTACCGGCACCCCCGCTCCGAATAATCCACCGTGACGGAGTCCCAGAGACTGTATGTGGTGTGTATTCGCTGGTTTATGTAGCCAATGGCTCGATAGGGACGTTAACGCTGCCAGAAGGCAGAAATTTTTCGTCCCTTGGGCTGGGAGATAAAGACCCTGGGGAAATTGGTTGGTATGCTCGGCTTCTTCACCAGGCTCTTTCGCAGATGAGGCCGGGGAGGGGATCAAGGGTTGACAAGTGGGGTCGCTTCTTGCTGTGAACCGGGGGGGTTGGAGCTGTTAATGGTGTGCAGGATGCCAATCATATACATTTGTCGCTAGGGTTCACTTCGAACTGAATGGCCTAGCGCTTCCACAAGTCCTTAGGCAGGTTCCCAGCCTCTACTAAAGTAGACAGCGCCCTCGGCCCATGGACAATAGAGTTTATAGATACAAGGGCATGTTCTCAATTAGAATGTCCCATGGTTGTTGGGCACACCGAAGGGCCAGACCGTCGAACCCCGGTCTCTCGCAGAGAGCCTTTTTGGGGCCCCATATACCAGCTAGAGGGCGTCTGCGCATGGTGGTGCACCATCAGTCCTGCTGCCACTGGGCGAAGGTACTTGTGAAGAACACTTCTATTTTTCGGTTTATCCCATAATCTTCACCACACTCGCGATCGCTTTATGTAACGTTGCATGCCTCCCAATATTTCCCCTGTTGTTGTATGATGTATTTCGGTAACCGCACAATATGGTTTCCGCTTCTGGCTTTTTTTTTGGACCTGGCGACAATTCTCACGGGCTCACAATGCGGATTCTCACCCCTCTGTAATACAAATTTGTAATTGCCAATAAATGCCTCGCGGGCTCGGGCAATTGTGTAGCTTACCTAAGCAAGAGGCTAGTTGACAGCCTTTTATGGCTGTTCTTGGTAGCTTTCTCCTTTCCATCAGTCTCCCCCTCCTCCTCCTCAACCTCGACGCTCTCTTGACTTTGACCTCGTTCTTCTTCGCTCCCTACACCAGCGCTCTTTTCGCATACAACGCTCTCTCATAGATTCTTATCTTGACTTTTTGTTTTTCAATGTCCGTTGTTAACATTCGTACCGCACTGTCGACAGTGCTTGTCTTCGCACAATTTGCCATCACGGTGAATGCCCATATTTCAGTATGTCGCCCCCCGTCTCTGCCTTCGTATAACTGAGACCTAAGCTTATTACCCTGATTTTAGGTGTATGTTGAACAAAACTATGTACACTGCATAGTGCTCATGACTTGCTCGACAGTTTTCATCCGGCGATGTGGGGCTTCAACACGAACGCAGACACGCCCACTCCCGTTGGAGGCGATAATCGACCTGTCATTCCTTTGATGAATCGCAAGTTCAACGACTGGTGGTTCCACGGTCTCCTCAACGATCCACCGGCCGCCGATGCCATTGTTCAGATGCCAGTTGGACAAACCACAATGCTTGAGACTGTGTGTGATAAGGGGGCGTCGAGCTACTGGAATTCAAGTGCTGGCCACACATTCGTCCAGACCGGGGATGATAATTATCCATGCCGTGAGCTACCAACCGAACAATGATTGCGACCATGGCTCACTCTTCACTTAGCTGGTTACCCTCTTTCTCAATTCCGTGAGTGAAGTGAGCACGCAGGCCCCCCATGTATGGCTGACAAATGTATTTCAGATACCACTGGCATCAATGATTTGGGAGGTTGTGCCCTTTCCATTGCGTACAAGTCGGATGTCAATCAAGTCACACCGGACGATTTCGTCATTTTCTCTGTTCAACATCAATGTGTATGGACGCGTTGGACAGCCTTCGACGTTCCTGCGGACATGCCGGCCTGCCCCAACGGAAAGTGCATATGTGCTTGGTGAGAAAATTGCTTGTCTCCGTGACGACATGCTCATTGATCTCCATTTCCCCCCTTCAGGCACTGGGCAAGTCAATGTATTACTGGCTATGTAAAGGCGTTGACTGACACTTTATCCCAATTTAGATCCACAATCCAGATTCGGGATCTGAACAGAGTGAGTTGGTTCTGGTGTTTCCAGTCGAAATCGGGGTATGCTGAAACTTCTCGCCAACAAAGTGTACATGACTGGATTTCAATGTAACATGCAAGGAGCCACCGGGACGAAACCCCTTGGGAAACCCCAGGTCCTCGTTACTGTGGCGCTGATTCCGCCAAGAACAAGCCTGCCGTTCCAAGCAACTGCACGTATGGGGCGAAGTCCCCGATGTGGTGGTTCCAAGCTGAAGGCAATAACGTTAGTCTTTCAGACCATGTAACGGCGAACAAAGTTTATATCATGATGCATACAGATGTTCGAAGATGCGATGGATGCACCGACGTACAATGACAGGTATCATTTCTCGCAGGGTGCACAGGTTGACATCTTCGGGGATGTTCCGGCGACGTCGTACTCTTCGTCGACTTCGTTCACCCCAACCCCGACGACTACGAGTACAAGTACGAGTACGAGTACGACTACAACTACAACCACAACTACAAGCAGCGCGTCCAGCTCTCCACAGCAATTATACAACAATGCTCCCTCCACGTCCTCCACGTCCTCCACCACTACAACTACGATTACTTCCCAACACAAGGCTGCACCTAATTCTACTCCGTCTCCTAAGACCACCACTACCACTCCTAAAATGAAGGCTAAGCCTAAACCTACAACCACGACCACTTGCACGGAGAAGCCTCACCCTATTCCACACACCACCAGCAAACACAAGCATCACCCTATTCCACATACCACCAGCAAACACAAGCCCCACCACGTACCAACTCCCTCCCAGAAACATTGGTGCGTACACATTGCTCTCTTCATTGTTGACTTGGGAGCACACCTTAACTTTTTGCATTCATTATTCGTGTAGCAAGCACAAGCGTACCAAAGATCTTTTGGCTGAGAGACGGTCAGACGCGGCCGCCCATAGAAAGCTCGTCCACAAGCGGGGCCACCATGGCGAGGGCAACACCTTCTAAACTATCTTATAGCTGATCTTGATTGTCTCTGCGTCGACGTTTGGACAGATCTTGCGCCCCTTTCTCCTTTGGTGTTGTGTGTCGGCTGGTGCCCGCCTCGGCTCTTGGCATGTGGTTCGAGTGAATGAACGATCTTGATGATTTCGTTCCATTTTATATTTTCTTTCTTTTTTTCGCGCTTGCGTTTAGTTTATAGTCGTTCTGGCAGATCGATGACTTCCACGCAAGCGTGTGTCGTCCTCTCATCCACATCGCATTAAGCTGCATGCTTTTTTTTATTTATTTCATGTTGCTCATTTTGTTTAAAGAAACTCGATGCCATCTGTTCTGTCCTGCGCATGTCGAATCAGAGATATTTCAAATATTTTCTATACCTGTATAAGTTTAGCTCCCCATTGGGAAAATACCAACCACTGAGTTGCCTTTCAGTCCTATTGGTGATGGTCGTCACTGTTCTTCCTTTCCCCTTCATAGTTAACTTCCATTCATGCCCCTCATTTTCTACTATTCATCCGGAAGGTGAATCTCCGTGCATCCGACACAACAAATCCATGGGAACACCCCTCAGGGTTGCACCAGAAGAAGCCGGAAGCAGCTGGGGAAGAGCGCGAGTAGCTACGGATGATGGTGTGGCTGAGCATTGATGCGGGAACGTGAATGGAAACGGATATCAGAAGGCGCAAAAACTAATACCCAAAGTGCACAAGTGCAGCATCAGCCACATCGATGCAACCGGTTGTTTCTCGGCTTCCCTGTACCCGAGCTACTCCAAATCTCGTCGCGCTTCCATGGAAGTAGGCATCGTGACCCTGAGTCGCCACATGTGTCTAATCGTCAGGGAGACCCCACGTTGGAAAGAATCGGCTACAATGGCTGTATATTCCCTGACGGGCTGTTCCCCCCACATGAAAGCATGGAAAGCGCCTTCTAGGCTTAGGGGTTGAAGCACTCGTATTGAATTCAGTGAAATTTCGCCTCCCAGCGGATGAACCAAACCGCAGATCGAGCCGGCCACGGACACTTGGAAGCGTTCGTATGCCGTGCCGAAGCATCTGTAGAAATGTTCCAACATAGGTCAACATGTACTTATTCTATGGTTACCGATGCGCAGTCTTGACCTTGCTTGTGACCAACAAAGGGAGGGGAAACCAGGAACAATCTTACGAGGATGCGAAAAAAAGTTCCCTCGAATTGTGAGGTTTGAATATGCATGCATTGGGCGCAACTGCCCATCGTCAGTAGGATAGCCCATCAGTGGTGGTCCCTTGTCACCATTCAATTCTATAGAGGCTGGTCCCCTGCCTACCATTTGATACACTCTGATCCCCTTGGGGTTGAAGGAAACCTGAGACCGAGATAGATACGGTGATGTTCATACGAATCAAACTTACATGAAAAGCTTACACGCCTGCTAGGAGTTAACTTCAGTCTTCCATAACGATGAAAATTAGGTTAGCAGACGATACACATGGTTGATTTTGTCCGAGAATCGCGCATGCCGTTGGAGTGTTTGCGTAAAAAACTGCACAAAAAATGCTCCCGCGCATTTAGAACTTCAGCATACGCAATTCCCTGAATTCTGGCAGCATTGACGTGACATGCCAAGTCACTGTCAATCACCCGTCTTGGTGATTAGGTGAAATGAGTGCCATCTTTGTCGGCAACTTCCACAAGACTTTGCATGCGCCTCGTACATTTGTGCTAATACTGACAGTGCCCCAGCTGGGTGCCAGCCATGAAATGGTTGCCGGTTCGATCCACTCTAGTGGTTGTACGGAAAGTGGCGGTCCTCGGGCTATTCTTCGGAGTCGCTAGCTAGGGGGAGATCAACATGCGTCAGTTTGGAGCACCACAGCAACCCATTTTGTGTATAAAATGTGTTACCCTACAGCTGCTGACTTTGCACGTTGGGCTGGGGCACAAGTGAATGGCATATAGCCACCGGCTCCACACCTCTGACATGTACTCCTTGGTAACGATCTAGCCCGGGGGGGGTGGGTGCAGGCACGGCTACTACTCGAGCCATCAGCCACATGCACAATTTGCCTCATTGATAAGCGAGCTGTGATTGAGTCTGACATCCTGTTTTCCGTTCTCCGATCCATTAGTCCGGCAGTCAAATAATAATTACTGCAAGCCAAGTACGTAGGCTTCAACGGTAGCACTCTATAAATACAATGGATCAGGACCCCAGTACCGCACGACCTACATCTCGTGATGTCAGTGGTTCTCCATATCTGAGGGTCACTCAATCATGCTCCCGTTACAGCGCTCTCCTGAGAAAGCCCTCGGAGGATTGACCAGATGAACTATGAACTTGGCGGGCCTCCAATGCAATATTCTATTCCCAACTAGGCAACGGACTGACTGGGAGGATTCAGTGGGCGCTGATCGGGGTCAGGATTTTTTGGGGACCCTCACAGGCAGCTTGGCCCAGGCTGCCCGAACTTGGGAGTGGGAAAGCCGTCACGGCTGTTGGTGTAACTGTACATCTGCTGCTGCCGAATCCATGCCCTCGAGCTGTTTGTGCATTGCGAGCCAGGTCAAAACCGGATCAGAGTCGATGCGAGAAGGAAGTCGGAACATAACCTTACGATTTCTTTCCTCTAAGTTCAGCCCTAAGAACGCATCTTCTTTGGCACGCTTATTTTCTTCGCCAAGTCTCCGGATTTAGGTGTTGAAAACATCTATCGTCCTGAAGGATCAGTATGATGACATTCCTTCCTTTGACGATCTCTTTGCATACCTCGATAACATGGCTAAGTCTTGTCAGAAATTGTGCGGTCCCTATTGCCAACACTCCCCAAGGAACGACTTGCTCGTTTGGCGACGGAGTAATTGTATTCCCCCAATCGTAGAAGACATGCATTGTCTGCAACGACATCCACCCTTATCTAGTCTGAACTTCACTTCTGTCTAATTCTTATCTGACACGAACGTCTTGCCATATCGAAGTCATTCAAGAGATAACTATGACCATAACCGCAGCGATCGTAGCTCTCATGCTCACGCCAAGGGCAAGTTAACTATTTAGAATCCATGGGGCAAAACAATCAGAGCTTGTTCGAAATGCTCAAACCTTGGTCACTATGGGTAGGTCACTGGTGTGCTTGAATACTCGTGCGTCGTGTACAGTGTGTTGAATATGTTAAGTGGCGCAATACAAATTACCAATGCTACTGCGTTTGAGGAAAGGAATGTAGGGCGGGTCTCATCGGTGCTTCGAGTGCTTGTGGCCTTTTTTACTGCGTCTTCCCCCCGATTCATCGTCACGGTTTTTCTCGGGACTGTCGTCATCGTGCCTTCGCTGTTGCTCGGAATCTTCGGCATCGTGTCTCTTTCTTTTCGACCCGGAGCGCTCACGTTCCTCGTCGTCCCCCCACTTGCGTTTGGTCTTAGAACGTCCAACGTCCAGCTTCCGATCTAGCTCGGAAGCCTCGCCACCTTCCCCCTTTCGATCTGACCCGGAATCCCTGCGCTTGCTCTTCTTTTGCTCCGACTTGAGGGATTCCCACTTTTTCCCCGACTTGGACTTGGAGGGCCTTTCATCATCCCGCTCCCTCTCTGACTCGGAGTGCGCATTGCCATCGTGCCTCTTCCCTGACTCACCTCGCCCCCTGTCCAATCCCAGATCCTCATCGCCACTGTGCTTTCGTTTGGACTTGGATTCCTTGTCCTCATCTCGCTTCCGTCTTGACTTGGAAGGCTCATCTCCACCTCGTTTCTTCGGCGTGGACTCGTCGCCCCTTGCTCTCGACTTGGAACGTTTGTGGTCGCCACGCTTCTGCTCTGATTTGGGCTCATCCTCAATGCTTTCACCATATTGCCCCTGCTCCGACCCAGAACGCTCATCCCCGTCTCTTCTTCGGTGAGATCTAACCCGCTCCTTATCCCGCTTCCGCTCCGACTTTGAACGTATCTCACCATATTGCTCCTGCTCAGACCCAGAATGTTCATCCTCGTCTTTCTTTTGGTGAGGCCTAACCCATTCCTTATCCCACTCCCGCTCCGACTTGTAACGCATTTCACCATATTGCTCTTGCTCCGACCCAGAGTGTTCATCATCCCATTCCCGCCTGGACCCAGAGCGTTTCCTATTCAGGTTCCGCTCCGACCTGGAATGCTCATCGTCGTCATCTCCCCTTCTCTTAGATTTAGACCGGGGTTCCTCTCGGTTTCGTTCCGACTTGTGTTTCTTATCCCGTTTTCGCCGGGATCCAGGTCTTTCCTCATCGCTCGATGCACTCGGGTTGATGTTTTCGCCCTTGTCTCGCCTTCGTTTGGACTTAGAACGACGTTCACTTCGTTCCGGCTCAGAACTCCCATCTTCATCCAGAGCGCGCTCGACTTCGACAACCTCCAGCTCCGCTCCGGAACCCTTGACCCCTTTTCGCTCACGCTTTGGCTTCTGGGTTTCGTTGTCATCTCCTTGGCCCGGGGGTTGCTTGTCCTGCTTTTGCCCTGATGCGAAATCAGATTCCTGACGAAATGGTTTCTGCATTTGAGAATGCCGTTTCTGGGTTGTGGGAAACGGTACCTGGACTGCAATCTCTTTATCCCCAACGGTTGTGGGAAATACAGATTTATTGGTTTCGTTGGTGTATAGCTGAGGGACAGAGACTTTGTGGTAGCCACTATCGGCTTCAACTCGTTTTGGCGCCTCCTCGTTGGAAGATGAAGCAGTTCTGTCCACCCACAGGGAATGATCTAGGGTTATTCTGAGGCTGAAGCAAATTTGGCTCACTCGTCTGAGCTTTCCTCGGACTTCAAGATGGCATCTGAGCTATAGAAGTCCCAGATATTCTGTATTTTTGTCCCGCCATTCTTTGGGGTGAGAGCCGAGTGGGGGGGAACGACAATATTGAAGAGGGAGGTTTTGGACTCATGACGCGCTTCGGAATTGGCAAGCGAGAGTGGTGAGTCAGAAACAGTGTTTGTGGCACTGGGGATGGTTTGGTTGGAGCTTGACTTTCTCTCCAATGGCCTAAGGGAAAACAGCTGTTACGAGTATGCGTAAAATACAAGTATTAGCTTACGTTTTTTCAGATTCATTATGACTCCGGTATTTCTTCCCCATGTGGATATACAGACAGTGTGAAGTGGTGATGGAGATGGGATCAATGAGAAATGTATGCGTCCTGTCGTGTTTGAAGATGCGTAAATGACTGCTTGAAAGCTCCAGAAGCCAATGTGATGCAAGAAGAACGCGGGGGCAATGGGATGCTTCGTGGCGCCACGGCGATAACACCAGCAACTGAAATGAAAACCCTGTAAACACTAGTGCTACAGAATAGAATTTGCGCTGCTTAAAGCCTGATGCACCCGTAGAGTGAAACCAGGGCTGCGTAAGGTAGGTGTGGCCGCGGTTTTCAACTGTCCAAATTTCAGTTCTTTGGCCAGCTTTGAACCAAACACATCAAAACAATGACGACCCAACCAAGTCGCTAGGTCCCCAATATGGGCCATGAATTAGGCAGGTGACCAGCCTCTCTTAGCCATGAACGGGCTCGGGGGCTGCTTTGCGCAGAGGTTCCGACTCGTATCGCTAGAACCAAACCAAGCAAGGAGGGATGATGATGATGAATTCATTTCCAAGAAAGATGTTCACGAATGAATGACTTGACAGCAGGGAACGTCCTGAAAAATTGGCCAGCTCGGGGATTCGAAGATGCAGCTGGTCACGTCACGGAAACCTATGGAGCCAATGAGGATCGATACTGGAACAGGGCTCCTGGGTGTTGCGTACAGGTTCGCGCCAGGAAAACGCCCCTTGAGTCTCGCATCTTGCGTCCTTTGAAAATGCCGTTATCATTCATTTTCCAAAATGTACCTGATGCTGCTATCTTCCGTGGTACTTGTGTAGTTGCCGTTGAAGCTTGTGCTGATGCCAAATTAGGCCTCACGGATGTTACGGCTGCGCACGCGACAAAAGGCCGTACGTCTTGATCGGAAGTGACTGCTTTGATTCCCTTGTAGTTGTGGCGCAATCCAATGAGACCTTGCACGGCCTCCCAAGGCCTCGATGTCAATATGGAAATTTTTGTCGGGACGCCCAGCCAAAATTCAAATCCACAAACAGTCTAGTTATTCATACACATAGGGAAATATTTTCCGATGTCCCGTCCTGTTTGCTGTGCGATCGATTACAGTGCATACCTACCCACGACCCGCGGCATTCCCTCCAGCATCCTGTTCGCACCAACAGGTATCGTATCAGCCGAGTTCCTAACATCGATCTCTCGGTCCTGTCTCATCCGCAACACGATCGCCACCACTTCTCTCTCCGTCACCAAATTTACTCTTTCCTCAGCACCAACATCGCCCCAGCCACGGCTACTCGCAGCGATTTTGTTGCTCTCTGCTCTATCAGCCCGACGTACAGCATCTTGCTCCGAACGATCCGTGAAGGAATCCCAGAGACTATATGTTGAGAGTATTTGCTGACTTATGTAGCCGATGAGCTCAATAGAGACGTTAAGACGTGCCAGAAAGTTGAGGATTTCGTCTCTTGGGGAGACTGAAGATGAGGATGCATGGGGCAGAAATTGACTGGTATACTCGGTTTCTTCGCCGGGCTCCTTCGTGGACGAAGTAGGGGAAGGGGGCATGGATTGGGAAGTCGGTTCATTCCTCGCGTGGGATTGTTGGGGACCGAGGAGCCTGGAGCTGATACTCGTGTGCAGGACGCAAGTCATATACAGGGCCGCGATGGCGATCAAATAAGGAGGGTAGAGCAAGCATAGCTCTGTCCGAAAGCTGTCACTGATGATGAACCTGAAATGGAATGATTGGTACCCAGTGGGCGCCGGGTGGAGTTAACTTACCATGACGTCTGTATGGCTCCCTCTTCGAGAACTAGTTTCCCTTCGCCAGTACCCCAGAACCGTTCCTCCTCTGGGACATAACCTTCCTCACCCTCTTCCTTTAGTTCGATGTGGCCAGTGTTTCCACACAGATCGGCAAGATCCTGATAGGGATGATACACAGTGAGCTGAAAGTCGAGGTCCTCGAGCAAGTAAAACTCCATTTCGCCTAATTTTGTATGATCAGTTGGAAACGATTTGATGCCATAGTCATCTGGACGGGGGTACTGCCTGGTTAGGCTCATCTGGGGTAAGTCGAAGACATAGTGTATACTCACTACCAAAGGCGTTTCGCGCTTCGGTTACAACACTCTTAAGATGGGCAGGAGACTCTTCCACTTTTGCGGCAACATAACAACAGGCAGCAGCAACGACAAATGGATCCGTTTCACAGTACGAGTTCTTCAGGTAGAAGCGCCGAAAGTAGACGATTGCAGTGGCAATGACCTGTTGTCGAAACTCCAAGCGCTTTCCAAGCTTCGAAATGACTGAAGGATATCAACGTAAGTTTCTGGCTCCGTTTCCTCGTATATTCCGGCTCACCATTGGCAAAGAGTATGTTGATTAAGGAAATCTCTCGTTGTGTTGCATACTTAAGATCGTCCGAGCGAGCCTGTTTAAGAATCGTCTGGTCAACGAGCCAATACTTACTTGTGTGGTCGATTAGTCCTTCAAATCATCTGGACCACTCGAAGACTTACTAGTGGGAAGAGCGCCAAAAATCCGTAGCCATTTAAATTATTCCATGATCGTGTCTGTAAGGAGATCCCCGGTTCCACAATCGACTCTATGTATTACATTCTCCGATGGTTTCTGGTTACGACGTGAGCTGAACAGGACTCCGCAAGCTTGTTTAACCGTGCATTCAACACGTTCAATGGGACGGCTTTTCTGCGTCAATATCCACTTGCGCAACACTCGTAATGGAGCCACTGAATTGTTAAAAGTACGGATGGTCTTGTGCCTATCGATCTCTTTGGTTGGAATCGTCATTCCCTTTCTTGAATTCTTTAGTTGTTTCGTTGTCTGAGGCCCCTTATCCCTACCGAGTTCAGTTGTTGAGATCGGGCGACTTAGAATGCTCGGTCATTGTTTGCATGAACCTTACCAGATCAGTGCAGCCAAAGTGCAGCACTTGTAGTCCCCAAGTAATTGAACGCCCCATCCTGTGCTTTCTGGCCCCTTCGTATGAAGTGCTTGTCATCCGAGGCGCGGGCTAATACCAACGTTTGATCATTCTCAGAGAATGACACCCAGGACGGGCCCGAAATATTCTCCCCCTCCTTAGTCGTTAACTTAGGGGGCCAGGAGAAAACTCTGGACCCACAGATCGGGTGCAGCACCCCCTGCCAGCGTCGCATCATGTCAGAGAAAGGATCAGTAACAAAGTCCACACAGGACAACGGCGTGATGACTCAGAGCCCACAGGAGGAGAATCAAGCTAGTGCTGGCATTCTGCCTGACCCTGCTAGTTCTCCTGCAAGGCGCAAGTTTGCCATTGCCAACGTTCGAGAGTTCCTCGACGAGGAAGTCTACACTGATCTGGTTTACATTCCTCTGTTTTTTTACTACTTTATGACCGTAAGTACTGGAAAGGATAAGGTTCCATCATATCGCATGGCTGAGTCCTCTCTTCAGTGCCTTTGACGGACAGCAGTGATCGACCCCCTAGTGCAGATAGACGCAATAGCATTCACAGCAGCCTACGTGTGGTGCGCTTTCCAAACTAGTGGGTTTGTTTCGTTTTCGTTTTCCCCACCGTCCCGGAAACCAGTCCTTCAAATCACCAGGAAATACCATCGGGCTCTCTCTCGCTCTGGCATGGCTTTTCTCCGGCCGAAAAAGCCTTGCTGTGCCCGATCGGAAAGCCTTCGTCTCCCCGCTTCATTCCTGATGCAGGTCTCGGCCAAATCTCAAACCTTCCGCCTGTTTCCGAGGTCCCGCAAATGGCTCGTCCTGAGCACCCTTGCCCAACTAGGCCTAACGCTTGCTGCATCCTTGGTAGTGCATTACAGCGGGCAGAGCGAGTTCGCAGGTGAATCAAGTTGGACGAATGCGTTGGGTTACGCAACGCTTGCGCGCGTGCCAACGTTGGCACTAGAATCGGAAGTCAATTTGCTACGTTGGTATCACCTCTTTCACCATTGATTTGTCTTCATTTCACAACCTTCTTGAGTGATCCATATCTCAGCGCAACAGAAGTGTCGTATTAACTACCATCTATCATCGGATCGCATCTTTTCCGGTTGAACCAGCCACACAAGCCTCGGGATTACAAGTTCTTAGCAATCCTTAGCCTCTTGTACGTCTTGTTCTCTTGCACCAGGCACGAGTCAGTTCTCTGATGAACTTTATCAACAACCACATCCTTCCGACCACCGCTATCTTGGAGGTGTGACCGGTCGTGCGCTCGTCGACTCCCTGCCACTCTTGGCCTCGGCGCGGGATTGTGTGTGCTGATCGCCCTCAGTTGGTTGTTGATACATACCCAATTTGTTCTTCATCACCCTAAAATCATGGATCCATTCATCAAACAACGCTTATTGAGCGGTAGTACAGTGTAGGAGTTGCGATTTTGTCCCGACGCTGATATTGATAATTATATCGTCTCCCCGCCGTGTTATCACCACATCAATCCATTATAAGTTTCTTTGGTATAGCCTGTGATTCCTTTGAATGACTGTAGAACCTGGGTCTGAACCGCATCGCGCGATTCGGGTAAAGCATTTACGTTGCGACCTAACTAAACACCAACGTGGAATACAAAGAAATGGCCACAATAAATCTGTCTTAGAGTCGACTGATTGATCGTCCAAGGACAGAAGGCAGAAATAATCAAGTCCAACACATCGGGGAAGAGTGATGTCCTTTGGACGACGGAAAAAACTGTAAAGTAAAATAACAAGAAGCCACATCTACATATCCATGGCAAAGAGCGGGGGAAATCCAACAACCTAAGGAAGAGAATTATAATATTGAAAACAATCCTGAAATGAGGAAAAAAGCGGGAAAACATATTTTTCTTGAACACTTCGCCTGGCCAATAAAGTAAAAAAGGACACATGAGTACAGGCAACTTCGTTTGACCATGACACTTTGGCTGAGGTCGACAAACGCTTTCGCGGTACACCTGCGCAAGGAGAGCGTATGTAGAATGGAATAAATAGTTTATCACAATAGACTTGTTTCATCCGAAAAGAACGGCTTCAGCATTAGCGGGCACGGGCGGTGCCACTATACCGGCTAGATACAGGGAGGTCTGTCAGCGAGTTGAGGAACGAGTAGCTTGAGAAAATGTGCATGATTCACCTAACGCACAAAGGGCTTGACGTCTTACCATGTCGGGTTCGCTCTCACGTTGTCAAAATCTACGTTGAAGCTGCTGCATCTCGAGCTTCGTCTCGGCAACATTGGGGGACCCTTCAACATAGGGACACCCAGATTTCTCGACACAGGCCGTCCTATTTTCGCACTCCGATCAAGACACTCGAGTGGCACAACACCCGCGTAACCATCTTCGTTGCCAACCATCTCGCAATAAGCCCAACCGTCATCAAACTCGTTGATGACCCGAACGAGATCGCCTACATTAACATTCAATTCGTCGAGAAGAGCAGGGACATAAGTCCGGACAACCACGAACATTTTGTCCGGTTGGCTTCCCTGTTCTTGTTGTAAGGCAAGGTCGGGGACGGTTGGGGATTGCGGCTGAGGTGATGCGAGGGGATCGGATACAGAGCTCAGAGCCAAAGGCTCAATGGGAACAGGAGGGAGGTGAAGGAATGACGCTGTGTTACTTTTTGCGGTCTGAGCAACATATGGTGGAGGGGGCATCGGAGCATTTGCAGCGGGAGCAGGCACCATCAGAGGCGAGGTAGTATGCATTGCCGGCATTGCAGTAGCAGCAGTTTGAGGTCCAGATGCCTCGTGTGCGGACTTCGGGGTGGAGTAAAGCAAAACCGGGCCCGAATCAGGACGAGGAACGTACGGAGAGGGTACAGGGGGAAGGGGTGAAGGTGAACGCGAATGCGCCTGCGCATTCATGGCACTCGGGACAGGGCTCGGAGCAAGTTTTGCAAAAGGGTCTGCCGAGGACGGGACGGTGCTGACCATTGCCGGAGTATGTGGGACAGGCGCGTGCTGACCTGTTCCCCCACTCACCATCGACCCCTTGTCCGACATCACCGGGGGAGGCGGTGAAACAGGAGGTAAGGCTTCATGCGTGGAGCCCGGCTTGTGAGCATCCGAACTTCCCATCCCTCCAAATACATATGGGCTTGCTACTTTTCCCTCGTCGCTCTGCGTCCTCATCTGGTCGAGGTATTTCCCGTTCTCAAGCCAAAGCCCACTCTTGGCTCTTCTGTGACGATTCTTCCTCCACTGAAACAAGAACCAAACCCCCACAAGTGCGGCCGCTACAAGGAGAACAACAATGACAGCAATTACGGGAGCGGGGACGCCTCCATTACCGCTTGGAGAATTGGAGGGCGTCGCAGAATGAGTGCCTTTACGCATGGTGCTTGAAGACTTCGGAGAGCTGCTCCTGCGTAAAGACGTCACAGAGGTCAGCGTGAAAATTGTTGCAGATGAGGTCCGTGGGATGGATGTCGCGGGTGAGGTCAGCGAGGTCTGGGTCATTGTGGACTGGGCAGCAACGGAGATTAACGAAATTTTTGACTGGATAGCGACAGACTGAACCGATACGATGGATTTCATTGTATCGTCCATCTTGTCTGCCGTCAATGTTGCTGATAGGGCGAAAACGAGCGTCGGTAAACGGTGATTTTCAGGTGCTTGAGCAAGTCAAAGAGCGTGGGTAGTGAGCGTAAGAGTGCAACAGCGAGAAGAAAGAAGTGGTGAAGCCAACGACGACGACAATGGAACACTGGAAACGGAGGTCCGGCTGACTCCGGATGGTGGCGTGACAAGTAAGAGGCGATGCTGGATTCCAGGGGGGCGCGAAATTCACCAGCAAAAATTATGGCTTTGTACATAAGGGGGGAGGGGCCACGGAATTTTAACAGCGGCGGGTGTGGCGGTTTCGGATTTTAGACTACATGCAACAACGAATGCGGGCAGGGTCCCACAAATTGCTTGTCACGCGACTATCCGGAGTCAGCTGGAGACATATTTCGCTGCCATGTGAACTGAATTCATTCCGATACCGATGTCTTCAATCAGTCCCCCAACATCTCCCATCGCACAAGATGTAGCCCAGCTCAAAAACGTGAATAATGCACCAGATGATGCAGTAGGGGGTAAAGCGAGGGATGATGCTGTTGAGGATGAGGCAGAGGATGCTCTTGATATGGACGATGATGAATACACAAGGCAATCCTCATACCAGGCACAAGTCAAGGAGGACTTGAAGTATGTTTAGTGTGCTAAAGATCGTCTAACTAACTGAACGTGTTTTTCTTCTGATGTAGCCTTCTTGTCAGCAATTTCGACAACGAGCAGTTGGAACGTTACAACCTTTACAGAGAAACGGGTCTGAAGGCGCCACAGGTCAAGCGTGTTAGTCTGGCCTTCCTTCACGCGATGTACTATCAGCTTACAATTTTTTTTAGATTTTAGTGGCCACAGGCATGTACAACGTGCCACCAACTGTTCTTCCGCTCATCGGAGGAGTCGCTAAAGTTTTCGTCGGCGAGGTCGTCGAGAAAGGTGCACAATTGCTCTTCCCATTATATTTCCCCTTTATAATCGGCCCTCTTAACTAATCTCACAAATATTTGCCACTGGACAGCCCGTGAGGTACAAGCGGTACGCAAGGAATCAGGGCCACTTTCACCAGAGCATCTTCGTGAAGCATACCGCCTGTATACGATCGAGTCAGGCCACATTGGTGCCGCTTCGCCTGCTCGAGGAAAACGGCTTTTTGTTCGATGACTCATTCTGAGTTACGTCTTTCCTCAACCTGTCTTGCATTTGGCGTTATTCATCCTTACATGTAATTGTAGCTTCTAACCTGGTATCCACCTGGAAGATGTCACTCGGAGTGGGACGAATTTTTTTCTCGGAAAAGCGTAGTTCATACAGATGGAAATCACCCTGGGGATTAGCATCAAGTGATGTAGAGTCTACAGAACTAACGAGGTATGTAATAAGACGTGTCCAATTGTACCAAAAGTATAGTTCCTCAGCTTAAAGACAAATTGGCAATGCATCCTTTAAATTCCTAATGGTCCGTGCCTCTTCAAGTTGAAGCGCTGTGATCAGATATTCCCTCTGCTTCTCTCTCCTACCTTGCAAACCGACCGCTTGAGCGAGGAAGTACCACGCCTCTGGAACGTCAAACCCGATCGTCCGCTGTGTGGCATCTTCGAGAAGGCCGGCGGCCATGTCAATATTGGATGTGTCGCGCTTTGCGGTGTCCGTTCGTTGTTGGTCGAGTATGCTGGCGCTGTCCTGCTTCCCTGATGTTGTGGGTGGCAGGGTAGGGTGTGGAGGCAAGGCTGGCGGAAGATGTGGCTCAAGGTAGAGCCTTGCGAGGTGAACAGTCGCAGAGATGTTGTTCGAGTCGAGCATTAGCACTTTGAAGAAACACTCGAGGCTGAGAGCGCGATTACCAATAGTCATGTGGTGCAGGCCAAGCTATGAAAGTAGGGACAGTTCAGAAGGATTCACCGCCAGTCCGAAGCGAGAAATACACACCTGGACCCACACTCCTGGATTGTTCTCGTCCAAGATCTCTGCCTCCCCGATTGCATCTTTCGCCTGGTCATATCTCCCCATCCTTCTGAATATGGCGGCAGAAGTTAGCCAGACATCTGATAATAACCTGTTCTCGTATCTTGTCCGCTGCACCGGTGTGGCCGTCGGCACTGGTGATGGTGTGAGCGACCGCTGAAGATCGTGTGTGACGCTACCATAACCACGTAAAAAGGATGGTGCAGGTGAGCGTGAGGGCGCTGTGGATGGAGCCGGCGAACCTGCCCTGCCTTTCGACTGTTTCTCAGTTTGAGACTGCAGATCTGCGAGGATTTAGGTGAGTGAAATTGTAGCATAGCGCCCAAGAATCTGAAGATGCAAACCAGACACAGAAGCATGCATCTTCAGAGCACTTTCGACATCCACCCACTCACCCGAGTCGCTCTTCTTCCTCGGACGATGCGGCCGGAGCAAACGCCGATGACGATGAGAATGGGACTCGGATGGCGAAGACTCCATTGAGCCCCGAGGGTCATTTATTTCGATCCGAGGAACACTTCCAGCATTGGTAGGGGGCTGCATGTATCCTGCCAATTGCGCCATGTCCAATGATTCCCCTGCGTGAGTTTGATGAGCATGATGACAATGCCTGTAGATGCTCCACTTACTACAAGAGGATGGCAAGGTCCCACTGGGACAGTGTAACGAGAAGTACGTGAAGAGATCCTGTAATTTCTCATTCGCGCTATCTGCACCCTCGTTTTTTTCGATGATTGCGATCTGAGTTAGAAGTAGATTGATTGACACTCCAAATCGTTCCTGTCTAGATATGGGAGTAGCGATGGTCATTCCAGCGAGAAGAGTGTAGGGCGATGGTATTCGATCGCTCCTCGGTTCAATTAGCATTTGCTCAGGTGCATGCACTACTTCCCCAGGGTTCCCTTCACCTTCGGGCTGCGAAGGCGCATAGACCCGTATAATTGTGCCATCATGTGGGTTCTGATTTGCGGGAAAATCCAGAACGGGGCTAGATGAAGTTTCGCGAAGATCCTCTTCCCCTGTCTCGACGAAGCATATGTCAAGCAGTTGCCTTGCGCTTGTCCATTCTTCTTTGGCTGTAAGCAAAAGCGCTAGAAGATGCCAAGCGCGCCGATCTTTCGGAGCCAGCTCTAGAGATCGTCGAGCCGACAGAATAGCGCCGTCAATAGATCGCTGTGCTGCTTGAACAATTGCAAGCTGGAAGTAACCTGAGGCTGGGCACCCTTTTGACACTGTTGCATCTTGTAGCGCAGCGCTTGCTTGCTTGAGCAAATTTGGTCGTGCCACGGGATCATGTTCTGAGGACAGTTTAGAGTGAATCACGAGCGAGTCCTTGGACAAGAAACCATACCTAAATTTGCTTCACGCCAGAAGAGGGTCCCTCGTGCGATATTCGCATTCGTAAAAGTAAGGGCTGGCCATTTGTGTTTCTCGATAACAAGTTCGTCGAGAAGAGCACACGTACGCCTTGCTTCAGCAACATCATCCCGGTCGCCATAGCGACATAGCATGCGGATTCCGTACATGAGCGTGTCAACGTAAGTCTCATCATCATCCATGTCGCCAGTTGACCTGTCGTCCACACTGTCTTTCGCTTTGGGCTTTCTGCCATCAGTGACAGTTTCATTCTCCTCTTCTCCTTTTGCTATGACATCTGGATGCTCGGCAGGAAGCTCCGTGGGGCGTCTCTTAAGCAACAATGATACGCCGCCTTGGAACGTCTGTCTCGACTTGGTGACGAGTTGCACGTACAGTTTGAATGTGCGCTTTGCTTCCACGAAATTCCCATGTGCAACAAGCAGCCGAGTAAGATGGCGCATGATTCGTTGTGAATGGAATGTCAAACGAGATGCCCACCATAGAATCTGATTGGTATGTCATTAGAAGGAACAAGATAACTAGAAGCAAACACAGACAAACCTCGATAATCCACTCCGTTTCTGTTTCAAAACACCCTCCTCGGTTCCAGATCGCAACACAAAGGTCGACGAAAGAGTTGATGGCAGCATTATGCTCTCCTGCTTTTGGGAATTTTGTGACAGATCCCAGCACGCGTTGGTATTCTTCGGCAGCCCGCTTTGACTCGACGTACCAATTTCCGAAAGAGATTGGTGGCTTCGACGAAGAAACAGCGCGTTTCATTGTCGAAGTTTGACTTGAGAGTTCTCCGGCCGGCAGCAAGGAGGACGATTGTTGCAACGGTGCCTCAGTGGATGGTTCCGAGATCGGCATCAGTGGAGATGACAGGCAAAGAGCCCGAATGTATAGCGAGTAAACTGCCCCAAAGCCGCATGGACGGAAAGAAAGGGGCCAATTTGACGAATAGAGCTGGTAGGCCCGGAAATGTAAGAATGTTTCGGAAAGGGACCTGTTGGCATTTGCGATTAAAAAACCGTTCGTCCATCTTGAGAGAAAACACCCACTGATACTTTGCGGCCAGTATAGTCCTTCGCCTTATGAGCAACTCTGCCCACCTCCACATTTCTCTGTGGGACCTGAAAGTCTCAACTTTGACCCTTTCAGTTTTCCCAAATGACTTCGTTGCCGTAAGCCCATCGAGTATCACGAACCCAGCATCATACGCTCGAGATGCAGAAACAAAATCCTTTAGCAGCTCATGGGACATCCCTAATCACAGGAAAGGCACCGTTAGAAACCATCAATGCTGAGTTGGGTTGCGACCCAACCTTCTTCGCAACGTCCCCTGAGAAGCTCAGTGGCACGCCAAACCGCACCGGGATTAGATTCAGACTCTGCTTTACGCGCGGCCGCTCCAGTGTTCCAAATGGTGCTTTCAGTCAGGCTCACAGAACGCGACATTACAGACCCGATAGTTATGTTTGTGATTGACGTGGTTGTTGTGCTCACGGTGGTGGTGGTGCGTTGAGTACTGCGGCCGATACTATCTTGGGGTAATAGTAAAGATGAGGGAAGTGAAGAGGGGAAGGCATTAAGGTCAACGCGAGAAAGAATTGAGAGACATTCGCTTGGATTCCCCAGTGCGTATGCAAAATGAGCACGAGCCAGTTGAATGGACTACATTTCAAGAATATGGAATGAGCAAGACAATGAAGACGTAGAGTTGTCGAATAGGATATTCACTCACGATTTTCGAGGGGGAATTCTCGTTTGCGCTCCCTAGGGCATTCAAGCAACCCAAAGCCTCTTCTTTCCGTTCCTCAGGCAGTACGCATTCTGAGCCCAATCTAAGTGGTACACCCGGGTCGGACACATCGCCGTCTAGTACCTCAGCGGAAACACTGTTGTCAGGCGCAACTGAGTCACCTAGTGGGACCAGGAGTAACGCGAGCGCCTGAGTTTGAGAAGCAACATTCGCCAGATCTAGTAAATAGAAAATTTGAAAATTCCAAGTCATAATCCTACGCCTTAGGAGAAAATAATCAGAAATATGCACAAACTCTGACCTGCATGATTCGAGGCATGCTTGCGGAACTTGCGGAGTAACTCGGACCAATTCAATGCGGTGCCATTGTGGGCACGTCCCGGAAGACTGTCAATCCAAGCCCCCTTCAGAAGCGCTTCGTATAGCTGGTGCTCATAATGAGCCGTCTTCCCCGCGTTCGGTGCCATGAATGCAATCCGTCCAGACGATGACCTCGTCGAGTTTGCCCACACACGTGAAACCGGATACGGCCGGGGCGCTAATGTCCAACTGTCGCGTCCATTCTCAGGAATGACGACAACTGGATGAGAAATTGACGACTTGAAGAGGCTCGACGACATCCATGGACTTCTACTGGCGCGTTTTCTGTACGAGTTGTGTTGCTGTTTTGTGTCCATCATCCTCGTGGAAACCTCGAATTCATCGTCTGCCAGCGTGCCCATGAAGTTCACTGCCGTGCAAATCCTACTTGTGGCCTCAAGAAAGTTATTGTATTGGGCCTTCCGCTCGATTCACAAATTGCCCGCTGTTTCCTTTGCATCTATTGGAATTACTAATAGGACCGTCCCGGACAATCTGAAAGCCCAATGGGACTTAGTTATGATTCGACTCCTGTGATGGGATTTGCACCAGTGGAATTGTGCCGTCTGCCTTAACCAATTTCTTGCCAGCCGGTTTTTGATTGAAAGCGACGACGTGGACATTTTCATTCCAAGAACGAAACAAGAGACGCGTCATCAAACAATAACTTTGAGCTATTTGGAGACCAGACAATCGTACAGATCAAGAACTGACACCTTTGATCCCATCCCCTTTCTGCACTGTTCAATTGAGGGTCCGAGTGGCGCTTTTGCCTAGCAATGCGGGGAGACAAACAATGCGCCATCAAGCCATATCAGGTTTAGGTGTCTACGCTAGCCTTTCAGCATGTCCATTATCCCTGGTCCCATCCCCCCTGAGCGGCGGTGCACACGACTACAGGATATACGCTGCCAGCAGTTACGTGTCCACTTCCTCCCACTCCTATGAGCCTTAAAACACCAAGATCGACCGGGTCCTTTTGATTCCAATAGTGTTCTCTGATAGACTCTACCGGCCTCTCGATACAAGCGCCTGCATTGGAACTAGTCAGTATTCCAACATCGCCCTGCCACCCTTGCTGCATTCCCTCGGACAATTGGAAAACAAGCCATGCTGCCGGCCTGACAGCAAGGAACTGTGCTACCATGCAACGTCCCACTAACCTGACACCACTCCCCGATGTGTCTGTATTCTACAGCATAGTATCAAAGTCCATTAGTTAAACATAATAATAATCTTTGTCTTTGTCTTATACGTCAACAGTTGGTCATCAATCATTCCCTACCTGTAAAGTACAGAGAGTCAGTCACATCCAAAGTCATAATGCATTACAACTTTGAGCTAAATGAGCGCTGATATTGATTGGTGTCTATATTTGGCCAATGTACGGTGGGAGAGCCACCTGCCAAGCGTGAGAAGTGTCGGTGACGCCCATGGAGAGGAAGAGAATTACCCTGCACAACATGCGCCACATATATCATGACCAGAGTGGTTTGCGTCCGCGCGCCAGCCGCTATTGGACTGAACAACATTGCCCCCCCGACGACCCCCAAAATCCGCAAAGTGCCGAGCGCCTACTTCCGCCTGCTTGAAATGGAGTTTGACGACACTGACGCAAGTTTGGTATTTTGCATTGCCTACACTGCCTAATTTTGGCGCGACAACGAGGGGCATTCGCATTTTTGCTCCAGTCGCTCCCATATTCTCGGTGCTCCTTTACGTCCAAGTAGACACAGCTCCTTTCTTAAGCAGACTTGCCAACAACCTATGTCTCTCACGCTTAATCTCAATTGTTGGGGAGTTGGCGATGATGTTAACCGAGTGTTCCCGGTGGAAAATTTGAATACAAAGTCTATTGGTGCCCTCAAGAAAGCTATCCGGGGGGAGAAGCAGGTCGCTCTCCAACACGTTGACGCAGATGCCCTCACACTTTGGAAGGTTGCCATCCCATTCGACGTTTTCGAGGAGAAGAAGGTTGGACTTGAAGACGAACGAGTACTACTCTCGCCTGTGAAGACATTGTCCAGCATTTTCTCAGATCAACCTGATGACCAAAACCTACACATCGTTGTTCAGTTCCCTCGTGTTAGTGAGTCCATGATAGTCACAGTGCCTTCTCTGTCTGAGACCCATTTTCTATTTTTAGTGCCACCTCCCATCCCTCCTATCCCTATCCTCGAACTATACTGTCTCATTCGTGATGATGATGCCAGCCACATCTTTCCGGTCAAAATTGATAGTACAGAGTTTGTTGCCACCCTCAAGAAAGTCATCCGGGGGGAGAAGCAGGTCGCTTCCCAATACGTTGACGCAGATGCCCTCACACTCTGGATGGTTTCCATTCCATTCGGCGGCAGTTTCGAGGAGAATGTGAAGAACGCTGAACTTAAAGATGAGAAAACGCTATCACCTGTGCAGAGACTATCCGACATTTTCTTGCGTCCACCTCAGGGTGAACATCTGCACATCATTGTTAAGCCTCCACGTAGAAGTGAGCGCATATGATTGACTGGTTGTTGTGTTTACCCCTTACCTGTTCGAACGGCGTTACTCGTGCGGTTGCCCCATTCGGTAGTCAACGCACAGAAAGATACAGGTACGCAGTGCATACACTTCTGGCTTCTTATTGTTTGTTTATACATTCCATTGTTGGTTTTCTCGTGTGCTCCGCCGATACCCACCAACAGTTCCTCGTCACCGAAGAAGATCCATGCTACAGCGACTTGGCTATCACCCACCACTATCTCTGGGGAAATATGGATCATTTGCGTAGCATCATTTCCTACTCCCCGATCCAAGTACCCGACCTTGGAGTTAATGACGAATTTCAAGAATCTAAGACAGAGGACGTCGCGATGGATGATGTTACGGCAGACACTCAGGCAGTGTTTTATAACCTAATGAAGATTCCGGCGATGCCGCGGAATACATCCCAGGTGCTTGAAGAGAGCTTTTATGTGCGGGACGAATACAATATACTCAACGAATTCGTGGAGAAGCAGAGAGAATTGGCTATTGCTGGGCCCCTGTTCCTGCGGGCCAATGTTACTTGTTGGACAACCTGGAATAGGTCCGTGGGTTGTGCAGGATTGTCGTTGCACAATACGACTAATCACACTCCTAAAGGCAAGACTGTCTATTTGACATACTGTCTCCTGAATCGGCTCGCACAAGGAAAGCCCACCGTGCTTTCGAAGTCGCGTTTGATGCGTTTTGCCTTTCTCCGCTCTGGTGTTTACATGGTTCCAGGTGACTCCTTCGATTTTTGGAACCATCCTGAGGTCCATGCAGCTAGAGCAGATTTGCGTGGCCTTGTTCTCTTTGACCTCACCCCAGGTGAGAAGGTTGACAATCCGCATCGTCGCCCAAGCTGCAAGAGCTGTATCATTGGATAAAGGAATACCGTGTGATTAAGTTCTACATGAAAACATGGAGTTGGCAGGAGGTGTATCTATGTCGGTGAGTCCTCAGCTGCGTAGATGGAGAGGCCTCGCAGTACTGATCTCTTCCAGCCATTATGTCATAGAGCAGAGGCTCGAAGATGATGCTTGGCGTACTGCATTTATAAAGTATGGGGGTTCGGCAAGGTCTCTATTCGATCATACCCAACAAGCGCTAGATGATGACCTCACCTCAGCCATTATGGAATGCAACCTGAAGGACCTCTTCAACCAAGCAGTGAACCATGAGCCCCAGAAGTACAGCCACCATCTGGTTGAAATCAATCCGCTTCAAGACGCCCATGGTGTTGTCCAGGATCAATTGATACCACGCACACGGGTTATTTCCTTTATCTTCACTGAGCTGATGAAGAAGGGATCGGAATTGGTCAATACCTCAGCTCTTACTTCTACACTTGTATGAAGTATCCTTCCACGACCTCCACAGCCGGTCTCATGTTTGAAGCCCTTGGACATGTCTATATCAACAAAGCTAAAGCCGCTTTTGCTGTATGAGCGCTCAGCACCAGTTGCCAACAAGACTTGCATCTGGAACACATCAACTGCGAGAATGTGCAAGTATTCTCCGGACTGGACCCACCGTTTGGTGGGCCTGGGGACCAGGGGACCCGTTGTCCAGATGCAACCGAGTGCTACCAACCAGCTGCCGGTAACCTCTCCAACATTGATTCATTCGCTTTTGAAATGGATAAGAAGAATGCCATCACCGGGGTTGTCATGTTCCAGTATACAGTTACTTCACAACACTCTGTCAAGCCAAAATTTATCAACAAGCTTTGGGATGTGCTGACGAAACAGCACAACCGAAAATGGAAGTGGAAGCTTGTATTTGTCATCCCGAAGGGAAACCGTGGTTTCAGCAAAGTATGCCCACCAAGGGCTTGAAACCACAGGTGGATCAATTTGTGCTGAGAGTTGATTTGGAGGATATGTGGGGTGCCATGTGCAAGTCTGCAGAGAAAGCTGGTCACTCCCGTGAACGTTAGCCTTCCCACTCTTGGACTCTTTTCTATGTCCTTCCCACTTTCTTGTACTGAAATTGTGTAATACAGTCGTGTGCCTATGAGGAATTATCCTTTTCCAGTTCAACGGGATTCCCGAATCTGCAGGATTGCAGAATTGGGGTATTCCCGAGATTCAAGTTCGAAGCAAACGCGTCATAGACCATAAATTGTCCCACTGCATCCGAAGTGATCAGATGTGTTGTCAGTAACAGGTCGGCGGCGCTGGGTTATAGAGATCATCATCATCTGAGATCGAAGATATGGCAGCGCCGCCCCTCAGGTGACAGAACTTCAAGCACTAGAACCAGAAGGATAATCTATGGTCCACGATGGATAGATCAGAATCTGGTAAGCAATATAACGATTTGAAGAGGCCACACAACCGCCGGCTGAGATGGCAACCACCCGTGCTGGCTATATAGTGTAAGAGTCCCTAGTCGGTGGAAGCAACGAAGGAGCCACCAAGGTCGTTGAAGGTTTATCATTCATTACGCTTGTGTTGGGCTTCTTGTCACAAGTCACTGCCAAAAACATTTACTTTATTGGCTTCAGTGGTATCCTGGGTCAGAATGGTTCGAGACGCACAGTCGTGAGCATAAACACCGCCACGTCTGGCGCTTATTTGCACCAATTGTCGCCGGCAGGCTCCGTCGCAGACAGAAGCGAAATTCCAGATGTACTCTCACTCCCCTGCATATCACTCAGACGATAGCCTGTCTACCTCAGATGATGAAGTGCCTCCTGAAATGAGCCAGCCGGGAGTCCAGGACTCGAATGCTCAGGCTGATAACTACTTTGATTTCAACCCACCGGACAGTCCTTCGGGTGACCATGAAGTCGTGACTTGTCTCTGGAATAACTGTGGCAGGCAGTTTAACAAATTAAATCCTCTGATTACTCATGTACATGGTAAGGAACCTTGTGGACGCGTTAGCTTCACCTTTCCCTTGATGCCAATATGAATTCCATTCCCCCGTCAATCACACCCAATTAGAAGATCACGTCGGCGTTCACAAGTCAACGTACGCCTGCGACTGGGCAACTTGTTCACGCAGGGGGATGGCTCAAACGTCACGCTTTGCCCTCGTGTCGCATCTTCGATCTCACACCGGCGAGAAGCCTTTCACTTGTTCACTCCCAGGTTCGTTTGCTTCTTCGGCTCCGGTTCAAGCAGCTTGCTCAGAACGGTGCAACTACAAAAATGGAACGCTCATGTCCCTGTTGATTCACATAGAGTGCGATAAGTCTTTCACCCGCTCAGACGCATTAGCAAAACACATGCGTCTTCAGCACAACATCTCACCCCCACTACCAGGGCGCGGCAATCGCAAACGAAAGCGTCCCGATCCTGAAGAACTTCCCTCTCCATCTTCTACACCGGCACCAGGTGCGCGAGGTTCACATGTCAGTCAACCCGGGATCCCCAATGAAAAGCCTTTGGAAAATGATGAGGACGACCTTGGAGACTTCGTCGATTTTGAGGGAAATGGCACACGTCATGGTGGGTCCACCACGACAGCCGCCGCCCCTCTGTAGGATCAAATGGGTCCCCACCGCCTGTCTTCTTACCCCTCATTGCAACTCATGAGCCAGACACCTCTCCACATGCTGGAACCGTCCCACCTCACGAAATGGACGGCGAAGAGGATCTTTCGGATATCCCTGCTTCACTTGCCCAGCACTATGACTCTTCACGACGGACAATCTTTGAACGACGCATTCCTCAAGTGCGGTATTTGATCACCAAGGCGAAATTCCGATGGTTACTTGCAGAGCATCAATTATTGCTGGACGAACTAGACACCGTGAGAAAGGAGGAGGAGAGAATGCGAGCGTCCGTGGATGCAGTAATGGACCGTGTACTCGTCAAGGAGCTTGGGTAAGATTCCCTTTCTTCCTTGTGCACCTTTCCCTTATTCCTGCAATCGTAGTCCGGAAGCCGCAGAGCCCCTGGTAGGGGAACTCATGCCTCTGCCCATAAAAAATTACAACTATTCAATCGGCAGTGAGACAATATCACCAACCAAGCCCAGGAAGGGCCGATGAATCCCTTCAGCATCAGATTCCCGCATCGCTCTCACGATGACGACCCAATAATAGTCAATAAAATGTATCAAGATTTTAGTATTCTGATAGACAACATAATGGCGTACCGCCAGGATCAAGTCGGCGAGGAAGCATAAGAACAAATTATAGGTGAAGCGTAGAGAATCTTAAGTGTTGTGCGCAAGAAGAAAAGCTCCAGTTGAGCCGAAGCGCACAAGAAACAGACAACGGAACAAAAGCGAAGCAAATGGGAACCGTAGGGATATCAGATGCCTAACGTCAAGTAGACGAGCAGCACTTAGAGAATCAACGTGTACACTAAACGAAGAGTGTTTTCTTCCTGCCATTCCATTCCCAATCAACCTCCTCTTCTTGGGCACGCAACAAAGTGACACAGCTAATCTTCAGGCCATCGAACCGCAAAGCCTTTTCAGATCCAGACAAAAAAGAGCATAGAGGCGCTATCCCGCCGACGGTCCTCGGAGATGATGCACACAAGGGACAATTGCGATGAACATTAAGTGCCGTGGATGAAAGTGCCCTAACTGGCGGCTGCTGAGAATCCGGAAGGATGTATGGCAATATATCCGATTCGGAGGAAGGGGAAGATGATGAAGGTGTAGAGATGAAGGATGGCGGGGATGACAAAGCTGGGGAAGCGGGAAGTGAATCGGACGGAGATAGAAGGTTTTCGTCTAAGATGGGGTCGTGGTGATCACGAAGGAAATATGGAAGGAACGTCAGTTCGAGAATGCAAGATGGTGCACAGCTGATTTCGACGGAGCTGGACGTGGGCTTGTCCTCAAAAGAGGCATCGCGGATCTATTTACGGTACGGAGTTAGACACTGTAGCACGGACCAATCAATGAGGAGCCTTACACGTTCAACACCTTTGCAAATAGGCTGCTTTCTCATTTGGACCAATGACAGTCCTCCTTTAGCGTTTGAAAGCGGAGACAGGGTCACAGGGCAAGTCATCCATATATCCCAAAGCACGGTCCGGAAGGTTTCAAACGGAGTTTCAATGTTGATAGGGAAACGCTCGCTGTCTTGGAGAAATTTGAATACTGCTAGAGGATATTTCCATGAGGAAGACGTTTCTTGAAGATTGACCCACAAAACGTTATTGTCTTGCAAAGAAAAGGTTGGGATACACGGAAACAACTCGCCTAACGCATTTTGAACATTGATAGTGACAGACTCCTCAGTACGAGAGAACATGAGGCAGTGTTGAGTCCTGTACGTCTCAGATGGCAGAGACATAACGAACTAGCAAGGCGAATGAATCATCGTGGCATCAAAACTACAGTTCATCGGGAAGCGCACCTCTAGATCGGCCCCTCGAGCGCCAAACAGCACCGAAACCCTCTTCTTTAGCACGGTCGAAGTTAGAGAAAAGAATCGCCGAGACAGAATACTGCAATTAAGCATGTCCTGAACCCGAAGCATCTCGAAGACATCGCAGATAAGCTCAGAAGGCAAGATCTGGTCTATCGGAGGATCCGTATAACATCCCATCTATGAGTCGCGTCGTATCTGAAAACTATTAGGTCTAAAGTTAACGAGATGGGTATGGGGTCGGGAGGGAGGAATTAGGGTAGCAGAGCAGCAACAATTCTGCAATATTCCACGTGGCGCTAAAATTAAATTGTCATAAGTACATATTTCACACCGTGTCGGTGATGAGGCGCCGACCTCCCACGGGTTTTTGCAGTGCTGAGGGTTTTTCGGGCGTTGTTCCATTGCGAGTTATCAAATGCGTCGTTTCCGGGTCAGGTGTTGTTGCGTCCTGCTCACTTCGCCCAATATCACCTCCAAATCACCTCTTCTGCGTTCGCATCCGTACTAATTTGGGCTCTTACATTGGGGCGACAGGGCTGGTGAGTTATGTGTATGCTCAGGCCTTGCACTTTTTTTTGCAACTCTCGTCGTACAGCGCAGCCTTGGCTACATAATTTTATGATCAGTTCTTGCTTACTGAGCATCCTTTTTCTCATTGACGTTCACTGCGAGCGTATGGCTTATTGGTCTCTTTTGTGTTCCCCCTCCTCCCCATCATCCACGTTTGTCGTTTCACCCTCCGAGTTTTCTGTGTACTGTGTCATACCGCTAGGTCGAAATTCGACCGATTAGGTTATCATTATCACCTAGCTTATCTGAGCTACTGCGATGTTAAGCTCATCAACCATGTCGAAGGAAAGTCTTGACGTCAAGTGCGCCTACAATTACGCCCTCAAATCGAAGGAATCGACTATGTCCGTGGACAGGGGCATTCAAACTAAGTGTCTCATGGGATGGATATGACAGGCACCAAGGCCCTCACAGACATGCCTGAACCCTTGCCATTAGCATCTCAACATCATGTACATCGCCTGATCGGCAACACTTGTTTCAGCCTGGACAACATTTATTTCTGGAAAAAAGCGATCCCAATACACACCGATGCTGCTCGTCTTCGGCATGATTTTCAAACGGTGAACATGAGTACGATTCAGTAAGAATAAGTGAATCGGATACAATGCGGAGAATATCTGGGTTTGTGGTGAAAGGAATGCCAAAATAACTGAAGCCTCAGACAAACCCCAGCCCGTCAATTGCACACATCCACAATGACCTACACCAAATGGTGAACCCTTGATTCAAGCAAAAGAGTGTAGAGAACAGCAAGACTTACCATTGTCAACGTCTTAAGCGGCGTTAGGGCAGCGGCGAGGAGCATGTCCTTGCTTGCCACAGATACGGCAGCTGGTCCTCTTCGTCTCAGAGCAAGAGGACGAGATATGTCCATCACGTCCACCTGAGGACTCTAGTTAGCGATAGGGCAATGAGTACTACCGCACATCCTACTGACAGTTGTAGCTTTAGGGTGTACAGAAATTAGATCACGATCGCCAGTACTCATTCGCAGTGAACTCACCAAACAGGGTCCCAGCCTTAGGGCAGGAGGCAGCAAGGTGACCGGCTACACGAGGGAGCAACAAGGTTGGACCAGTCAGAAGAGGTTGGGTGCAATCCAACCCATGCAGTTTGCAAGGAAAGTGTTACGACAGGTAAAGATGAGATAATCAGCACTGTGCCACACATAACAATGACATTGAGACAGTAATGAATGAACCACTCAAGCTACAAAGTTTGAAAGACCCTCAAGGCGATTCAAGCTTGATCGCTCGATTTACAAGCGGAAGAGGAGAAACCAACGAGAAACGATCACAATTGAGCCAAACACTCACGTTGGCCGCAGTTGAAGCAAGTCTTGCCAGGCATTGTTCAAAGTTTTGAGAAGAGGTAACAAAGGTTCAGAGAGAAAAGAGAAACGCCTATGTGAACGCCTAAGAGAAAGGGAGGAGCCGCGAAAATTTTCAACTATGTAGTAGGGCGCCGGCACCCGCCGCGTCAAATTTGCTTCCGAACAGGAATTAGCTCTCATTCAAGAGGCACGTCACGATGAGAGTGCAATCCTCAGAGATTGGGACGGGAAGGGGCTGGAGGGGGGGGGAGGTGACCGGTTGTCTAGCATATTTATACGCGGTGCTGGATACATCGTGGGGACTCATCATGAGTACCACAAGGGTCAGGGAAAAGAAATATAATCCCAGGAATTCACCCCAGAACTAGTGGCGCAATCCACAAGGCTCGACGGATTAGTGGTATTGATAGGGGGGAAGCTTAAATTGCAGGAGGGGCCATTTCCCAGCCTGCGTCAGAAGGAACCTTCGCGGCTTGCCCTTGGCCCTTGTTACATTCTACAAATAAACTCAGAACACGCTGATGAGCGGCTGGGAATACTCAACCCAAGCTGCCAGCCCGACGGCTCATTGGGGAGGTACTCAAGAGACTGGGACCGGTAGTTCCCGCGGGCTCGTCGACGTCGAACGCACACCGCTCCCTAGAACCACAATACCCAACACTTGTAGAATGCTCGTTTCATTCTGACAGAGACCCATACCATGCGATGCATGCAGGAATGGCTAGCTTTGGCGAGCCCAACCCATCAGAGATTGGTGATGACCATAGCTGTATCTGCTGCGCGCGCGAACATGCCTGGAGAACGGAAAAGGGCGAAGTGACGCCCGGGATTCGTGAGGTGATGCTGGGATAACATTGCGCATGGCAGGCGTTGGACAAGGGAACAAGATACACGATTGCGAATGGCTCTCAGCCATGGGTGCAGACAGTGACGGTCCGGGATAGCCGCTGAACCTGGGAATCCATGGGAATCAAAGGGAAAAAGGGGGCCGAGCCAAACGGGGAACGATCATTGTTCTGAAGCATGGAACATGGTGGCACCGCTAGTCGCACAATCTGGACTGGATCGAGAAAGAACTCGCATATTCGCGAGGGATAGCCAATCAGGACGGAGAGATGTGGAAGTCCCACAAATCCGAGCGCCCGCACTCTGCACCCCAGTTAACCCACAGACGCACAAGGAAAGTAAGACAACGGAGGACGCTCCAAGTGAGAAATTCAAGCGGAGCCGGTCGAAACATTTTTAGACCCAAGGGCGAGGTGTGCAAATGCGCCGTTCATGAGGAAATAATAGCAATCGGAGATTGGTGCAGCAACCAGCGCGTGCACTAATGACAAGGTGAACTCGGGCTCTTCGACCTCTGCGCAGAGCCAGCGGCAGTACCCTGGAAGAGATACAATCTAGAAAGCGCCGCGCATGCAGCATCCCTCAACAACCAAGACTGGAGAGCTCAACAAATTCGCAAAGCCGAAATCAGCGTTTCACGGTTTCGCGACCCTGGGTATCAAATGACTGTGGATACGTGATGGAACAGACATCGAAAAAGCCGGAATACCCAAGGCGAACGTATCCACTGGGTCAAGCATTTTTTCGATTGCCCGTTCACCCGACGCCCCCCGGAGCTATGGGCCAAACATGCTGATGATTAGCACTGCGGCATTCACAAACCACAGCGACGCCACTCTGATGAAAACGGTCCCTTTTGTCGGGGAATCCCCCGCCACTTAGCACCAAGAAAGCTACGCGCCTCGGTCAGCGGGAGAAAAATTGACGTGTTGCACACGCTATGGATGACAAGCAGTCGCGCTTGAACCCACGCACCGAATCCCCCCACTGGCGTCTATTCGCCACAATTGGGTATCTTCGACCAGATGAGAATAGTGTCCTGTTCGCACTTGATGTGATACAGAGGTTGGCCGATGGCCAAGCCACAGGCTTTCGAGGGAAGGAAGACACAACTACGTAACTAGCATGTATGCAGCGCCATATGATACATACTTGGTCCAATTTTTCAAGTTGTTGTGCAGGCATGGCCGGCCCGAGACTGATTGACCGCGCTTTCGCAACAGTAACTCTCAGTCCATGCAGGACAATCAGGACCAGCCACACAATGATCCACGACAATAACCAAGATGAGGCAAGTTTTACGGTCAGGGGAAGTCCGCCAAGTTGACACGCACCTAGGCGTTGCGAACCAATTTCTTCCACGGAAAGCAAGTGTGCAAACCTGTATGCCATGGAATCCAGTCTGCTGGGTCTCAATATTTAGTTAGCAGAAACGCACTAGAGCACTGACACTGAAGCGATGGTTATCGCCAAGTCTGACCTCACGCAAATAAGTACCAGAAATCCCAACACGCTTTTCTCGTTTGTCACATCCCAAACACAGTCCGGAGGCAGAACAGTCCACCTTGACTATTTGCCACACACACTCTCTTCATTAGAACACCTTGTAACTACCCTGCACACTCCCCAATGACCCCATGTATGCGAGCGAAGAGCGAGTGCCAATGTCCTGACCTCAGGCATCCATGGCATACAACCCCCTTCCAGCAGCGTTAGAACTTGACTACCAAACACCCATCAAAGCCAAAAACCCATAACCTGAGGCCACCAGCGCCAATCGTGCCAGCGTTTGTGTGTCTTGGGGAGACACTGAGCAACATCTCTCGGAGATCAAGGCGGTGAGGCTGTGCTGCTTGTGTCTCGAAGAATATAATTGCGCAACCGTTCCTTTCGCATCGCACGCTTTGACACCGGCTTGGTGCCAAACTAACTGATCGCACAAGGCTGTTTTTTCTTTAACTTGTGTCCCATCGTTTGCTTTTACCGCGTTTCCCTCGCGGACTTGTCAAAAAAAAGACGGAGGGTTTTCTCCACCGAATCCTTTGCGGCTCCACAGGGACCTTTGTCTCATGCAGCCGGCTCTCCAGGTCGTAAGGCTTCCGTCCCTCACTGCTACCAGTATCAATGGACGTGGTGATCTCAGCATCATTTTTTTCCCCTTCATCAGTCCTGTTTCGGTCCCCCCACCATGTGAGCATTATATTATTTGTCCCAAGTCGGAGATACATAGCGATACTACGTGAGGGTGGGGGTTGATTTCTGATACGTGAGCTCCACCCTTTCATGGTTGGCCGCTCAAGTGAAGAGGCAATGTATCCAATAATTCTCTGGGCCTGGGGCTTCGCGCACCATGAATTCTTTTTCTGATTGGTGATTCTCCCATCACCACCATCGTTTATTCTAATGTGCCAACCTGGCTCTAAGCGCAATATTACTCAAGGGCTTAAACAACCCCAGAGGACGATCCCCGGAAAACTCTCAGTTTTCACCAGTCCCTTCGCTTTACCGTACTTTTATCCTTATCCGTTACGTCTCGAGCCCCAGGCAGTGATACTAGTCGCACTCTCCAGTGCATGTTTAGCACAACTGGTTCTTATAACAGTCGCTTATTGCCAAATATGTTCTGCCCGGCTCCCCTCATGTGGGAACGATATTAGGCATCTTCCCAGGACATTGCTTCAGGCTTCCCGAAGAGCACAGAAGCTCGATCCAATCATGATGTCCTGAGGGCAATCGACCGGGGGAGTAGATCTTGGCTCTTGCGTACCCTAACCCTGCAGAGACCCCTTTTAATGGGCAATTCCCCGTGAACGCCGCTCGCCCCCCATCTCTTGGGTGATGCGATGTCCATTCGACTAACATGACTCGGTGTTGATCCCCCCCCCCCTTCCTGTTCCAACTGGTGGCAAAAACATATGATATATAGCATATAGCACTCCTGATTTCCTGATCTTTTGGAGAATCGGTGATCCACCACAGTACATTCGTGGGACAACATTGAAAGCTAAGGAGCTGTTTCTCCCCCGCGGCGAGCGAACAAGCGTTTGTGTTAATTGTAAATAAGCTGTACTTTGACTCCCCTGTTTTTCCAGCACAAAGCTCTTCTTGCAGGGACTTCCAATCATGAGCCCCCCCCCCCCCCACCATTCATTGGATATCGTAGCACCACAACAAATTACATAGAATGGAACAGAATCAGCCCTTGTTCTAAAATGTCTTACCTGGATTCTTCGGCTCCGAACTCTTTTGCTAGCCGGAATGGAACTCGCAACCGCTTCGGATGGGTACGTTCCCTTGGGGGTGCGATCGAATGTTTATCATGCACGGGGCCTTAATGGGAAACAATGGAAACACATCATACTGGTGTATTGTTCAACCACGCAGGGACTTGGTGATTCTCCGTTGTAATGTAAACCTGCGAGACTGGGGGGGGAGAGGGAAATTTAATATCTTGATATTACCTATCTGGAGCCCACATGGTCATTGGGTGACTGGTAACACGATCGAACTAAGCATATTTATAGGATACATCCCCAACTGACAACGAGCATACCTCTTGCCAGATATATATATATAAAGTGGCGGTCTCAAGGTATTCCGCTTTATCCTTCGCCGGCTGGCATCCGACCAAATGGAAATTTTACTACATATACGGCCGATCGTCACCCCAAACATCGATCGATAGCAACACTCAATTCAACTGGTGATGATCGCCCGTTTCTTTCATCCTGGCCTGCGACATTCGCCACACATACACGCACGCACGCACGCATGCACGCACAAGAAGCTCAATCTTTGAACATGTCCACCTGATAGTCACTTTGTTTATAAGAGGTCAATAATTGATCCTAGCCGAATGGAACAGGACCAATTCCGGTTGTTATTACTTGGCATAAAATGCAAATCAAGCTCCTCCAACCACTGGCGGCAGTGTTTTGATTTTTGAGGTGGGTTGCAAAAAAAAAAAAAAATCTCCCAGACGGGCGCGGGGCCTCTGGGTAACCGACCAAATTGCAAAGAGCGATACATGGATACAGTGGCGAGGCGTTAAAAAAAAAGTTACTTGAGCGGTGACATGCATGATAAACGGGGTTGGGTATATAATATGATTATCGATCGATCGGGGTAATCAGATTTAGTGTCATCATGCCATGGGTTTGTTAATTTCTTAATCCAACATGATATTTCTCCATGAATAACAGGTACACCTAACGTACACGTACGTACCCGGTTGCAGAGTCTGCTATACATGCTACCCTACTACTATATGTGTATGTCAACAGCGAATGGCCTTGAGTGGATGTACGATAGAGCTAGCTAGCCAAGGCGCGCGTTGGGGGGGGGGGGGGGTAAAATTAAAAAGCACAGCTAAATAATTATTAATATTAATCTCTCCCCCCCCCCCCCCCTTGCTGAAAACAGTCCCCTGATCCTGCGCGCACGCGGGCCCGGGGCCGCTTTTATGAATTCCGGAGCTTTTGTTAATTCCTAAAAGTGGGAAAAAAAAAAAACCACTACAATATTAGTGTTGATCTATCTCAGTACTCTATCATACGATAGATTCACTCTCCTCGCTTTTTGCTCGTCGTTTGGGGTTGATCATCAAGTTGGAAATCATTGTACCGGAGCTAGGCGCCGCCGGTACATATGTTTTGTGGTCAGGTCGAGTTACACAGCAAGTATTACGCAGCAATACATATACACATCATGCAGCTTTAGCTTGGTACTCATTGTCTTTCGTAGGTGATACGGTCGCTGAATTATAAGGTGATAAACATCCATGGTCCATTCAGAGTGTGTACGTATATAGCCATCAGGCCGGCTAACACAGCATTCGTGAGCATAAGGCGCCGTTACAGGCAGATGATCAAAAACCAAAGCCTTGACGTGATATATATCGATATATAAAGTACGAGAATTAACAAAGGCTAGGTCGAGCCCAGCTATAGTGGGGGCCTTTGTTTTTTTTTTTGTTCGCTCACGTACGGGCAGGTCCGGGTCAGCCTAGCTAGACGCCTACTCTGTAACACATGCACAGTACTGGCATTGGCGGTTGGACGAAGTTGGTGTTGATCAGTATTAATTTTTGACGCGTTTACAAGGATTAGATAGGCGCCTAGCTAGCTAGCGAGCTCTAGCCTTGAAGTGATAAGCAGTACTCATCAAGTAAAACCCCCAACCACGATAGATGATAGCCGACTGATCTAGCACATGCAATAGGCGAGGTCGGAAGACGGGATCTAGATAGACATGCACCAGCGCAAGCGGCGGGCTAGCGTGATTGCATTGCCAAGTGGTTCTGCTGACAAGGGGGGCAATATCTACAGGCTCGAGCGATAAGTGGCCCTAGGTCAACGTTGTTCGGGGTTTGAACTCACCCGGTGATACGAGAGTGGAATTTATGCTGCCGGATATATTCTATACCTGGATACCCAACGAAGTATAATAATAACCAATAGCCGGGAAAGGGCGAGTTGAATTATTTTTATTTTTATTTTTTTCAATTTCCCCACAAAGGCGCGCGCACGCGGAAGGGCGCGTTTGTTAGTGAGAGCTTTTTTTCATACATGTGGAAAAAAAAAAAAAAACGAGTTTCACCCACGTGAAAACGGTTGGGGCGGTGAAACAAATCCTTAAAAGGGCAGCCCGGGCGCGTCTGCATGCCATGTGCAAAAAGAAGAACCGAAGTTTTTGTTGTTTTTGGCTTGTGCAAAGGAAGGGGCCACCGAAGCAGAGCGAACCTAATTCGAAAACTTTTGGTATATTAAATGATTCAATTTAATTCATACCTCCCCCCCTTTGTCTTGCTCAGTCTGACACACCACAAACGCACACACACACACACACACACACAGACGCTCCACTGTATGTAGATTTCACGCGCAAAGATAGCCGGAGTAATAAAAAAGTGACAGACATACATCCAAACTCGTGAAAGTTCAAAACATCCAAGGTTTGGTGGTTTCACACGCTATTGATGATGATGATGATGATAGAACGATAAGTAAGTAATATCGATGATGTTGATTGTTTGATGATTGATCAACAAAAAGAAATAATGCCAGACATCATCAACCCGGGTGTATGTACTGCCATTGGGAATAACTTTGTACCTTTCATACCCAAATGTCCTACTTCCCCCCAACCCCCACTTACAGAGGAATCTAGTAACCCAAGCACAAGATAACATTCTTCCTGTTACACTGGGTTCGGCCATCTGGCACCACATCCCCGCAAGGCCACATGGGTCAAAGGTCCTTCTCTGACTCCCCGGTGTGGCGCTACCGACCTTATCTCTCTTCCGGAACCCGAGATACGTTCGGTATCGTATCGAATTTGAATCGTTCGCGATCATACCCCCGCCGGTCTGAAGAGCTCTCAGTATTGTACTGCCACGGAGTAAGCGGGAAATGATCAACCCTTTCCTAGCCTTTGTAGTGATGTATCAAGTTCATTAACTTGGTGAACAATGCATATGACCGCCCTTTGAAAGATAATACCCACACCTACTCACTAGCTTACTGCGCTCATTTTTGCACTTTGCACCGTGGGTCAATGTCAATGACGTCAAACGGATCGAATTGCACCCACGATACCATCGCAACAACCTCCACAAAGTCATTGGGTTCGAACCTTCTTACCCCCCTCCCTTACAAACGTGATTCGCACCCCTACAACCACGGCCATTCCATACAGTCATTTCGGCTTCTCTGACCCTACCATCAACCCATCTTCGCGGTGAGCGGTCACCTCCGGCTTGTACTTCTAACCCCGCTTGATCAACTTAAGATCAAGGACCTTTGAAATATAACGTACACACACCAATGATAATCATCCTCCCATGTTCCCATTTTTGAGAGCTTGTCGTAAACTGACCGAACGGAATATAATATTGCAGTATTCGGTACATATTCTCATGTTGTTGCAAAGATTGACATCTTATAACGTACGACGTCATCCTTCCTGCCTCAAACGTTCCCAGGCACGGACCTAAATCATGTGGTACCCGGAACTCCCAAAGGCGCGCTTCTACATATGCTTGCACACGTGCGGAATACGACTGTACTTGCTTGTCCATCAAGACTTCGAAATCCCCCCCCTCCCCCTTGATCTTGATCATCTCCCCATATATTCCCACACATGCACCCATGAGGCTGCACAGCTGCCTTGAGTAATTAATTAATATCCAAGTATTGTAAGGGCGTTTACTGGTAATATATACGTTACATACAACCATATAATGCGTGCTTGGACAAAGTACCCAAACCCAACCAGTCAGGTAACCGCATACGGCTTGGCGTTACATTTTGGGCAAACAAGTGTATAAAGTATTAGTTTTGCAATCACCGCTTCCGGTCCGGGGGGGGATATTTCCAACCCCCCCCCCTTCTTACACGTTCCGTTCTCCCATGCGTTTACGTTTTTACGTTGGTCCTCCCGGTCCGAACCTTCCCTCAATCCATAGTCATATTGTATGTATGGGCGCACTCGCGGCCGGGAGGGGGCAAGTTAATTTCTAGATTTTCGTTAGCCCGCCGTTTTTTTTTTTTGGGGGGGGGGGTCCAAGAATTAGGAGAGTATCCCGGGGTCGGCCACCGAAATCCCATCCCCACATTCTTCACACGCACACGCACACGCACACGCACGCAACACACACACACACTAGGAGCCCCTGGGGGTTGTCTCTTTTACTCAAGTACAATATGCATTGTGCGAAAATAAAAAAAGGCCTTGCGTGTGAACGTGTTCAGTTTTGACGGTGTTGAGCGGGCGGCCGGGCTAAGCTTTTCATTCAACTCAGCCTATAGAGGATTATGTCTTTCCCAACAGGCGGAACCCTAGCTCACGCTAGCGCTGACCATGAGAGTCCATCCCTCCCTCCCCCCTCTACACGAAAAGTGCATTGTACGTGTGACGTACGTTTCCACAGCAATGTATCCCGGTATAGCATTTGCTCTACACCCGTGCCGTTGTTCAGGCCCAGGAACGCTCGTACGTCCCAATGGCTATGAGGGGGGAGGGGGGCAGCCGAACTGCAGCTAGGTGCGCTAGTGCCTATCGATCGATCGTGCGCGCGCACGCGAGTAAAGCGCTCCAGCCGCATCGAGGCTGCAACGTACCGGTACCTTTATCATGTGTGCGCCCACGTTGGGTGTAATAATTGTGCCGAAAACAAGCTTAACCATCAGTCTTTCCGTTCAGTTTGCCGATACGAACATACATACCTTCCTTCTTGTGAACGATGTTCCAATAATATAGCCAATATTGGGACCACAACATATCGCATTTGTATCACGTATCATGTAGGCACAGCAGTGGGGAAAAAAATGAAGAAATGTGATGCCAGTAATGCCAGTACTACCTACAGTGCTTGTAGCGTATGGGAACGAAACGTAATCAACCGCAATGAAACGTGGATATATATACGACGCAGCGAGAGAGGTGGTGGTGTGTATGTATGTGAAAGCAACCAGCGCATACCACAAGCTATATGGAGCAGCGAGATAGAAGATATCAACACGAGGGAAACCAAAAGAGACAAAAGAGGCAAAAAAGAAGAGAAAAAAGAAAAGAGTACGGTAATAAAGTTATAGATGACAAGTACTGTACCGATCGATCAGTGATGTTTAAAACTGGCTCGGCGGGAGGAGGTTCCGTATAAGTGGATTGTATATACTGTAGTCGGAAAAGATCGAGGTTGAGAATGGAATTACGGCGAAAAAGAAAAAGGAAAAAAAAAAAAAACAAGGACGATCGCGAGGGGCAAAAGGCAGTTGGCACCAAAAGAACAATCACGGCAAGCCAACCCAAAAAAAAAAAAAAACAAACAAAACAGATCAGATCAGATCAGCCCGAGCAGCGATTAGTGAACACAACAAATATGCAACAGAGTTGAAGACAATAGAACAGAGGGGAAAAAAATATACAAGAATACTTTTTTTTCGGTTGTTCGATAGCGGATGGCGAGGTGGGAGAAATAATCTCGATCGCCCTCATTCCCCATTGATAAGATAACGGGGCGAACGGACGGTGATCGCAAGCACCTTTGTTTTTTTTTTTTTTGGTATGATACACCACACCAGTACAGGGTGCTCCCCCCCGCACATGCACAGATGCATAACGCGCAACACCGAATTTTTTTTCGGAAGTATGGTACTTTTTTCGGCTTCGTTAACGGTTCGTTTCCATCCACTCAGCTCGAGCTCAATTCGATGTCGTCGTCGCGAGTCCACCAATCCTCTGTCCATACATTGACACGCTACTCGCACTCCACCCTGGCGGTACACTCCCCACATTAGTAACATACTGAGGTTGACCCTGAACATACAGTTGCGGAGGCGTCTGCTGCTTCGGCAAGTAATGGTTTGTTTGCGGTGACTGTCCCAACTTCGCTGGTGGTACGGAACCCATTGCAGGTGCTGGACAAGGCGACGTCATTGTTAATGATGATGGCGACGACGCTGTTATCGAAGTTGAGTTAGTCGTAGGGTGGGTGGAGATAGGAGTGGGTGATTTTGAGAGTAGTGTAGAATTGGGAGTTGATGAGGTGGAGGATGGGGATGAAGAGAAAGATGTATTCGTGGCGAGCTGAGAGCTAACAGGTGAACGGGAAGAAGAAATTGATGTGGAAGGTAATGGGTGTCCATGATGAGAATGTGAACGAGGCGACGAAGTGGCCGACCCCAACGGCGTAGCGGCCCTTGAAGTGACAGGCGTTGTATTCCCACTCTTGATATGCGTATTCTTCAACGTATTCGCTAATGTCGTCGTCGTCGCACTCGAAACCGTATTGGAAGGCATCCCTGGGCTCATACCCGTCACTGACTGTGGAGTTGATGGAGCCGACGTCCCCGCGCCACCACCCGCAACTTTCGCAGCAGCGGTAGCAGCATTCGCCGCATTAACAGCCGCCGTATTCAAAATACTTGCCGGTATTGTCACATTCCCACTGTCATCCAAATGGACCTCCTTACTCCCCGTTTGAAGTGCGTGCTGCCCACTAGCAAGTAACGCCAACCCAACAGCTCCATGGGTCCCACTGTGCTGGTAGTGATACCTCAGACCATTCATATTCTTGTACCTCCTTGTACAATTCCCAACCTGACAAACGTAAGGCCTGGACTTTATATCCGCTTCCTTCTCATCTAACCCCTCCAAGCCAGGCTGCGGTGGCATAAAGTTACATTGCCCATGTGTAGTATGATACTTCAACCCATTGGCTTGTTTGTATGATTTGTTGCACCCCACTGTGGGGCATTTGAACGGCTTCGAGGCGGTTTGTTGAGACGAGGGAGATTGAGGGGATGAACAAGTGGGTGTTGAAGGAGTTGATGGTGATACGAGTGAGTTAGAACGGGAGAGTGCTGAAGCAGAGGTGTTGAGTTTTCTGGAAGGCTTCGATAACGAACCTGTCGATCCAGGTACAGGTGAAGATATCCTCGAACCCGTTGGTGTCGAATTAGGTGTGGTCTGGGTAGAGAATAATAACGCAGGGGGGATGCACTTGCTATTAGGTCCATTCCCGTTCGCCAAGGACGACCCAGCGGACTCGGGGACGAGTGTGGAGAATTGAGAGAAAGACGTAAAGTTGTTCATGAACGCATTTTCACCATGACGAAAGTCGGGATGAGGGCTATGCTGTCTCGAATGAGCAGGTGATGAATAGGCGCTGACGTTGGTGGCGATAGACGAGAGACGTCCGCGTGATGTCGCCGTCGCTGCTGCCCCAGGGGTACATGCTGATGAGAACGAAGCGCGGAGGATGGAGGTGTCAAAGGCGGAGGCAGATGAGGCGGAGTCGAGAGGGGGTGTGGACGGTGGTGAAGAAGCAGAGGAGGACGGGGCTGAATCGTCCTCGTCGAGTTCCATAGCATCAGGGTCGAATGCATCGTTGTGAGCATCCGACTGAGGTGTAGGTCGAAGTTGAGGTGAGTCAAGTACGACGACATGTGCTTCTTCAAAATGCTCCAAGAGAGCGTGCAAGTCATGTAGCTCAAGACCACAGCAAGCATAATCTTGAATCTAAAGTGAAGTGGGTGTGGGGTTAGTAAGATAGAAGAAAGAGGGGAAGAGATGGAGAGGAATAAGGGCGGGCATTGTGGCCCCAGGTACACGTGTGAGAAAGCTAAATGGGCGCTCACTAATTCATCTTTGAGTAAGGCTTCATCTCCCATGTGGATGGCGCGGAAAATGCGACCATGATCGCTCTCGATAGATGACGGAATACCACCATTAAAGTCGTTTAGACTATTGTAGAAGAAAAGCAAAAAAGCGCCCATAAGTTCAACGCTGCAAACGAGTCAACGATTCCCAAGGGGAAGCTAGATCCACGCACTCTAGGGGACCAGTGAAGGGACCAGGACTAGTGCTTGGATAGAAGCGACTGCCCAAGGAACCTATGAGCTTGTAGGACATTGGAGAACCGACCCATCTTTGAGAGGGGGAAATGTTGGTGTTGTCGGCGGGGGAGGGCGCGATGGGGATGTGATGTGGGCGTTGCTGATTCGGAATGGGTAAAGCAGTAGGCATGGCTGACGAAGAAGAAGAAGAAGAACTGATGTTGCTTTTGATTATGCCAGATTAGATGGTAGTTTTCGAAAGAGAGCGAGAACGACGAGACGGACGAACGAGGTTGATGAGGGGAGTGGCAGATGCAAGCGTGGCACCCTTCGCGTTCCACGGTAAACCATTCCTTGCAGGGCATTATATACTCAACTGAATTAATCCTAGCACTTGAAGCACAACTCTGGAGCAACTGAATTGAATTCACCGCAAGTTGACTAATAACTGCAGTTGCAATTCAATATTGCCTAATTTAATCATCACCGCAAAATGACCCTGATTTCTGCATATATATAAATATATATATGTATACCCAATTGATTTCTCTTCGGCAGATGTTCAGCCCGCTTCGGATGCTTTTATCCAATTCAAAAGACTCAACTTGGACTCATGAATGGAAAGAAAACTCAAAAAATCAAATTTTCTATCATCCATTCAGTTGTTTCCGAATGGCCGACCAATGGAATGCACTTTCTAAATCAGGGTTCCTCTCTCGCCTCTCCCACTGCTGGCGATCAACCCGAGTCCGCACATACGGGTCTCACCAAAACCAACCATTCTCCCCTCTTTCAATCCCGAGTTTCCTCAAAGCATCACGGTCCGAGCACTTGCCTTTCATCCTTCCTCTCAGTGTTCTCCATGAGTTTTAGACCGACGGCAATCACCCACCCCCAAAGAGCGCCCAACCAAGAGAGGGCCCTTTGATTCTGGATCACACACGAGGTTAGAGGTTGTTTCAATATTTCTGATCCTGATCATCATCAGCGGGACCAAAGGGAGGGGGGGACATTTAACATACCTCTCGGCTTCTCGCCTTGCATGAGGATTCAGGGACGAAACTGAGCATCGCGTAGGGTGTCGCCCCAATCCGATCCTTCATTTTACGAGGTTGGGATATTTGCCTTTGTTACACTTGTGCTCAAATGTTGCGTTGCACTCTTGTCTGCGTTTGAGATATCAACAGATCAACTTACCAGAGTTGGGTTGGGCGGTGATATTTTGCCCTCCCTGGGCTTTCTACACTCCTAACTCCCCCCAACAACTTCCGCTGATAATCAACCAAACCTCGAGCCTATCAGCCACTTTCCCGTCTTTCATTTCCCCCTGATTCCCTTACTAGAACGCCCCAAAATTCGTCTTCTTCGATAATATGCCACCTTGATGCCCGCGCCTCCTCTTCTATGCCCTACTTCTAACTTCACGTACATTGCCCATCGACCAACCCATCGTTTACCACTATTCCACATGTATAACTTGCATTAGACAATGTATAATACCATGAAATATACCATCTTCCATCTTACCACGGTAGTGACCAATGTGTTCCCAGCAACACCCAACAGGTGTTAGATAACCTCTTCACCCAAGTAGCCTCTCCGAGACAATCAACCCCGACATTTCGACCGATCTTACCCGTGGGTCCTACCGAGATTCCGCTTCTTCCCGCGGCACCTGTCTCATACATGAATGTGCCACTCAATCGATTTATTTTTCGCGCGTTCTAGCTCGATCAACGGTGCCCAAGCGCAGCTGCCCCAACCCCTGTGGATTAACAGCGACATCAGGAACGCTCATGTACAACATCACACACACAGCTAACCTTCCCACAATCAAAGAAATCCCAAAAATACCAGCACCAACCTGATCCATGATCCACGCAAGTTTCTCTTAGTGCTCCCAGTTCGCCCCCTCGCCACTTAATATTCCAAGCTTCTTCCCGTTCACGTCGATCCATCATACGTATCCCCATTCATCTAACGCCACGCATATACATATGCATGCAATACTTGACAGATTATTAGTTATTTTTTTCCCCTAGGGCCACCAACGCCCCATTCCCCAGCTTGCCGCAAGTTTCCCTTACTCTCTCTCTCGCCACTTAATATTCCAAGCTAGCTTCTTCCGCTTCACCCCATATTTTGGTCCACTTGGTCCGCCGGCTGACCATCCGAAATGGAACGTCCCCTTTCTCACCCTCCCCTCCTTCTTGTAGGCTATCAGCTAACGTAATCCGTTGATCCTACGATATTATTGGCCACGGGGACGAGTTCCTAATAATCATGATGCAATCTCCACGCGGAACGACGACGTTGAGCAGTAAAATCGTTCTTCCTTGTTTGACCATCATCAACCCAGGTCCCAGAGATCCTTTTCCCTCCCTCACACGCCTAGGATCGTAATGCGAGGATCGAGTCCAAACCAACTCAACAAAAGTCCCTGATTCCCCCCAGAAGAATCACCTGTACTGCAAAATTGATCACTGCATTATTCCCCCCCCCCCTCCCCCCTTCCTTTTGAATCTTCCGCGTCATGATGTTGTTACTTGTGCTTCCTCTGTAGCCTGAATTATGCCACTATTGCAGCTTAAACGATCGTCCATGCATCCTGATCGTTCCTTTTTATTTCGTCATCGTGTGACAAGCAAATGAATGGCAGCGACAATGAGAGAGATGTACGTTCACGATGGTATCGTAGTAACAAAACACCAAGTCATACTGTGTTGTTCACGCACAAGTGAGGTGTAAAATGTTTCACGAAGCGGAAATACGCTATGAACCTGTACGATTGTGACGCGTGTAACCGCTTACAGCTCGTTGATCGGCGCCCGCTGCTATATTCTTTTGCTTTGCATCGGGTATAGACGCATGTTGCGGTTCGGTATCCGTCGACATGTACATAACTGGGATCAATGTAGCAGTAATTAGCGCTTGTGTTGTTGAGACGTTAATATGTATCTGCATTTGCGCGATGTAGCATGGATCGTACTGGTGCGGATATCAATTAATGGGGTGTTCGGTCACAAAAAGTCAGTATGTAATAGCTCGGGTGTGGGATACTGATGCAACAGGATCATGCATGCAGAACCATGCATGAGGGGCTAGCAGCAGTTACTACCGCAGCAACAACTCCAATTGCTTTGATCATCGCATCGCACGACCGCGCGCGCAAGCTATATACGTTGCGGTTTCCATGGTCTACCCATCCGGCATTAAGGCCGAGGCCACAATGGATTCCATTCCCCTCCGGAACTCATTGCAAGGTGTTTAGCTAGCTATCCGGCGTTTACACTCCAACACTTTTTCTCAGTCTATTCACTGATCTACTGGCGCCCGAGTTCCGGGGTTTTCACGCCGCGTCGCCACTTGCACCGGTTACCACTGCACTACCAAAATCTGAGAAAAAAAAAAATCACCCGAGCAAGAGAACGTGATCGAGTTTGGGAGTGAGCCCGTAATATAGTTGCACAACCGGCCACTAGCTAGTGCACATGTTGGCGCCACTAAAACCCGTTGTGCGGCTGCGCCACTCTGCTAGTTTGTGGGCGCGTCAATTACATCCTAGCCAGCGTCGCGTCGGCTGTGCCTGGAGTTTAAGCTCACCCAGGTAATTGCCTCCCTTCGAGACATGCACGACGGGGTAGCTCAGCTCAGAGAGAAGAAAGGATCATCGATCATAAACGCTAAGCGAAAAGTCTCGCAGTTACTGTAGCGCTTGCATACAGTCAGACCGAGAAAACACGTGGTTAACCCGGCTGGTTGTTAGTCCGGAATCGTAGTACATAGGTGATTTTTGACGCGTGTCCAATCAGGTGGGCGAGGGACTAGCCTCCCGTGGCCATGTGTATGTAACACAGGGGTGCTAGACGCATGCCGTAAGTTTTGGGAGCCCCTAAGAAGTAGTACAAAACACAGATGCCAGAATCCCCCCCCCAATCCAAAGGAACTACCCTTTGACAAGAAGCTTGTTTCAAGCTGAGATTGTGCTCTTGGTAGCTACTTGATCCGAGTCAACCAACTAGGCAGAAAGGGGAAAGGGGGGACGACCAGGCGCCCGTTGTGCAAGGTGTATAGTAGTTTGATTAACGTAAATAATGGAGTCGCAGTTGACTCGGCCCTCCAAGTCATCTGAAAACGTCAGGTTGATTTCTCATGTGGGGGGTATCAATTTAGGCATTCCCCGCACGCGCACGGGACTCTTGGGGATATTGATCTGCCACCTACGCGCTAGCAGCGCTTGCGGCGTCGAGTTGCTAGGGTTCTTCTGTGGTCGGACGGATCGGAGCATCGTGCACGTGCAAATATTTGTGAATTGCCCCAGTAGAATCATATCGTCACCAACGTCTATTGCGTGAGAGACGACGGCGCGCTAGACAGCAGATAAGATAGTACTGGCCGAGCGCAGGTTCTGCCGACGTTACGTATCTGTTGCACACATGATCCAACCGCAGCTTAACCGACACCCTTAAGCGCGGCCCCGGGGCAACGCCCGCCGCATCACAAGTCATGCGCTCGTTTTAGGGGTTCTGCAAATCACTCAAATCACCCAAATTGCGCAAATATCTCAGCAAAGAAAACGAACCGTCGCCTGATTGCCCATCCTTACGTACCCCTGGTTACGTTCGACCCCGTCCCTTCCTGTGCGCTCGCACGGCTGCCAAACGGAGTTAATGGAGCCGCGCGTGCCTTCATACTAGTACTATGTATCTTGGACAGTTGAAATTAACGAGTTAAGTAATGAGCCTTATTTGATGAACAGAGAGATGAGCGGAGAGAGAGAAAACAAACAAGTCATTTAGGACGATAACCCAAACTTGACATCGCGGGAAAGAATACCAATAATTTGTCCTCATTCAGCAGGAATATGAACCTGTTCGGATCCAAGGAATGTTCACGGTACCGGATGCCGATGGCTAATTCGTTTCAAAATAATAACTTGCCCCGCCAAATATAGTCAATCGCCGCAGACAAGAAAGAACTTCCGGCCCAAGGTAGGGGCGATGAAGTTGGTTAACGTCGGAGAGAGCCAATATCGAGTCGAGGAGATAAAAAATTTCCAGGAACGGACGTCGTGACAAAACAAAACGGGCTGCACTCCGACGGACCCGGGATTACAAGCGGAAAGACCGAGCGATTGTAATCAATCACAGATCAACCCTTGGTGCATGCGTGACCCTACTCAGTGTGCAAAGTTCAATATTGATGAGTTCCTTGGCATGACAACCAAGTCCAGAAGAAAAATGGCCTCGATGGTCGTTGGACTTGTTTATGTAGAACACATGCACGTATTGCGGTGTTCCAAAAACTATCGCTCCACTCGGAATACGCGTTTGGATATTTTTTCTCCATACATGAATCCTCGGCCTCGAAAAGGGTGACTGAATCCCGGTATTGGGGAAGTGTGCACTCAATACTTAAACATAGACAGAGAACCCAAAACCATGGACGTAAACCAGAGACGATCAAGAACTGAAGAAGAGAGATTCGTTGATTATTGGTCAGCGGTGGAGTTCAAATATGAACGGGATTAACGGCTCGAGTTCGTAAATTGCTAGCTGTGGCTGCCGACCATTGTTGTTTCGATCTAGATCATCGGAATCTTATTCAATGTTCATTTTTGGGTTTGGACGTCGTGTGGGCCGGACGGAGTGAACCCCCCCCTGGAAACTGTAGAGAGGTCGTAAACATGAGAAGGTTGATTGACTGACTAGCTGCCTAGGAGTTCTTATCTTTGTGGCTGAATGCACTGCGGAGTTAGAGGCCGGTCGCGATTAGGATGAATAGAGGCACCGGCTCGGACAGGCGACACTAGTGTCAATGGGAACGACCATATGCATGATCAAAAGTCGATAGCATGTGTGTGCATAAGAACATAGGCCATTGATATGTGTGAAAGCCCTAGGTCACTACGAGCTTGGGCGATTGGGGCATGCTCAAGTCGCTTTGTATTCCGCTCTGTTTCGGTGCTGCGAATCCCCGGTATCTGGTACTATTGGCGAGGGTTCTCCACATTTATGAAGCAATAACAGTCACACATTCTTGCAAAGAGTCAAGTCGCAGCGGAGTTTCCATAGCGGATGAGGCAAGTACTACTGTCACAAGTTCCCCCCGTGACCCCACATCACATTGCGAATGAACAAAGGCAACAACAACTGCCCGATTGGTTTTCAGTCATGCAACCAACGGCGAACTGACAGCCATTCTATCATTCAGGGCCCCAGCCAGAGGAAGGGTCTTCACCCCACCCAAAGAAGAATCACCGATATTGGCTCGGGGATCAAGCCAGAAAGCGGCCCGCTTCCAATATTTCTGTACTGATTGATGGAATAATTTTTTCCGAAATGGAGGGGCCTCGCCTAGCTGATCATCCTATCCTGAACGTGTCCAAGGACAAGAGGAACACAGAGCCAAACACAAGACATGTCGTCGCAAATTTAAACACAGCAAAACTCCAGGGTCCAAAGAGCTTTTTGCGTGGAAGCAAGTCAGACAACATTCTGGCCAATGACCACCGATAAAAGTTGGGTTCACGAACATTGCCCATCGTTAGGGCTATTACAGTCGCAGTCGCATGACCCCACAGAAGCGAACAGAAAGACTAATGGTTCGTGATTCTTGAGTAATCCGAGGATATGTCGGACAACATGGTAGCTGGATAGAACAACGGCGCCCAAAGCCATCGTCTCGTAACAGTGAATTTGAATGGCCAGGGAGCGCTAGCGCGAGCAATAAGTTCGGTAATTTACAATTCCACTTTCTATGCGGGCCAACTCATCATCATCATCATCATAGGAAATCGGCGAAGGGGATATTCTGTAGAACAACGCAAAGTTGAGATTGGTCTGCAGTATATTCGATAGAAACCCTGGGGGGGGAAATGAACTTGCACACGAGACGATAGAGCTGGGGGGGAAGACAAGAGTACGGGATCGGCTGCCATTGTGCCTTGTCGTTTGATAATGACACTATCCCCCAACAGAAGGGCCCCAAGACGATCCTCTTCTAATGTCAGTAAGCACCACAGACTTTTCTTTCTCGAAGAAGACAAACTTTCGGGTCCTGTTCAAACTTTAGCGCAGCTGCACGTACAAGCATTTGTGCTTTTTTTTAAAAAAAAAAAACGTGAGTTCGAATGGCACAGGCACGATGCATCAACAGCGCTCAAATCTCCGGTCTAGCCCGACGGTTTTTCCAGGGGGGGGAGGGGAGGAGTCTACATGGTAGATGGCACGTCTGTGGAAGCCAACGACGACGGACGACACTTGCGGTGGCGGAAGACATGAGACACCGATCGCATCAGTGCGTTACTGGGTATCGAATGAGTTCCTGGTCCCAAAGAAGTGAGCATGAAAGGATGCACGCGAAGAGGTAAGTTTTTTTTCTTTCTTTTCGGGTAGGCCTAAAAGATGCGAGTGGCGGCACCGAACCCAAAAAAAAAAAAAGCTCCGTTTGACGACATCGAGGCGAGAACCATGGAAAAAAAAAAGATCTACATTATGCGCGGTCCGTTGGTAGCACAGAAGGAAATAAGAGCGCCGATAAGTGTCAGGAGGAAGAACAGGTTGCGTGTAAAAAAAAATGACGCCTTTATGAAGTGATCATGGCCCGGCTGTACAGTTTTTGGTTGTGTGGCTCGGTGACCCGTGGGACTTCATCATTGCACAGCCTCACTCATGCATGGCTTTCTGAGGATGATTTCTTCAATTTATCGCACGGCATCGGATTTTGGGGCCGAATTAGGTGGCAAAATTGGCTAAAGCAAGCGCAAAACTTCGGACTTATACTCGCCAGATTTCGGGTTTCGATGTAGGCAGGACTCTATGACGTTTCGATGAATATATAGTTATGCTACTCCTTCGCTTCCGCTTCCAAAGATGTCGATTGTTCTATTACTATAAAAGCTGGCCACCTGCCTAGTCGATTATAGGTTGATAAGTATCCTTCAGCATGCATTTCCCTGTAGCGCTGTTTCCATTTGAGCCGGGAACGAAAGCAGCGGTCGCCTGACAAGGCATATATCCTCACTGCTTGTTGCCACTCAAATAGCCAATGCCTCGCCAATTGCCACTAGCTTCTGTGCAGTACCATTGGCACATTTACGGGATCATGTATCCTCTGATTTTTTTCTGTTTCTGACTATGGGTGTAAGTATAGTGAGAGTGGCTGAGATTTTGCCGGGAGCCAGGAGAGTCTGGAGGCGATCGAAACATCAAACCCTGCTTACTATTCTGATTATTTGGCAACAGATACCTACTGCAACCCAGTTTTATTGCTGCGTACCCCATAGGGACTCCATCTTCAGATGAGATGGGGCCCTGAAGTGATCGGAAATAGTAATATCCAAGCCCCCTACCTACTGTTATGATCACCAAACATCTGTTGATTGCCAATCTCGGCGTCCGCTTCGTGACTGCGGTTCCTTCCAGTGTCCAGCTGTTGTGCGTATATCTAACTCCCGGCTTGCTGTGCTGCGGGTGCTAGGATATCAAGGGTCCATTGGTGCTCCCAACTGGGCGCCTGATGGCCAGTCTTGGTCGTGGCCGCTAGGCGGGGGTGTTTATTAAAGCACCCAAATTATATATGTCAGCGTATTTGGATTGAGGTGCGTATGACTCATAAGCATTCTCCGTGTTCAGAGGAAGTAAGCAAGCAGCTTGCTACTGTCGAGACTTGGTTTTTTTTAGGAGAGTGGGGCAGAAAGGGCGAGTGCGGGGGGATCCTGAACTTGTTCCGATTCCTGGCCCACTGCCCATGTCGTCTGCAATTTGATGGCAGCTACAAATTCTGTGAGGATTATTTTAGGTGTCATCGGGGATTGAGTATACGTATGTATCCTCGTCACTCGCCAAAACCAACTCACTCGAATTTCAGTGTATGACATCTTTTTCTTATAAAAGCGTAGAAGTTAGATATCTCTCTCAATCTCTTCCTGGCTCGATTCTGCCGGGCCATTATTGAGTAAGAACGGTCAGGAAGGTGGGACTAGTTGAACTCCTATTTTCAAAAGATGCGGACAATCGTTTCGAATAGAAGGCATATGCGTTGCAAAGCAACGATCTAGTGCATAAATGATGTGGTTAACAAAACATTCGGCCAGGAACTTTGGAGCTCCTTTACAACTTCATGGAAGCAATGTTGGATCACGCGACGTACAATGGTTTTTTTTTTTGCCCGGTGATTTCGCTGGACCAAGCACTTCCCGTATGGGGATAGGATGTGTTGTGGAGGTCTGGCGGCGTTGGAAGTTGGCTCCCTTTTAGCAATATTCTCATTGCATATAGCTTCTGGGGTGAAAGTTTAGACCTAGAAAGGGATTGGGGTCCTGCATCTTCATGCTCATGTGGGCCTCATTCAGGCCAAGGACACCTCATTCCTTAATTCGCCCCGCTGTGAACAACGCTGGGTTGCATTTTGTGATCCATGCTGCGGACATAATATCTGGCTCTGTAGAGTATAGCATGATTGCGGGCAGCTAGGACACTTGTGGCATGGGTAATTTATGCATATGTGCATCTGCGTGGGTCCAACACCTCGAGTCGTTGGCTTAGGGAATCACACATGTCGGCGGTTAGCCTGGACTCAGGGAAGCACAGATCCTTGATCCATTTGAGGGACGCTTAGATGACGAAAAGGCAAATATATCCATTACAGGAACTACTAATCTAATTTGGGACGTATGTTTACATTAACGAAGCCTCAAGGGAGAGAATACAATTTGCTTACGAAAGGTCCGTACAATAGCCTGCCGAGCTGGGTGCAGTCGTGGTGGTGGTGATTCACTTCATCTGCTCCCTCGCCAGTTCCACGACGCGACCAGAGTATTGCTTACCCAACAAAACAGTCAACCATCAGCGTGCGCGGGTCCTTCAAAACTGATTTCCCTCTGGTGTGCAGTTATCGTTTAAGAGTCAAGGGCGGGGCGCGAACGGCCGATTGCGTCAACTATACGGCTCGAGGGCCAACGATAACGGCACGTCAGAGTCATAGAAAGTAACAGACACGCCATTCCACAATTGCCACTCGTCGCCGCGACGGCAGAGATGTGGAGGTGGCCGGCCCTATGTGGAGGCCGTTGGGGGGTGAATGCGTATCCTATTGAGTCCTGTCAGAACCGATAATAGCAGCCCTCGCCATTCCCACGCAACGCATACACGAGTGACGATGAGTTCCGAGTACACCTCGTTCCCCTTGTGTCCAACGCCATGGCAGAACGGCACAAGCTGGCCGATATCAATTTCCTTTCCCACGATTCACTACAGCTGCACGCGCGTCTCCCCACTCATCAGCGGCACAAGGGTAAATCAAGGGCCAAGGACCTAGGGTGGTGTTGGGTTCACGGGCTCAAGGTATCAACTCACCTCAACCCTACTTTGTAATCGGATCCCACGGAATACCTATAAAGAGACTGGGCTGCAGCTGGCCAATGACCGAGTTGAAAGCTACTCGATTTCGAGCTAGTGACACAGTCTTCTACATCTTAACGAAGTGAACGCTGCGATGACAATTACTACTGTTGTGGGGGTTCTACGGGACTTCAAGTCGCCAATGTCGGTCATGGACTGATGATGATGACGTGCGTTGTATATCATACACATTGATAGACAAGTTGCTAACGTCTAGCTTAGTTGGAAAGAGAAAGTGGTCCCCGATGAAGAGTGTTTCGAGTCCATCAAGGCGGGTCTTGATCTTGTCTCCCCTGGGGAGAAAATAATTCTGAACACGGGTGAGAGCGATCCACCAGTACACTGAAGGATGTTCCTCATCCAGGATACTTTATGTGGCCCAGGAGAGTTTTATGGGTTAAATCCTCCGGAGGCCAATCTCGCTCTATTGAATAGATTCTTTACCAAGTATCCAGAGTACAGGGAGCGCGCATTCATCTCCGTTAAGGTAACATCATCATCGGGTCCCCTCGTCCAGGTATAATGACTCACTTTCCCGACGAATCAGGGTGGCTTTAACATGAAGGCTCGCCAATCAGACGGAAGTCCGAGTCCCTTCGAAAAAGGCGAGATCCCTTCTACCGTTCACGGGAACCCTCCTTGCTTACGACCCTTGGGAATTAGCGTCGAAAACATTAATAAGTGGCTAGGATTCAAGCCAGACCTTTTCGAGTGTGCTCGACAGGATAAAAACCACCCTGTCGAGGAGACAATCAGTACATTGAAAGGACTTGTTGAGGAAGGATTCTTCGACTATATTGGACTTAGTGAGGTGTCTGAAGCGACGTTAAGGAGAGCCGCAAAAATCCATCCTATCGCCGCCGTAGAGATCGAGATCTCGCCTTGGACTTACGAACTGGAAACTCGCAATGGTACGAACATAATCTTTGCCCACACGATTCAGATTTGCTGACCTGATATTCGGCACTAACTACGTGTATTCATCCATAGTCATCCAAGCTGCAAAGGAGCTCGATGTTCTTGTTGTCGGGTATTCGCCTCTTGGACATGGCTTCCTCGCCAGTAACTACCAGCCGGGAACTACTTTCTCCGACATTCGTGCTCATTCTCCTCGTCTGGCTCCCGGAGCCCTTGAGGCCAACATAAAAGTCAGAGACGCCTTGACCAAAATCTCTACTAAGCTGGGAATTACGAATGCGCAGTTGTGCTTGGCTTGGGTTGTCTCGCTCGGTGTGTCGAAACTATAAGTTGAGTTCTAGGTCGAAGGAAGGCTTACTCTTCATGACTCAGGGCCCCACGTTGTCCCTATCCCTGGATCGCATACGAAATCACGCACTTTGGAGAATTTCAGTGCGTCCAATGTGAAGCTTAGCGAGTCGGACCTGAAGGAGATTAACGAGACAATCGAGGCGTTCGAAATTGTTGGAAATCGATATCCAGCGGGCGTGCCTGTCTGGACCTGATGGCTGATGGTTGGCCAAGGATTGCTGTGTCCCATATATGGGCTAAGGGCCTCGATACCGGCATGATAGTCTGTACATTGCTCTCGGTTGTTGCCCACCCTGTAAATCTCATATATGAAGTCAACAACGTAGCCTAACTATCGATAGTGAATTACTAAGTAATGAGCCCTCATTGATCAGTTCATTAATTTGGAATTTAATAATTCTGGAAGCCGGCGCATCAACTAGGTCAGCTTGCGGGTCAATATTTACAGAGAGGACTTTTTTGGGAGAAAAAACTACAACACTCAGGATTCCCATATGGTCCGCCACTATGGTACTGACTAACCAGTACTACTTCGCAGATCGAAAGGGATGCGGTGCTTTCCAAGTCCATGGCCGTAGATAGTGGGTCCCGGATTTTTGCTCTCATCATATATTTAGGGGGGGGTGGCAATCTTGATTATGAGGCAACCGTCACTTGCCGCATGGTTTGGACAAACGATTGATTCATATACATATTTGGAAAGCATAGATTACACCACAATATTACGGCCAAGATCTGGATGCATAGTTTGATGAATCATAGATGTCAGTTGGGGGCACCAACGATCAGACTCCTCCCTAGTCGTCTTGGAGCCCGCGCAACATTGTTGAAAGTGAAGAATCCGTCCAACAATTGGTGTCTATTTAGGGGCGCAGAACGCATTGCCAGCACTGATTTACTTATTATGACATCCTCATCAAGGATCCGAAGGTACGAGAGTCGACATGCTTGGCAAACAGCTTTTCGTCCATCTTGCCACGCTCGTTTGATGATTCTGTTCCTGTGATTGAGAATGTAGCCGTGTGATCAATGTCAAATTTCACCATTGGGTGCGAAATGGAATGAACGTGAAGAGAGCCGCGCAGCGCCTCGCAAGCCTGGTAGAGATTAAAGAATACAAGGTTTGGATGTACACTAGACGATTCAAGCTGGTGCACCGCGCAAGACCTTATCCTGAAATGAATTTCCCAAGGGCAATGATTACATCTGACCCCATGGTCAACAAGTCTTCCCTCGATGAATTGTATCAGACGGTGAACAACAAAATCATGCTTGGGATGGTCTGTCCGGATGTGACTGCAAGAAATGGTACCAGAAACCACAGTAGGGTCACAAACGGAATACAGTCCGAGCAAAGATTAAAGTCTAATATCCACCTCAATGTTATGGGGCGAGAAATCCTTGAGTTTCTCCAGGCTCACCTGTGCAGACCTGCACCGGTAGCGAACGCCCATTAACTTGTTTGCATCACAACGATCAAAAAAAGCAGGATGCGCCTTTCCAGTCTGGCAGCAGATTGTTTCCATTTGGTAGTGGTCTCGACTGGGGAAGGAACGAGTACTGAATATGGTCGAAGTAGTGGGGAGAGTCATGGTGCCAATCATCGTCAGGCTTTGCACGTGAAGAACGCGCCGCAGTTAAACCTTGCACCAGTGATACTGCAAGAACAAACTCCGTGACTCGGCCGATGGCGTTGAGGTTCCATCTTAAGGATGACTACTGGCGGGGGGGGGGGGGGGGGGGGGGGGGGGGGATGGCGTGGGGTTCCATCTTAAGGGATGACTACTGGCAACGACAAATCTGCGAGTTCTAGATTTAGACTCGAACAGCACTAGATGGGCCTTTGCCCTTGGTACCAGCGCAGTCACAGCTTTGACCATTGCTTTACCCTGCAATGTACATTCTACTCCAGATATGGAAGTCTACAGGCATGACAGACCGGCTTGCTATTCTGTCGCTTCGCTCGCGTCACAATATTCTCTCTACGCAAAGCGGATCCCGAGAGTCTCCCTTCTGTTCATGTTTTCGAGGCATACCCGGCAATGTTTTCCAGCAGAGGATCCGTGAGCATAAGAAAAGCTGATCAGAGCATCGAAGAAAGAGTCAGAGAATGGAAGTGCTTCATTCGAGGGTGAGGAGGGCATAGCGGCATAGTCGTGTTTGAACTTGAGCAAAGGATGAGACGAAGGATGGAACTTGAGAGAATCTGGGAGAGCTTCGCGTTGCTCACAGAAGTTGAGAGAGACGCACTTAGCACTAAGGAGACGCCATTTAATTCAAGGCCAATAGAAGCAATCACTGACTTTGAAGCGGGCGCCGATGATCGTACCCATGCATTGGCTGCATTGTGCGTTACCAGGTCTTCGCAGTCAGCAGGATCAATAATGTCCGAGGGTGATCAGACAAGGACAAGGATGGTGGGCTGGAATGTTACTGAAAGGGGCCGTCATATCGGACATGAGGAGAAGGATCACACCTGGGCATTCCAAGCATTTGTAGCAAGCATTAATGATGGGTTTATTTCATTTTCAGACGGGTGGTTATTGGGAGCAATGGATCCTCCTGAACCTACAGACTGAGTCATCGCTGGGACGATGATGGATTTATTCATCCGGTTCAAAGGTCCGTAGAATGAGATGGACGTGTGGATGTGCGCCATGTGAGGCACCAAACGCGTCCAAAGTCTTGCAGTTCATCGTCACATACCATGTCCGGCCTTCCCCTTGAGCAAACCCGACATGGTGTTGAAATTTGGTTACTCACAGTGCTCAAAGACGTGTTCGTGGTAAGAAGCACGGTTGTGCTTTGGCAAATAGGGGCTTTTGGAATCTGTTTAAACCAGCGCGGTCAGGCAACATAATTAAGGTTCGTGAAGACAGAACGGTACGGAATATGACAAATAAGGACGCCGTCACATCATATCCCACGTCAGCCCGCAAAAAGAAAGCGAATCTTGGACATGGTGGTCCTGAATGAACACAGTGTTGCCGGTGTGAGATTAAATCCCTGTGTAAATGCGGCCTCACTCTCATGGGGTGAACGGGCCGTATCCGGGGATTGACAAACGAGGAGGGCAAATTCGATTCGAATGGTTTACGATGCAACACATGACTGATATCCGTGAGATTCGAGAAAATGAGAACTGTAGGAAGACGACAGATAACCCTCTTCGAACTGTGGATAGGAAAGTGGAACAAGCAGGATGAGCAGTAGAGAAGGATGACTGGTGCCTGAAAGTGCGGTCACTTGCAGTATAGGAAGGAGTGGGTCCTGTTTTTTTTTGTTTCGCATGTCAGCGTGGCTGGTCCACAGAATCCAAATGCAAGTGTCGCCCACACACGAAGCGAGGCAGAACTGCCTTGGGGAAATGGGGTCCCTCGTCATACGTGAGGGGATCCAAAGATGGTGTAAACCGAAACGTTATCGAAGCTTCCCGAAGCTTCTAGCGCCTCCATGTTAACTGCCATTTGTCTCGATTAGTCGATGCTAAGAGTCACATCACATGATGTTACAACAACCAACGTCCCAAACTTATGGCGCACGGACGGTTCTAGGGTATATACATAACTCATAGCACAGTGATCTTTTGTCCCCCATCTCTTGTGCTCGGGTTCGAGATCATCGCAGTGACGTTTCTACTGAGCGTGATCTTTTTGCTGGTTGCAAATTATAAATCCTAAGCGTTGCTTCGCTTCGGCGTTGCACAATTTTTGAAACCTTAAAGACTACTCTAAGAGTGGACTTTATTTCTCCAGTTTTTCTCGTTTGTACTTTATGTAATTACTCCTAAACCTGACTTATAATGTGCGTCGTATATTGTGGTCGGATGCCTGCCACGTGCGATGCGTGTCGACTCACAACCATCTACTGTAACTGATGCTTGAACTCCTCAAGGGTGCGACCCTGATAAAACAAGGGGCAGAAGCTGTACGTTTGTGCTGTCGACCAGCTTGCTTAGTGGTCACAAGTAATGTGAAGTGTTGTTAACATCCCTTTTGTGCATGATCGTTCTTGTTCTTGTTCTCGGTTGACAGAAAATCTTCTGTGGACCTCTTCATCCCACTCTCTCGCCCGACGTACCTTCCGCCAATGTCATATACAAGTATCGCTTCCCAAAACCTACCGCCACTCCACTCTCGACTCTATGCTGACTCGAGGACGAGTATCGGCAGAGGCACGCACTCTTGGACGGTGCCTACGAGCCGGAGTTTCTGTCCCAGGGGTGCGCATGGTAGATGAGTCGGCTGGATTGATTGCACTTGAGGAAATACATGGGAAGACTGTCCGGGAGGTACTGGGAGGGAATGGTGAGGGTGATCTCGATGAAGATGAGAGCGAAAACCAGTCGCTGGGGAACATAGATGTACAGAACCAATTTGGAGTCACAATAGGTGAGTTGGTGAACTTGACGATTTTACGTTTGGCTGGATCGTAGTCTTATTTTTGTCAGAGGAAGTGATGTTCCTCATAGGCCAACAACTTGCTAAGATGCATACAGCCAGCATAATCCATGGCGATCTTACCACTTCAAACATGATTCTACGACGTCGCGAGTTTTCTTCGACATCGTCCACATCCATCAATTTGTGGAAAGAATTCCCCGCCGAAATCGTCAGTGGGCCCTATCCCTGTTACTGCACTCCTTCCTTCACTTAGAACCCACTCGTGGGGCATATTACCGTTAGGTTCTTATCGATTTCGGTCTCACTTCGACATCCGCAATTCCCGAAGATAAGGCGGTGGACCTCTATGTTCTCGAACGCGCCTTCTCTTCAACGCACCCTTCTCCGGACGAAGGATCCGATCCAACCAATCCCAATGCTCATCCGCTCTTTGAGATGATATTGGAATCATACGGAAAAGCAAGCGGCACCGCTTGGGATGGAATTCGTCGGAGATTAGATGAAGGTAATTGTCCCCGCCGTGTACTGCCTTTTTTGCTTGACTATTCTTCTGGCAACGGAAAAACTGAAAGAGATATTTCGCACAGTCCGGTTACGGGGCGAAAGAGAAGTATGGTCGGATAAGCCTAGAACAATTCTATGCCACGGGTCCAAATTCCACGTAGTAATGGCACTTGTACCATACCCCTGGAACTGCAGGAACCTCTTCCTTCGACGAAAAGGTGGTTCTGTGTTCCATTCAGCAGAACTTCAGCGTTCAATCATCGGCGCTGAAACAATCTAAATATGTATTTTGAAGGCGCAGATTACGATTATAACTCCATGTATCTGTGTCCATCATGAGACGCTAGACCGAAGAAAAAGGGAAAAGCAGAAAGAAACACAAGTGAGTGGTAGGGTATCCAAGGAATGCAAACGACACATAAGTTTAAAATGAATGAATGTGCGTCGCACTGTTCGTACGGTCGTGAGTGGTCGTGAGAAGAAAATATATCAAGAAGGGGTGCTCATATCTAAGACATCTTTTGTTAGTAGGATGAAAGACGGGAGGAATGCAATGATATACCAAGCTGAGCTCCAAAGTCCACACTCTCCGTGCCCACAGCTTGACCGTACAGGTCTCCGGATTAAGACCACCACCCTTCACAGGGACATCAACTTCAACGCCATCCCACCAACATTTGCGCTGAAATGACCCAGGTGTGGGTAAGTTTAGAAAGTTCATTGGGCGTTTAATTAACAAGCATTGGACTCACCGCTGGTTTTCTCCAGAACAGCAAAAGCTTTTGGGCAGTACCCATCTGGTGTGAGTCCACACTGACTTCACCGTTGTCGGTGTGTATAATGCCCGTCTTGAGTAAAACGAGTGCAATGCTCGATATGCAGCACCTGTTGGGCTCAATTGCTCGATAGCCCCATTCATCCTCCCGATCAAATCCGCTCATACACAACATGTCGATTAGATGCTGTTCGGCGACGTTATTCTCCTTGTTCACGTTCCGCTGAAGTGCGGTGAAGATGCTTCGCTTCTCGAGTAGCTTGAGGCCGCACTGGACTTTGAGCGCGAGGTGTTCGTCATTCGCCAGTCCTTTCTCATTAGTGAAATTCGTCTGCGAGCCAGATGGGGGGATGGCGAAATATTCAAGCTCTTCTCGGAGAACAATGATGGCTTGTTTGGTGAGAATAGGGTTGCGGCTTCCGGTGAATTCGGTTGGATTGGGGTTTGAAGGGTCGACAAGGGCAGATTGGGCGGTGAAGGGTGCAGCAGTTGTAGATTCAGGTGTGCCATAAAAGTCATCCCGCGCGCGGTGGAAAAAGTGGATGATGAACGTGAAGCAGTTGGGATCAAACTAATAGAGAAGCGACACGTATGGCCAAAAGGAATAGGGGTTGTTTTCAACATAAAGAGAGGGAAAATCAGAGATCCATTTCAAATGAATGCGTGGAGGTGGGGGTGCTCAGGAGAGATTTCGGACATACATCAACAACGTATTGGTACTCCTCTTCATCACCTTCCATGCGACTCAGGACCAGCCCGTTTGGGAAAAGACATAGGAGTACACTTTCGGGGAGATTCATCAGCGTGTCCCGATCAACCCTGAATCGCTGCCCTCGCAAATCTAGATTGACGGTCGAGAGCAATTCAGGATTAAAGCCATGCTGAGGATTTTGCGGAGAGACAGATGTAATGATTGAGGACGAGTCAACAGTAGCCATTTTTAACAATTATGGGACGTGGAGTAGATGGAGAAGAGCAAGGGCAGAAAGACGTGTGTAGATGCGTTTGACGCAAGGCGCTTTCTCTCGGTCGCAACGTGCTGACGAAGCGATGAAGACGGCAACAGCCGGATAACTCGAATGGGAAGTGTCGACAGCGCATCGCCACCCTCGACGTGTCGGCGCTTTAGACCTGGAGTCCAGCCAGCACTAGCTTGTCTTTCCATCCCTTGTGCTCTTGCTCGGCCCGAGACGACCGCCAGCGTGGGCTGGCCATGCACAAATATGGGTTGTGACGAAGACATCAGGCAAGGCCCCATTTCCTGACTGTCAAATCGGGGGGGGGGATTTGATTGTTCAGGCAACCCTCTCAGGAAGGAATTGCTCGGTGCCGGGTCCGTGGTTCTGGTCTGAAGCGTCTGTCACATTTGTTTTTTGGCCTTCACGAGAGGGCGAAGATAACGGGAGCAGCGCCCCCTCCAAGTTTGATTTCAGTCACCTGCATCGATCCTTTCTGTTGGCGCGGGAACAGCGGGAAACTCAGGGACACGGCTGGCGGCACCGCCAATGTCAGTTGCCGGGCACATCAACGGCGAGGACGGAGAAGCCCCGTGATGGGTCGGTGACATTCCGTCTCAAAAATCATGTCCGTTGATGCGCCACAGATGAGATGGTACAGGCCCTATTCTTATGATCTTCCCATGAGATTCGGTGACTTGGTTTGGAAGGCTTTGGCGCTTCCTCCATTTTTCCTGCGGTTGAGTCTCTGGCTTCTGCCGTCTCCCGTAATATTGCTGTTTCTAGCATCAATATTGGGCAATAAATTTGGTCCCTTGGAGTCACGTAATTAATGCGGGCCGATCGGCAAGATCGCTCGCTAAACCTGTGCGACAAGTAATTTGGACAGTTTTCATTGCAGAGACCAGAAAACCGGTAAACTGGAATTTACGTTGATTTACTTAGGAGCTTTACTTACATAATGATGCAAGTGGGAAACTCGTTCCAGGCAACAGAACGACCTAGCTTGGTTTTTGTCATGAATATCTTTGTGCTGGTAGATGGGTTGTATAAATGTAAGAATTAAAGTCGAGGATATCTCCGTCCCGGGACCCGAGTTATAGGGGACGAGAGGGAATACGAGTCAAGATTTCCTGGGACTCTTACTGTGTTCACAGCTGTTGTTCCTCCAACTCAGTCACAATAAGTAAGTAAGCAATAATCCAATGAAGCTTCCCTTGATGGGGCGCGCTGGCGTCGCACAATTTAAAATCAAAGACGCAACATCATGCTGCCATATTTGGTAAATTATACCCTGTCAGGATATTCAATTGGACAGTTTTTCATTTCAATTGAAATCAGAATGTATTAACCCTACAATTAGATTGCAATGCTGGGAAAGAAACAACAAACCCAAACAAACTAAAAAAGAATGCTCCCCTCAGCGCTTACCGCTATAAGCAATGCGTAGTTACCAACTTCACGTTTTTCAGTTTCGAACAAATCACTATTTATTGCCCGCTGCTCCGCCCCTTCCACTCCTCCACACCCCCCCAGCTCGTCCTGTTGACTCGTCACATCAGCTGAGCAGGCGCCGACCCCTCGACCTTGGGAAACCGCCGACTTGAATGCCGCTGGCATACTAAGAACCGGCTTAACCCCAGATGGTACAGGGAGCCGCCTTTCCTCAGCCTTCTGGTCCGAGTCCGGCCAGCCCGAGATCCAACGGTCGAACCAACACGCCTTCTTCGGCCGTCCCAACGGACGCGAGCGGTGCTGAAGCGTCTGCGACCAAGTCGAACGCAAGTCGAAGAAGCAGACTTTCAAGGCTTATTATGCCTTCTTCCGCTACAACACCCTTACCTGCCCCACGCTCCCCTCGTCATCCCCACTCTGATCGCGAACAGACACCAGAAAATACCGACGCGTCCACAACTCTCATTGACGCATACACATCTCCAGGTGGTGGAAGGAGCACCCCGACTACTCCCACGCGCTCACCGACTATGGGAACGTTGCGTAGCCTCAAAGCGTCGTTCCGGACGCGATCTCGAACTCCCCCTCGGTCTCGAGATCGGAAGGTCAGCTTCGTGTCGGGCGACGAACTGCCGCCACCAGTGCCACCAATCCCCCCATTACCATCCTCTTCTGCAGCATCTTCATCGAAGCGAACTGTAAAGCCACCATCTGCACCAGAGTATACTGAAGTCGATAATGACTTTGAGCCTGCACCTCCTCCATTCTCAGGTCGTAGACCTCGTGCACACGTACCTGGCATTCCGTATCCCTATGCTTTGAGTCGTGAGGTACAAGATTTGTACGTGCTGTGTTTGCCTGTCTTTACGCTCACTGAAATTTTACTGATCCTGCTTCTTATATCATTCTGTTCGATTCATTGTCGATCGATATCTCATAGCGATGATTACGATCATCATTCGTTTACAAATACCATCCGATCTGTTTCACTGATTAAACATGCCTCACCTCCAACGCGTGTTTTGGACATTGGGTGCGGTACCGGCGCGTGGGTCTTCTCCGCGTCCAACGAATGGCCTAATGCCCGCTTTGTGGGAATTGATATCGCACGCACTTTTCCCGATATGAGTGCTCTCGCGGAACTTTTGGGTGAGGAGAATACCGGGCGGAATAGTAAAAGATCGAGCTTCTCTTCAGGCAGACGGTGGAGCAGGGAGTGGAAAGGGAAAGGAACGGCCAAATCTACGGCCAAGTATGATAGGATTCAGTTTGTGGAGGCTGATTTTTTGCAGGGATTGCCTTTTCGTGATGAGGAGTTCGATTATATCCATGTCAAGAGCATCGCGGTGAGTGATTGCCAGACAAGTACCATTATGGCGCTGAGGGTCTTCTTACTTACCTGATTCTTTTCCGTAGGGCGGTGTACCTGAGCACAAGGTTCGTACTGAGAAACTTTGGAGCTAAGCGATACCATCTAATTGTGGAAACTTCATAGTGGCCATTCATATTTTCTGAGATTACTCGCGTTTTGCGGCCATCAGGTATCCTCGAAATGGTGGAATCGAACCTCACTTTCCCTCTTCCTCATTCCCACACTCTTCTCGCACGAACCTACGAAGACGCGTTTGACGCGCGACACATTGCACTCGAACCCCTTTCTCTCATTCCCGGAACCCTCAGCATGTACCTTTACGGTTTGCGAGTGATCGAGTTCGATGACACCAGTGGTATGCCGTGGTGTGCTGTGGACCGAACTCCTTTGACGCGGACGAGGCCTCGAGCGAGAAGCGATGCGCTCCCGCCTTTATCAATCAAGCAAGCTATGTCATCACCATCATCGCCCTTGTCACCACCACGGCCAGTAGCACTCGTTCCAGCAACTGCTGAGAATACGTTGCTCGCTCCCCCTCCATTCTCACAGTCCCCCAGCGCTTTGAGCGGCCACTATGACATTCCCCGAGTGTCTAGCTCAACGTACAAATCTGACAGATCTGAAAGATCTGAGAGGTCTGAAAAATCCTCACCCACTCTCGACCCGAGAATGGTTATGCATCAAATGTACCTTCTTACCCATGTGCGCGCTGCTGGACCAGCGCTACGGGACTATTGGGTCAGCAAAGGTGGTGACCGCGATGCCTTCGATGAGATGTGGTGGGATTTCGAAGCGTAAGCAGTTCTCTTCAATATGCCGCAGGGCCAAACTCTCATTCTGGTTCTTTTCGTAGCGATCTTCTCTCCCGACATCAAAACATGAACGTTACTCGAACGATGTCGGCATTCCCTTCTACATATAGCGATCCACCTCCCCCACCTGATTCCGCACAGGCTCTGTCTTCAGAGTCCCATCGACGGAAAAAGAAGACGCCGCCTCATCCCCTCCTCCTTGAACCCCCCATCAAGCGCATCACAAAAGCTTTCATTGCGCGTAAAGCTGCCTTTCCCTTTGTTCCTGTTGCCCCTTCTCCCTCCCAACCCCCACAATCCCCAACGCACCTTCAGCGTCCCCGAACTCCCAGCACATTGGCTTCTACTTCGTCGGGGAACATACAATATCGAACTTCTCGTTTCGTCCATAGACCGTAGGACACCCACGCGTCAGTCACTGCCCTTTGAAACCCCACTATCCGACCAAAATTTACTTTGTGTTGATTTCTTTGCACGACTTGCTTTATCTTCGTATTATATAATACCCCCTCTCTCATCGTTCACTCTAGCGCTCACATAGAACAATTTCTTCTATGCCAAAGTATTCGTTCACACTGCATCACCCCGCACATTTATCATGTTCATACCATTCCATTGTCCATTCGGATTCCTGTGTTACTAAACCAGCTTCCACTCCACCCCATCAGCATAGCTGTTCATTTCATACCACTTCTTTTGCACCACACCCCAGCTAGTATATTCTTTCACTGTTATCTTCTCACTTCACGCTTAATTCGGCTGCTTCTCCCCTCCCCGCTGCTCGCTAGAACTGATGTTTTCATATTATCCCCAAAAGTGTCATATTTCCCCCTCCTTTCCTTTCCCCTCTAATCTCCATCCCCTATTTCCGTTTCGTCTTCTGGTCCTTTTCCTCCCCAGAAGCTCATGGTAACGTCCATACATGGGATTCTATGAGAACAACATTGTCCCTATCAGCCTCCGCTGCATATCCCTTCAGCCCTGCTTAACCTGCCCAGCTCTTTTGCCCATTGGCGCGCTTCTTACCCTTAAAAATGTTGCGTAGACCCTTCCATTTATGCATAACATTCAGACATGCGTATCGTCGACCACCGCTTCTTAGTTTGATTCAATGCCGACATACTCTATTCATTATGAACGAAGCAGGGACTCCAGCAACGTCACAAACGGGCGATGATTTGAATTCGAACACTTTGAGAGAAGCTAATTGCAAATAAGTATCATCAACTCAACAAGCAGATGAGGTGTACATGGACTGTGCGCATACATGAACGACGTCACTGATGAAGGTTCTTGATTTGCTTGAGGAAGCATAAAACCAGCGGCCGACTGCGGGGTGCCAGATCGGGAATGGCACTATCGAGAAACAACACCGATCATCCGTTTGATATAGAACCCACCACTCCGGCCTTACATAATGGCGAGGAGTTTGTGGTGTGTGTGTGTGTGAGCTCTGGATATTTAACGTGCACGTGCAGGCTGCCGAATGAGGCCAAGGCACGGATCAAAAAAAAAATTATGTACAAGAGGGAAGTAAAACATATGATGCGTGGTTCGGAGCGCTAGGTACTCGTACACCGTTTCCGGGGGAGTATACATTTGGATTTGTTGGCAACGGATGCGGCCGAGCCTTGTGGCCAGACGCGTAAGCGTGCTCTGATGCGTTGGAGAACGCGGCGAAACGGTTAGTGAAACGGTCCTGGGAATGTGGCCAGACGACTCTTCGTGCTCTTGTCTTTGGAGACCGCGCTTCGGTAACGCAGCGGGGCAATAACGTTAGGCGGAGCGCGTGTATGCGAACACTCAGTGCTCGTAAGAGAAGGGAGATAGACTTGTGGTCCCATAGAAAAGTGGAGTTGATGCGGCGGGTTCGTGTAAGGCAACGCGATCCATCGCCGGAGAACCAGCACCACACACTGGCCTAGCACGCGGGGCCGGGGTGTGTCCAACATGCGCCGCCGCAGCGCGACCGAGAATTTGATCGGCTTCGGCGCCAGGAGACCGTTGAATTTGCACCGCCCATGCTTGTCATATATACGAGGAAAACAGTACACATTCATCGCGTACCGCGCTTATCCTAACTGAAACTTTCTCCCTTCGTCGCTAACCCCTAAGGCACAGTTTATCACTATGTATACTGAAGTGCCATATTCATTCCCCGTTGCCGAGCCCAAACACTTCCTCGTACCACGCAAGCTCGGTCTCATACGCGACACGTATATTTTCGGCTTTTCTCCATCCGTGCCCCTCGCCTTCAAATAGTACATACTTGTATTTTCCGCCGTTCGCTTTGATCTTTTCAATAATGAGTTCTGCTTGGTTAGGGGGAACAACAGCGTCGACGCTTCCTTGGAAGATCTGTTACACAAGGTTATGAAACAGGAGTGTGAAGTGTCAGCGGAAAGGGTCCGAAGATAATCATTGAGATTAAGCGTAACGTTAGGAAGAAGCAGGGTATAGAAACAAGTTTATGACATACAAGAAGAGGAGCTTTTATGTTTTCTGCGTGATAGACGGGACTGCGCCGTCTGCAGACGTCCTTCTTCTCCTCAGGCGTCTCTGCACCTAGCAGACCGAACAAGTATCCACTTCGTTGCATGAGCCACGGATTTCGGGAACCCAGTTAAAACGGTGTGAGTCCGATCCGACAATATTGAAGAGGCAGTAAGCACGAGTAGGTGGGATTTACTGACCTTTCAAACTTGTGTGTATCCTCTGCCAGCGCTCCCAAGTCCGAGATCCCATAGGAGGAGGTGCCCGCACTGAATACATCTGGCTCCCTAACCAGGGCCGCAAGTACGGTGTACCCACCAGAAGACCCACCACGAATGGCCACACGGTTAGGATCGATCAGTCCTCTGGCACCTAAAAGCCTGACAGCAGAGACCGAGTCCGCGACATCAACGATGCCCCAATTCCCGTTGAGGCGCGAGCGGTACTCGCGACCGTAGCCTGATGAGCCCCGATAGTTGACGCTAACACTGGATTGTACATAAACCCACGAATCGAATCAGATCGCAGAGAGTAAGAAATAAAGCCGGAGAAAATCAGAGGGCCGTGACTCACTATGCCCATCCACGGGACGTAAAGAACTGTGCCAATCCATTTAGACCCGGGGCAACACGACTTGTTGGTCCACCGTGGATATTCACCACGGCCGGAGGCAACTCGCCCTTGGGTGCTGAATATCTTGGGTTTTTGGGTGGCGTAAACAGGACGTGCAGAGGCCCATCACCCTCCTTCCCTTCCTCCGGCGGGAAGGCAAGAGGGAGCCCAACAGATATTAGCCCAGAAGGAAAGTGGTCAAACAACGTGGACGACCGCTTGAGGATAGTGAACGAAGCGCTAGGCGGGGATGCTTTTGTGTCCAGCCTAACTTTCACAATTTGCTCATCCGTGGTATGTCCTGTACCGATGAAGACTGCTTCGGTGGAGCTCAGAGCCTTCAAGCGGGAGATGCCCACGTAATCTGACGAAACGGGCGTCGATATGCCGGTTGGAACATCAATTAGTGTTAGTACGGATACAGATTCCACGATAGGGGCCGCGAGGATGGTAGTTGGATCGAGAACGGCGTAGCGTGACTCTCCGAGAAGCCAGGCGGGTTCAGAGAATTCGTCCGATTGAGCCTTGGTCAGGACCTCTTTGACAGAACCAGTCAAGGCATCAAACATGTAAGGATTATAATAACCAGTGATATCTGAGAGGAAAAAAAGTGTTCGAGCATCAGCCCATTGGGGTTGGGAGACTGACAAGTCCTTGTCACTCGTAATAGCTCTAGGGGGCTCAGAGAACTCGACGCCTTCGTCCGAAAAGGACAGAGAACCGAAAAAAATTCGAGACGCCTCCCATGGCATAGACGGAAGGCCCCAGCTTATGAATGCCAGTTTCAGCCCTCGGGACTAACAGCGGGACTCGAGTAGAAATCCGCGCCGGAGGCGAGTGTCGTGACGGTTTGGGCCTTAGTATTGATGGCAACGAGGGCGTTTACCACCTCTGAGAAGTGAGAGCCTTTCGTGTGATCCTCGAGGACTGAAATGAGAATATGTGATTGTGTTGGATGGACTACTGAGTCTCCAAAGCGCTTCTTGTCATTCTCTTTGGATAACATAAGTGACACTCAATCCACTCCAACCCTTGAAAGGACGAACCAGGAGTAACAGGAACAGGCAGTTCGTTAGGCCGCGTGGTGTCGATCCGATAAATGCGACCAGTTTTGAAGTCTGAGAAGTACAGCAAATTATTTCTGACGGCCACTGCCGCTCCTCCATACTCGTGTACTCTACCCAAATAAGGACAAATCAATGCTGTCACGGTAGGTAAATTGGGCCTGATTCTTACCTAGTACGAGCATTCCATCCCCCGGAAGGGATCACATCCCGAAAATGATCTACACCATCAGAAGTTACAGGAACAACACGTCCTTCTTCAGCCGGGCGAGACTCGGCCCAGTATATGCGGGATGTGACAGGGTCGACATGGGTTTCTGTAAACTTAATTGTCTGTCCAGGTTCAAGACAAACATAGTTATGGAGTGAGGCCCAAATGCCCGATAGCACATGCCGGTGATTGAATTGAAGTTGGCGAAGCTCAATTTGAGGCTAGATACCACGCACTTTTTCTGTTAGAAGGGTGGCTGAGATGGGGGATTTCCACTTTCCGTAGGATGCAGTGGTAGTCATGATGTTTGATGCTGGGTCAAGAAGAAGTGGCTGGCAAAGGCCGCGCGCGATCGATTGAGTGATCTGGGCCCTCGTGACTGCGGTGTCTCACACAAATGGTGCGACTCCCTCGACAGCGTCTGGTGCATAGCGTTGGGCTTAAGCCCCTTGGCTACTATTGTGATGTTTGGGCGATTTCGACCAAGTACTTTGGTCCCGCAAGCCTCAGCGAGTCAGCGCCGGAAACCTCCGAAACTAGTTAATATCATGCTGATCGGAATAACGCCTAATGCGAAATAGTCCTGGGACAACCAATGCAGGGACGAATAAGGGATTTCCATCCCCAGAGTGCGGTGCATGGAGGGAGGCGGCCTCGGCGATGAAGCAAATGAGCGGTTTGAAATAGGGGGATGAGTGTAGAAGGGGTTATGAATACAATGAACATCGGACATGATGAACATAGTTAAAAGCCAAGGTTAAGCCTCTATCAAATATTACGAAGTCATAGAGGCTGGAGCCCAGGTTGAGCCCAGAAATTGGGACCTGCAACAAGGATGTTTCCTTTGAATCCCTTGATCTTGATGAGCTCGCAGATCGCCGCCGTTGATGGCACTTTCATATATGTATTAAACCCATCTCGGTGGCTGTACTCTCTGCGCCATCAAGTAAATTTCTATTTTTGGCTGTATGATTCAATCAGTTCATCGGACCTGGATTGCATCCGGGCGATAATATATTCACGTCCATCCCTCTCAGGTCAAACGCTTCCCCCTTCCTCAACCGACCGCAGCTTTGACCACAACAAGAGCAGTACACATGGCATCCACCGTCCAGGGAGTTGATATTCCCAACATTAACAACATGTTGGGAGTCATTCTCGTTTGTCTCATCATCGCCGCTTAGTAAGTCCATGCCGAGGTTACTCATCAGACAATCATGAAAATTGAGTGGCCTCTCTGAACAGTTTGTTTGGCATGTCCTCGTCACAGGCGTATATCTATTACGATCGCTTCCCCAAAGACCCGTGGTCGTACAAGCTCCTTGTAGGTGTTCAAGCTCCGGGGGCACGACTGCCTTTTTGTCTCGTAGCCCGCTTACTGACTCTGTCCTTCCAGGTTGGAGTGGCATGGGCAATTGATACCCTTCACACGGCGCTCATCTCTCATACTGTTTATTATTACACCGTCACCCACTTTGGTGATTACAGCTCTCTCACAACAACGCCAGCCTGGACCTTCAACGTCGAGGTTGGGCTGGTCCCTTTGTTGGCCTTGATTGTGCAGTTGTACTTTGCCCATAGGAGCTGGAGTATTGACAGGAAGAGTTGGCCACTTGCTCTTGCTATCAGCGCTCTAGCCTTTATCCAGTTCGGATTCGGTGTTGGTGAGTGGAAAAGCTACGGTTACGGAGGATAGCCTATTCCCACCGGAAGATGCTGATAAGACACGTCTGTGACTTCTAGCCGAGGTTGCAGTGTCGTTTGCAAAAGTCAAGTCTTTCAATGGCCTTTGGAACTATAGCGTAAGGGTTCCTCCGCTATTATTGACGGATCATCAAACTGATCTCTCTGTTTCTATACCAATCCTGGATATCCTTTGATGCTGACCGCTTCCATCAATCCCTATTTTCGAATATGCGTTCTAACCTTTCCAGTGGTTGATTATAGTCTGGCTGTCTGTTGGTGCCGTTGCCGACCTCCTTGTTACCTGCTCCCTTCTATACAGCTTCTACAAGAACAAAACAGCCTTCGCTGATGACGACGGATGGGTGACCAAGATTCTTATGTATGGTCTTCACACGGGAGCATTTACGACATTCACAACGATTCTGAACATGATCTTCGTGGCGGCTTGGACACACACTCTTGTGTATGCCGGTTTGACGTACAGTAAGTTCGGTTCTGTCCGTGGCATGGGCTCTTCCGTTCTACTTTGTGGACTTGTGGCCGGGAACCACATCACCATCATTATCCCCCTTTTTCAATCAGTTTTTGAGTATTGCGCACCCGTTTCTGATATTCCCTTCCCATCTAGTCCTTGGCAAACTGTATACCAACACGATGTTTTATGTTCTGAACCGCCGTCCAGTTTCCGACCCTCGATATGCATCTAAATCTGGCGGTACTTCTTCTGGCTCCAGGGCCAAGAGTGGTCATAATATCAGCAGCATTATGCCCACGTTCGCTCCAAATCGTGGACAAAACACTTCAACCGCTCCGAGAGTTCAACCCAAAGATCCTTATGCTCCAGATGCAGAGGTGGATGTGCTTGAGAGCGGCAAGGCACCTAGTTTGACAGAACGAGATGAGGCCGTGAGTACCTTTCAAGCTATTCCCCGTCTTCATTCACCCATGCCCCATTAGTTGGATATTCACATCGATAAGCGCTCTGAAGCGAGCTACATTGCTCGTGATAAGGAACCCAGCACGAACGGCAATGAGTCTGTTACCCATGAGGTTCCCTATCAGTAGACCAACAATCTTCTGTAACCCCCATTGTGCCCCACTATCAGGTCTGAGAGGTGGATAAAGTACGACAATCGTGCCAACTGTTCCCGTACACTTTTCGTTCTCGCTCAAAAGCCGACGCTTCACTCCTGGTCATGTAGTCTTCTCTTCCCGTTTTCTGTACTGCCCTTCGGCCTCGTTATTCCTTCATTATTGTACTCTGGCGCCATTTGCTGTTGCTCAAATTTGAATTGCGTATCAAATTGTTCATCGTACAGGACTAATTGTCACACCGCTGTAATTGCGATTCCCGCTACTCTGTAGCGGGTCTTGTAAAAATTTTGGTCCCACTTTGATGGCAAGGTTCTCCATTATTGCCGATTCCCCAAAACCCAGGTTCTTAAATAATATAACATAATATAATGGTGCGCAAGTCACGTTACAGCTTCAATGACGAAGAAATTCGGTCAGCTCGGGAGTTAAACGCAAATCGGTTCACCTCCCCCAAAAATTGCCTTTGACTGGGGCAAAGGAGCGGGGGAGGGGACGAAAGGGAAGGTGAAGACATGATCACAAACATAATGGAGGCGAAGGTCCACGCACAGGTAATGCATCATGACCCCACTGCTGCATTCCTTGAGTCATATACCAAACACGGTGCTAGGCAGGATCCCAACCTCTGAGCCAGTGCGATCTTCCCAATCGGTATTAACGACATCATCACTTACATACCACTTTGGCTCCCTGTCAGCTCATACAGGGCTTTCGCAGGTTTTCCCACTTGATGTAGCGAAGACGAGTTGCTTCATCCAGGCTGTGATGCTTGTGAGACAGACCATCGAGGTTAAGCATAGCAATCGCGTGTTACTTGTTTTGGGCGATAGGATTTCCTAAGAATTGATTCGCCCCCATTGCGACTTGAACTTCTTATCAATAGTCATGAAGGTCCACGAGATCTTCATCTTCTGGGAGAGAGACGTTAAGTGTCTGGGCAATGGGAAGCAAGCAAGTCTGCGGCACTTATCTGGAGACCAATTCCAAAAACCATAACGGGAGGTTTGCTAAATATGCTCTGGATGTATCCAAGTGGAATCCGAGCATGGGGTCATAGCTCGTGGGCAAGCAAGTAGGATGGATCAACACATTCCAGACTAGTCTCCCTCACAGAACGTATAACGTTGAGTTTCATATGCCCAATCTTGCGCTGTCAACTCGGTTTCTTGATCATCTAAGCTAAGGCTGCTGAACTGAGTGGTAACATCGGCAGAACCCACAGGCTGGACGGTTGGACGAAGAATTTCTGTAACGATCAGAACCATCCAACGACCTCCGGTGCATGCCCGAGTTTTGCATCTCCTTGAATGATTGAGTGTTCCATCCTAACGCCCAACTCCGGATGTTGTGAGATTAAAGCATCCAGTGCCGGTAATCTTTTCGAGTCGAGTGGTCCGTCTGATTGGTGGACAATTTCTCTAAGAAGAAGACGAAAATTTCCGGGGACAAGCTCGGTAGACTCTCTATCCCAATAGAGGTGGTAACCTGCACAGGTAACACACATGGATGGATGGATGGATGGATGGATGTTTTCATTTTAGAGTACGTAACTGTGCCTATCGGCATATGCCGTACTATGATGACACGGGTGAAAGATGTTTGGATGGTCTTATATCTAGGTGTGAGTGATGCATCGAGATTCGGAAGGTAGGAGGGAAAATAAAGTGAAGTAATAACACAAAGGAGAGGTGCATGGCACTCTCGGCGTGTGTTCACGGAGGTGGTTGGTAGTGGGGGAGAGATAGGCAGGATCCCAGCCTCTACTAAAGTAGAGGCTGGGACCCGACTGACCCTACTGAATAGAGGCCAGAATGTGGCCAGATATGGAAATGCCGCATAAGGGAATACTGAATAGCGTCTGTGATGTGATTCAAATATTTTGTATTGTACATGTAATTATGATGACCAATGCCGGAGTCCAGTTTGCAGAGGGTCGCGCAACAAGTCATTTAGTGTTAACCCATGCGGTCGTTGCACCCAACCCAACCCTGGGAGCTTGAGGAAGCACAGTCAAGGTCGTGGAGTCAATAGCTGGGCATGTGGAAAAATTAATGGTTTAAATATTAGTTGTAACTATAATTGTTGTTGGTGTGCTGTAGTGTAGATGTTATAGCGTGAGTTGAGGCTGTGCAGTCTTTTTTTTTTTTTTTTTTTTTTTTGGTGGAACCCCTGTAGCTTTCGCAGTACATCACTGTATCAGGGGTTTGTAATGGGAGTCGGTAGTCCCGATGGATTGTTGAGTAGTAGTTGGGTCTGGTCTGGTTTGCCACCATGGGGAAATGTGTTACACACTCAGTGTGGGACTCACCGGCCCCGGTCATGTGACCAGGGGTCCGGTATACCCACTAAAACCCCACTGCTGTAAAGCCAGTTATCCAGATGCCGTTCTTCATTTTGCAGGTTGCTGCTCCAGGTGTGTAGCACGAGTTTCGTCGGTAGTGCTTTACGGCTGTATTTCTTTTTGTTTATCAGGGCGATATCTTGTTGTAGTTTCTCGTTGAGGCCGGCTTTCAAGGTGTTGGTTACCTGTCTTAGGGAGGTGGGTGGTTGGTTGGGGTTCATTACCCTGCGGCATCTTGATTTCCATAGTTGCCATGCACATTCCAGCACTACTATTGTTACGGATATGGAGTCTCCAACGACCATATCCATCACATGGTCAAAGACTTCCCCTCTCTATCGCTCCTCCCCTCTTTCTCCCTTCCATCCTCTATCCCGATACCCTATCCTCCTTACCCGTTCTACCCCTTTCCCCCCCTTGTGCAAAGCTTTCCCCATTGGGGTTTTGGTGCTGGCCGAGGTTGTTTGTGTTTCGCGGGATTTCCCGCGACCTTACCATTTGTAGATAGTCACGCGTCTTGTACGGAAACCGCTGAAGGCGGTTCCCGCTAACTAACAACTGCTCTACAACTGTCTCGTGTACCGTCTTCTGTAACAACCCTCCCTGTGACTCAACTGAACCCGTGTGACTGTACAACTCTCAATATGTCTTATAAGTCTGGTTATATCGAGTCCTCTAACGGCCCTCGCCGCAAGAACTCGAGGTCAAGAGTCGAAGACTCTCGACATGTGTATCGTCCTATTGAATCTGTACCCTATGGGTCTTCATCACCCCGCTCTCCCCCCAGTACTCAACATACGACGTCACCTCACGATCATGGAGATCGTGAATACTTTGAGGCCCACCTTCCCGTGATGCCGGCACGTTCGCTACATGAACGCCAAGTCGCCGCCCATCCACCGTCTGTTCCCTCCTTTGCCAGTCATCATGTCTCCCCGCCAACGGTACGTTCCCTTTGGGAACGCCAAGTCACCGAAGGCCCTGCTAGTCAATCCTCATTGCACGCTTATGATATCAACCCGCTACCGGTACGTTCGCACTGCGAACGCCAAGTACCCGATGGCAACTATATGAAGTTCTCACCCATCTCACAAGTCGCGACCTCGCACACGGTACGCTCCATTGAGGAGTGCCAAGTACCCGTGGCTGACCCGTCCATCCTGGCATCTCCGACTACCTACCATCAATCCCTTAATAGCTCACTACATCACCAATCACGATCGATGGGAACTCGATCGTCCACCCCCAGGCAAGACTGGGATCACTCATCGATTACATATCCTGTTATGGTACAGACCAGATATGACCTCACTCATCCCACTATAAGAACGGATCGAGGAATGGGGAATTTCCCCCATCCCCGTAACAACTATCCTGAATAGTCTAGTTGCACCATCGTTGGGGTGGCTGTTTATTGTTTTTACTTTTGCAATCGGTGTTACAAAAATGGGGCCGGAGGTGCCCATTTTCGTCCGTTCGAGGCGCAGGGAAAGGGAAAGGGGAAGGGAGTTGGTTCATTAGGGTTTACAGATGGTTTCACAGATGTTAGCACAGCGGGTTTTTTGGTTGTAATTGATTTTTTAAACTTAATTACTATACAAATCATGTGATACAGAACCCATAAGAGTCTAAAATGGGGAATTCCCATTTCCATAACAATCGGGGCTGCCATCACATAGGAGGTGTTGAGGTTGGGTGGCCAGGCGATCTTCCTATGATTGCAGATCGCTTTAGCTATAGCCCATATTTCCTTGCCATGGTTTAGGGGGCACACAAATAGTATGTGGTTTATGGATTCAGTTTGATGGCAGTGTTCGCACTCACCGCGGTTTTCGTAGTTAGAGATTCTTTTCCAGTAGTCGCCGATTTTGAGGCCGTTATGGGTAAGTTTCCACAGGAAATTTCTGATTTCTGGTGACATGTCTCTGCGGTTTTTATTTAGGTCTCTCCAGAATCTGTCATGTGTGGGGGGGTTGGTCCCCATATTTTCGAGGGCGGTTACTATTAGAGTGGTATTGTCCGCGGCTCTATTTCTATATTCGATTTTTTTTGCTAATCTTGCTTTACGTATTAGCTTGGTTGCCAAGGATTGTGATAGGGAGATCAGGCGTGTGCCATTGGGTATATTTGGGGGGGATACGGGTGGGCTTGGGTCAGGGTCAGCTTGGGCGCCTTGTACGGCAAGGGAGTCGGCTTCCTCGTTTCCTTGGATGTCTGTGTGGCCTTTGAGCCATTCGAAGGAGGTCGGGTGAGTTCTGTATCTCAGGGCGCTCACTGTTAGTTTGGTGGCATATTGATGGGTTGTGTGTATGTAGTCTAGGTCTTCGAGAGAGGTCAGGTTCAGGCAGAGTGTGTTGATGCACCACCTGGAATCGGATTTGATATGAAGGACCGAGTTGGTTGGAGAGGAGGTGGCTGCATGGTGGATTGCCAGCATTTCGGCAATGTTATTTGTTTGTGGGAGGAGGGGGTGGACTCTTTTGCTGGCATTTAGGGGGTTTCTGCGGTTGTACCATATTCCAAACCCTGTGGTGGCATTGATACAGCCATTTCGTTGGCTTGACCCATCCATGTAGGCGACTATGTCTGTGTCACTTGCCAGATGGTTTTGTGGGGTAGGGGGGGGACC